GTTGCCCAGCTTCCCTCATAGATTAGGTGGCAGTGGGTGTTTTACCACACGCGCCTTCACATTTGGTGGCATTCGGTGGCATTAATACAGTCTTCTTTACAAATGGTGGCAGCAGTTTAATAACGGCTTCCTCACATTTGGTGGCAAGCGACGGGATACGTTTGGAAGCTAATTGAGAATAACTCTCATATTTTTCTTTTTTGATCATCCTATAAAATTCAGGTGTCAGCTGCAATTTCTGTTGAACTTCTCGTTTAAACTTAGAGTAATCTCTATGTTCTGTCTCTGCCATGTCGCTGTAAATCTCCAGAAGTTTACTACAAATCTGTGGTCTTAAATATGCCATCCATTTTTCCTCAGCTACATTGAAGTCTCTACAACATCGTTCGAAGGAAATTAAGAACTTTTCGATATTGTCTTCTTTATTGTATCTTGGGAATTTTCTCAAAATATGATCCATAGGGATCTCCTCTGGTCTCTCCTGTATATTCACTTGTGTCTGAGGGAGAGTTAAACGTTGTTTTTCAATTTCTAATTCCATTTTCCGTAATTCAGCCTGCCTGACTCTTTCCCTCTCCTCAAACTCCATTTCTGCCTGTCTTGCCCTGTCCCGTGCCTCAATTTCCAATTTTCTTAACTCTATCTGATATTTATACTGTAACTCAGACATAGGAGTTACAGTATACAAGCAGAGGCACAACACTGTTGCTTAGATAATTCATTGGAACGTGTGCCAAAATTGCCATCTGCCTGCTACAAAGAACTGGTGGGATCACAAGCCAGAAAAAGTTACAGAAAATGAAAACGTCAAACTTCTGAATTCAGACAGAGTTTTGGAGCACAATACTCTTGACCTCATGATCATGTTAAAAAACAAAGTATGGATCGATGTTGCAATCCCAGGTGACAGCAGGATTGACGAGAAACAACTGGAAAAATTGACACAATATGAGGATTTAAAGACTGAACTGCAAAGACTCTGGCACAAGCCAGTCAAGGTGATCGGCACACTGGGTGCAGTGCCTAAAGACCTTGGCCTGCACTTAAACACAATCAGCCACCTTACTGGGATCTGCACGCATTATTCACTGATACATCACACAGTCCTAGAGACTTGGGAAGTGTGATTCAATACAAGAGCCAGCAGTGTTGTGTTTCAAATAATAATAATAATAATTATTATTATTGTGCAGTTTTCTGGCATTGTATATTTCTGCCGCTTCTGTGATTGTTCATTTGTATTTTGAGTCTATAGCCCACTTGTTGATGGATGTCTGGAATCAGCAACATCCACCACGGTCCTTTTTATCCTGGGCGTTGACCAAGCCAGTATAGACTTTGTTTTGATTTGTTTCTCCATAATGCTAATGGGTTAGGTGCTCTTAGTTCCACTCCTAGGCTGAGACCTCACTGGCTTGGTTGAAGCTGCTCGTAATGACACTACCGCCAGCACAGCTATCAGCATCCTTGAAGCAGTTAAGCCCCCCACCACGACAAGGTGGCACCCATCCGGGGGGGGGGGGAGGAGGGAGATCTCAGACAGCAATTGTAATAATAATACAATATTATAATTATAATTATATATTTACATTACATGTAATATTATTAATAATATTACAATATAATGGTATAGTGCAATATAGTAATATATAATACTGATATTGTACTATTCTAATAATATAATATATTGTATGAAAATATATCTTGTAAGCCACTCTGAGTCCCTTTCGGGGTGAGAAGGGTGGCATATAAATACTGTAAATTAATTAATTAATTAATTTGGAAACAATAAACATTTACAAAATCACGATCTGTCAACTGCAAAAGGCCACCTTACTTGGATCTGCACGCATCATTCGAAACTACATCTCACAGTCCTAAACGCTTAGGAAATGTTCGACTTGTGATTTTGTGATACGAAATCCAGCATATTTATCTCATTTGCTGTGACATAATGTGTTTTTGTGTCAGTAAAATAATAATAATAATAATAATAATAATCTTTATTTATATTCCCCTTTATCACCTTGGAGCAGGAAGGAATACATTTATAAAGCAAACATTCTATGCCTTTTACACATATGACATACAATACACAGATAAGGTAAAGGCCTTCCCCTTTTCCATCTCTGGAGTCTGGAGGCAATGCTCAACTTCCAACCATGGGGAGGTGCTCTTGCTCCATTTTCCATGCTGAAGGAGCCTGCTGTCTGTAGGCATCTCTGATCTTTTTACCGGCATGTCTGCATGGGGCATGCTTTTGCCTTCCCGCCAAGGATCTACTCGCTTTCGAACTGTTAGGTTGGCAGAAGACCCTTGTGGGATGCAGCATTCCTCCAAAATGCTCTGCCCCTATCAATTCACTGCCTTCTCTCTTTGACTGGCTTTACACTGAAGGATTAATGCAGTTTGACTCCGCTTTAGCTGTCACTGCTCAATGCTAAGAAAACCTGGGATTTGTAGCAGGCAACAGTACTCTTGGACAGAAAAGGCTAAAAGCTATGTAAAATTACAACTATAAAATAGGAAACCACACTAGAGGTTGGTTTGCCTGAATTTTGTTTTCCAGCTGTGGTTAGTTGAATCTGTGAGTGGTGAAGCCATGGAAGTCTAACTGTAGTACTGTATTTCTTTGATTCCAAGGCACAATTGATTTTAAGATGCACATTAATTTAAGTACTACCAACAGGGGAAAAAAGTTTTGTTTATATGTAGAAAGCACCTATGATTCCTACTACAGGCACAATGGAGGACCTCCTTGCGGCAACACCAGAGGCACTCCAAGTAGCCAGATACTGGTCAAAGGACATTTAATCAACTACCAAACTCACAAATTTTGTGTTTTGTCTATTTGTTTGTCTTTAAAATCTATGGGTAGGCCAAATGTAATTAAAATTTAAAAATAATGCTGGACATGGGAGAAAAGGTGATGGGGTGTTTGTGGAAACATACAAGCAGACCTAAAACAATATAAAGTGCTTTGGAGGACAAAGTGCTGTGGGATCATTATTCTGGGAAGGCACACTGGAACAACCATATATATAGAGATATATATACACATACACACACACAAAATTTAACTGACATGGTCTAGATCTATGATCTACACACACACACACACACATATTTATATATATAGAATACACACACATATTGCATTCAAATCATCCCTGACAGATGGCCATCCAGCCCCTGTTTAAAAGCTTCCAAAGAAGGAGCCTCCACCACACTCCGGGGCAGAGAGTTCCACTGCTGAACGAGGGCAGTGAGTTCCACTTCCTGACTCTCACAGTCTGGCAAGAAGCAGGAATATTGCATTCAAATCCCCCCTGACAGATGGCCATCCAGCCTCTGTTTAAAAGCCTCCAAAGAAGGAGCCTCCACCACACACCGGGCAGAGAGTTCCACTGCTGAACAGGCTTTGACATCTATGATCATAACACAGGCCTAGATCTATGATCATAGAAGCAGGAATATTGCATTCAAAGCACCCCCGACAGATGGCCATCCAGCCTCTGTTTAAAAGCTTCCAAAGAAGGAGCCTCCACCACACTCCGGGGCAGAGAGTTCCACTGCTGAACAGGCTTTGACATCTATGATCATAACACAGGCCTAGATCTATGATCATAGAAGCAGGAATATTGCATTCAAAGCACCCCCGACAGATGGCCATCCAGCCTCTGTTTAAAAGCTTCCAAAGAAGGAGCCTCTACCACACTCCGGGGCAGAGAGTTCCACTGCTGAACAGGCTATGACACCTATCATCATAACACAGGCCCAGACCTATGATCCTGGCACAGGCTGAATCCCTCTTCCCAGACCTGCCTTTCCACAGATCAGGAGCACCTCTGCCTGGCTTCTTGACTGGGCCTCGGCCTTCCCAGCCCACTGCCTCTTACCTGCACCAATTCTGGGCCCAGCAGGACACTCGAGGCGGGAGAAGGGGGAACAAAGGCCCCGCCTCCCTTCCTCCCCACAGAAAATGGGCCCAGCACGGAAGCCCCGCCTCCTTCAGCCTTCCACCCGGCTGTCACTCTTTGGCCCCAGGCCCCGCCTCTTCCGGTTGTGCGCGAGGGCGGAGTCAACACAATCCTCCTCCAAACAGGCGTCCCTTTTCACCTGGCTGTCACTCTTTGGGCCTAGACCCGCCCCTTCCGGGATAGGCCTGAAATGGGTGAGTGCAGGCCTGGGCCAACTTGGGCCCTCCGGGTGTTTTGGACTCCAACTCCCACAATTCCTAACAGCCTACCGGCTGTTAGGAATTGTGGGAGTTGGAGTCCAAAACACCCGGAGGGCCCAAGTTGGCCCAGGCCTGCTCTAGAGTGAATCTAAACTGGCAACACTGAGACCAAACCTCCAACTTCACCGCTTGGTGGCAGTGTTTACCTCTGAAACATTGCTTACAGCCCAGATCTGTTTATGCAGCTCTAAGTGCCTCTGAGGCTCCCTGAACGTTAGTGACATTGGGTGGCTGTGGGTTTTTTGGACTGTGTGGCCAATGTTCCAGTAGCATTCTCTCCTGACGTTTCGTCTGCATCTGTGGCTGGCATCTTGGCAGCGAGGCAAGTTGAGTGTGTATAATATATAATAAGGAACTAGCTGTACCCGCCACGCGTTGCTGTGGCCAACCTTCCCTCCCTCTTTCTCTCTTTTTTCTTTCCTTTTCCTCCCTCTTTCCTCCTTCCTTCCCCCCCCCCCCTTTTCTTTCCTTCTTCTTTCTCTCCTTTTTCCTTCTCTACCTCTTTCCTTCCTTCCTTCCCTCTCTTTTTCTTCCTTCCCTTTTTTCTTTCTTTTCTCCTTCCTTCCATCTCTACCTCTTTCCTGCATATCCCCCTTCTTCCCTCCCTCACTCTCTCCTTCCTTCTCTACCTCTTTCTTTTTTTCCTTCCCTCTTCCCTCTTTTCCCTCCTTCCTCTCTCCTTCCTTCTTTACCTCTTTCCTTCCTTCCCTCCTTCTTTCCCTCCCTCTTTCTCTCCTTCCTTGTCTACGTCTTTCCTTCCCCCCTTTCCCTCCTTCCTTCTTTCCTTCTTTCCCTCCCTCATTCTCTCCTTCCTTCTCTACCTCTTTCCATCCTTCTTTCCCCCCCTTTCTCTCCTTTCTTTCTCTCCTTCCTTCCATCTCTCTTTCCTTCCTTTCCTTTTTTCTTTCCTTTTATCCTTCCTTCAATCTCTACCTCTTTCCTTCCCCTTTTCCTTTTCCTCCCTCCTTCTCTTCTTCCTTCCTTCTCTACCTCTTTCCTTCCTTCCCTCCCTCCTTCCTTCTTTCCCTCTTTCCCTCCCTCATTCTCTCCTTTCTTCCTTCTTTATCTCTTTCCTTCCTTCCTTCCTTCCCCCCTCTTTCCCTCCTTCCTTCTTTCCCTCTTTTCCTCCCTCATTCTCTCCTTCCTTCCTTCCTTCTCTACCTCTTTCCTTCCTTCCCCCTCTTTCTCTCCTTTCTTTCTCTCCTTTCTTTCTCTCCTTCTTCCCTCTTTTTTCCTTCCCTTTTTATTTCCTTTTCTCCTTCCTTCCATCTGTACCTCTTTCCTGCATATCCACTTTTTCTTTCCCTCCCTCACTCTCTCCTTCCTCTACCTTCCTTCCCTCCCTCTTTCTTTCCTTCCTTCTTTCCCTCTTTCTTTCATTCCCTCCTTCTTCTTTCTCTCCTTCCTTCCTTCTTTCCCCTTTCCCTTCCCTCCTTCTCTCCTCCTTCCTTCTATCCTTCTTTCCTCCCTTTCTTCCTTCCTTCCCTCTTTCCCTTCCTTCATTCTCTCCTTCCTTCCTTCCTTCTTTATCTACCTCTTTCCTTCCTTCCTTCTTTCCTTCTTTCCCTCCTTCATTTCTTTCCTCTAGACATAGGCCAGAAAAGAGTTGGGCTCGAAGGCAGCTCTTGAGAGAGGTGTGTCCCTGCTCTCTGCAGAGCAAGGGCTCCATGGTTAGTAAGCCCAGCATCTGCATCTGTATTGTCATTTAGCTTTTTGGGTTTTTTTTGTAGGGGTTTATGAGTGATGGTCACTTGTTGGTCTGTTAAGGGTATAGTGTCCAAATTTGGTGTCAATTCGTTCAGTAGTTTTTGAGTTATGTTAATCCCACAAACAAACATTACATTTTTATTTATATAGACTATCCGTCCCCTGCCACATGTTGCTGTGGCCCAGTCTGTGTATATGTGTTTTGTGTATGTATATATATTTGTGTATATGTGTATATATGTGGTTTTGCATTTTTTTTTGTTTTTTGGCCTTTTAAGTCTCTTCTGCTGTGCTTTTCAGTGTTTTTATGAGTGATGGTCATACGCTGGCCCTATAGGTGACTTGTGTCCAAATTTGGTGCCAATTCGTCCAGTGGTTTTTGAGTTATGTTAATCCCACAAACGAACATTACATTTTTATTTATATAGATCATGCCCAGGGTGGGAGAAAGGATCCTCGTTTGTTTGGAGCAGGTGTGTATGTTGCAATTAGCAAGTTTGATTAGCATTGAGTAGCCTTGCAGCTGCAAAGTCAATCAGTGAAGGTATCTGCATAGAGATTGCCTGGCTGATGTACCTGGAGGCATCCTTTGTTTCAGAGGTTAGGAGTTGTGGGAGTTGAAGTCCAAAACACCTGGAGAGCCAAAGTTTGCCCAGGCCTTCTCTAGAGCAGTGGCTTTTTAAGCTTTACTTCTCCAGGTGTTTGGGACTTCAACTCCCAGAAGGCCCAGCCAGCCTTAGTTTGGTTTGCTCCTGACACGATAAATAAATAGCCAGCTGTCAAGAATTCTGGGAGCTGAGGTCCCAAACACCTGGAGGACTAAAGGCTGGGATCTCAGTGCAGGCAGAGGCCACTCCCCTTCCTGGCCATGCGGGGACTGGGGACAAAGGACAGTAAATCCCAGGCAATAATATTTACAGTCTTTTAGCTGCAGTGAAGCCTGGATCTCGAGCATCATGACAGAAGGAACAGAAGAAGAAACTGGCAGAGGCTTCCTGGGGTCGGAGTGAATTGGGAAAGAAAGATCCAAGAAGAGAAGATCTGAGGATGATGGGAGAGCTCTAACCAGAGGCTCCAGACCAACCCTGTGTGTCTGCGGACAAAACTTTGCCGTTCCCCCTTGCGTTCCTTTGTCTAACTGTGTTGCCTTGAATCCAAGAAGCACTGCAAGGATTTTATAAACCGATTTGTTTGCCATTTTCTTTGTGTGCTGGAAAAGATCCCTGGGTTGTCTTCTGAAAGGTGTTTGTTTACTCCAGAAAGGGAACTGCTGCTGTCCTAGTTGGTGTGGAGAAGATGGGTGTGTGTAGGGAAGACCGGGACAATGTTTTCTGAAAGATGTGGAAGACAGAAAGGATGGTAATTCTTGTGGTTTTGAATATTTAGGGTATTTTTTCTTGAATATTAGAAGTTGAAATGTTAACTAAGTAGTAATGAGGACGTGAATGAGAATTTCCCATTTTTGTCTGTGGCTGAGATGGTAGGAAATCAATTTTAATTTTTTTTTGCTGGGTGGTTTTGTTGGTGGGCTAAATGGGTTTTTGATTTGTTTGATGATTTTTTTTACATGTCAGGAGTGACTTGAGAAACTGCAACTCGCTTCTGGTGTGAGAGAATTGCCCATCTACAAGGATGTTGCCCATGGGATGGCCGGATGTGTTGATGTTTTACCATCCTTGTGGGAGGCTTCTCTCATGTCACCACATGGGGAGCTAGAGCTAACAGAGGGAGCTCAACCCACTCTCCCCGGATTCAAACCTCTGCCTGCCTGCCTGCCTGCCTGCACTGGCAGGACTGAAGACTGACATGTTGGATTCAAACCTCCGACATGTCAGTGTTCAGCCCTACCGGCACAAGGTTTTAACCCACTCTGCCACCAGGGGCTCCGATGATGATGATGATGATGATGATGATGATGATGATGATGATGATGATGATGATGATGATGATATCCCACCTTGCTCTCCTAGGGATAACTCACATTGGCTACGATGATTCTATTGTTAATTATCTTGCTTTGCATATACTAAATACAATAAAAATATTGTGTTGTCAAAGGCTTTCATGGCCAGACAGGTTGCAGGTTCGAATCCTGGGAGAGAGCGGATGAGCTCTCCCCGGATTAAAAAAAAATTAAAAAAATTAAAAAAAATCTAGGAAATTAAATAGTGTGGGGACTCCATTGATTCCTGTGTTGCATCAAAAGTGAAAGGCAACTTAAAGGGTGTCAAGAGAAGGAAAGCTCAGCTGGCCCAAGATATTTTGAATCAAAGGTCATTCCCACTTTCATTCCAGTTCCGCATATACAAAAATGGAGAACATAGCAGGAGGAGCAAGACTGTGTGTGAGGGCTTTGGGTGTAGGACAGAGATAAGACGGTCCGTGAATGACCAAAAAAGAAATGTAGGGGATACTAGTGAATAGTTGAAGGGAATGCATCTTTTTACTAGAAAGATTTTGATTTATTATTCTGAAGTGAAAGAACATCTCCAAGCCCTAGTTCGTTTGTTTTTTCCCTGTTACCCTTCTTGTCATGAAATTTATTTATTATTTAACGTGTCAGGAGCAACCAGACAGTTGTATTACATTTTTAATAAAACAAACAGACAAAACACAAAGTTTGCAAGCTTGGTAGTTGATTAAATGTCCTTTGACCAGTATCTGGCCGCTTGGAGTGCCTCTGGTGTTGGCGCAAGGAGGTCCTCCATTGTGCATGTATCAGGGTCATGAAATTGTATCTATTTTATTTATTTACTTCATTTGTACATCGCCTTTCTCGACCCCAAAGGGTACTCAAACTACAATGGCTTCAAACTACAGAAAAGGGAGATTCCATCTGAACATGAGGAAGAATTTCCTAACTGTGAGAACTGTTCAGCAGTGGAACTCTCTGCCCCAGAGTGTGGTGGAGGCTCCTTCTTTGGAGGCTTTTAAGTAGAGGCCGGATGGCCATCTGTCAGGGATGCTTTGGATACGATTTTCCTACTTCTTGGCGGAATGGGGTTGGACTGGACGAGGTCTCTTCCAGGTCTATGATTCTATGATTCAGGTCAGCTTACAAATCCGTCAAAAATTCAATGCCGCACAGGTAAACAATAAAACACATCTCATCAAAATATAAAAAAATCTAAATATATAAGCAATTCAAACACATATCAATCAACCAAACAGATTAAAACTCCATAAAATATGGAGTCATGATCATACAGTTGGAAGAGACAACAAGGGTCATCCAATCCAACCCCTTGCCATGCAGGAACAATGTTATGCCTCTTAACAGAAGAATGCCTTGGTTTTTCAGGTCTTTAAGAGCACACCCTGGTAAAAACACATAGACACTCTCACTTGCGTCAATGACAGATGGCTGACCCGAATGCAGCTGGCCCTGGTGCTATCAAGTATGAAGGAAGTGGAGAACTCTGGGAAGAAATGCTGCCAGAAATCCTTTGTGAAGATCCTATCACTATAGACACACCACACCAGCGCTTTAAGCAGTTCTGTTATCAAGAGTCCCAGGGACCGCGGGAGGTTTGCAGCTGGCTTCACCTTCTCTGCCGCCAGTGGCTGAAGCCAGAGCGACACTCCAAGGCGGAGATGCTGGACCTGGTGATCCTGGAGCAGTTCCTGAGCATCCTGCCCCCAGAGATGGAGTGCTGGGTGAGGGAATGTGGGGCAGAGACCAGTTCCCAGGCGGTGGCCCTGGCGGAAGGCTTCCTCCTGAGCCAAGCAGAGCGGGAGAAGCCAGAGGAGCAGGTAAGAACATGTCACCCTTTGAAGCTGAGCTAGGCTATCTGGGATGCATGGGATGTGTGTGGTGTAATGTAAAATAAACCATGTGTAGTTCACCTTTGATCAGCCCACACGCTGCCTTGCCAGAGAAAGAAAATATGCCATGCAGGGGAACAGTAAAGAACAAGTAGTTTACTCTTCTTAGTTCAGAACAACATATGTACAATGTGATCAATTGTACCAATAGTTAAAACCCTCAAATTCAGAGAGTCAACCATATTTCCCACTGACTCTATAACTCTTTTCCTCATTTGGTGCCTTGGTTCCACTTCCAGGTGAAAGATCTGCCTGTGAGTATTGAGGGTGTGCTAGAGAAGCTTCCATGGGACGCCCAGCAAGGGAAAATAAGGAAAGAGAGTGATAGTGCTGCCATTTTAGTAGGTAAGGATCATCCTTAGAATTGTCATGTGTATATTTGAAATCTGGGAGAGGGTTGCCATGGAAATGGGAGCAATAAAGGTGAGGGTCTAGGGTGAGGTGTGAGGGAAATAAACTGTCAGTTTGAACTTTGTTGCGTTTGCTACTGCATGCTTTTTAATTAAAGCCTTCCAACTTTGTTTGTGAAGTAATTATTTCACCAGAAAGCTACAGATCCAGATATAGAAGTAATTTTAATTGGATAAAAAGATATTAAACCAATCACAGGAAATGATATTTGCTGTGGGTTTTTTCTATATCAAAATCCATGGGTGATCAAGTCTCATTACAGGCAACGGCACAGTGAAATTATGTCTCCTATATCAAGTGGCAATATATCTGTTTGCTTTTTGGATTTTTTTTTCAAGCCATAAATCAGTGATGGGCAACCTTTTGAGCTTGGTGTGTCAAAATTCGCCAAAAAACCGAGCATAACTCAGGTGGGGTGTCACTTCGAGAAACAAACCATAATTTTACGATATTTATAGTTTATGTAATATATAACTGCATTTAATAAACCAAAAACTAATTTTAACCTACCTGCTTAGTGACTTCTTTGTTCATCCATTGTCGGTTTCTTTTGATGGTCTTGATATTATTTAACTTGTTTGGGGCGCCGTGAACTAAGATAACTGGGGGAGGGGGAATTCTTTAACTAACCTGCCTATTAGTGACTTTTTTGTTGCTGAATTTCATTGGCTAAATCTTCAATTGAAGGTTGGTATTTTGTACACTTCAAGCCCAAGCAAGCACTACTAACTTCATCTGTCAATCTGTTTCTTTGGATTGGATGATGGTTACTGTGGTTATGTGGTTGCTGGTTATAGTGATCACAGGGCCCCCAGAGATGCATCTCTTGCAGCATTCTGCTGCTCCCTTCTCTGCTGGCCAAAGATCCCCTAATGGCTTAACCAGAAGTCCCAGAACTAGACGTTCTGTGCCGGAGTTCTGTTGTTTTGACCTACAGACCTCCGGCACAGAGTGTCTACACTACACTACAGCAAGTGTTCCATCCTCGGGTACTGAACCTGGCCAAGGATGAAACATCCTTCTCAGCATGTGGCCCCATACTTTTCTGTATGCAGCAGGTGTCATCGAAAACAGCTATGTGTGTCAGTGCTGACACGCGTGTCATAGGTTCGCCATCATGGCCATAGATAGTTGAATCTGTGGGTGCAAAATCTGTAAAAATAGAGCAAACATGGTCAGACTTGGGCCCTCCAGGTGTTTTGGATTTCAAATGTTAGGAATTGGGGGAGTTGAAGTGCAGATCACCTGGAGGGCCCAAGTTTTCCTTTGCCTGATAGAGAGGGTCTACTGTGTGCATTTAAAAAAATACTGTGATTGTACTGCTAATCTTGGAGACACACAGAAGTGTTTGGCTTCCCACCCTGTTTTCTCTCACACAGGAACTGGACTAATGGCACCAACAAGGACTCGGTCATCTTTTGTCCATTTTGATGGAGTGGGAGCAGATCAGGTAAAGAGTGCCTCTTTTCCCCATTCATACTCCTGGAAGAGATAAACAAGCATTTATTCCCTTCATACTACAAATTTCATCATATTCAGATTAAGGAATTTATTAAAAATGGGAATGTAGGAGCAGCACACAGGTTAACACAGGCATGGGCCAGCTTGGGACCTCTGAGTGTTTTGGACTTCCACAATTCCTAACAGCCTCAGGCCCTTCCTTTGAAAAGGAAGGACCTGAGGCTGTTAGGAATTGTGGAAGTTGAAGTCCAAAACACCCAGAGGGCCCAAGTTGGCCCATACCTGTGTTAAACCATCCAAGCTCATGTTAGCCGCAAATTCGAACTGATACCTTTTTTCCTCTGGGAAACCTCTCATGAGCTGTTCTGAATTGTGGGAGTTGAAGTGCAAAGCGCCTGTTGGCCAGACGTTTGTCCATACCTGCTTTGAACTGTCCTTTGGATTAGATTGGTCGACAATTGTAACATTAGTGGTGAACAGGAATTTTTTTTTCCTCCTCTCCTTTTTCCTTTCAGTGCCTGTTGATGTTTGAGGAGGTGGCTGTGGATTTCTCCCCAGAGGAGTGGGCCTTGCTGGACTTGGGCCAGAGGGCTCTGCACAAGGAAGTCATGGAGGAGACCCACGAGATTGTGACCTCTCTTGGTAGGAGTCTTCTTTTGCTTGACTCATGAGAGTATATATGTTTCTCGTGTCATTTGGAGAAGGGCCCAAGGGAACTAGATGTTAGAGAAATCTACCCAGAAGTATATAGCAGAGCATCCAAAAATCAAAGAGGATACAAAAGTTGAGCATCAGCTCATTAGCAAGCAGAGCATGAAGTGCCGTGTGATGTGGCTGTAAAGAATTCAGAGCTTAGGAAGCAAACATGCAAAGTTCAGTCTTAAAAATCACAAAAAGTTTATTTACAATAATAAGAAACTAACTACATTTCTTAATAATCAAGACTTGGATCTGAGCTACTTCTTAAACCCATCTCTTTGAAGGTTTCAAAGAGAGGGAAAAATCACCAATGGCTACATCTCTCCTGACACACACGCAGAGAGAGATCTCAAAGCAAACAGCACATACACTCCTTAGTAGAGTGTAAAAAGGCAGAAGGCAGATTCAAAAAAAGGCTTCCAGTAGAAGAGTATCCATTTTAAACAAACAATCCGAATGAGAGCAGAAACAGACAGGAGAGAAGAAATGAGATACATCCCAACTGTCATGCAGGAGACATGGGGAAGGGAAACTAACTGCTCCTTGTTGAGGACTTGAGACTTGGGCAGTGTGGGGTTGAATTCCAACACTAGATGTGTGAAATAACTGGAGGTCTGGAGTGTTTTGCATGCAATATTCAGGTGGGGGGAAAATCCTTAATCACACCACTTTAAAATATAATAATAATAATAATAATAATAATAATAATAATAATAATAATCTATTTATATTCTGTTCTATCTCCCTAAAGGGACCTCAGGGCAGATTCCAAACATAAAAGGCAAACATTCAGTGCCCGAAATATGGATTTGGGAAGGGCTTCTCATAGTAATGCTTTCTAATATTCTGTAGATTGCTTCTAATCATTGCTGTTCTCGTCTTTTTTCAGCTTCAGTTCCAGAGCCAAACACTGACCAAAGGGAAGAGGAAGAGGAGGAGCTGAAGATGCCAGATTCCCAGGTCATAGGTCTGACAAAAATCCTGGAAACCGGTTCAGGGGATTCACTGAGTAAACCAGGTAGACTCAACTTTACTTCCAGATATGAAATTCTGGAAGTCATCACTCACTCAGCCATTCTAGGATGGATCTACACTCTAGAATTAATGCAGTTTGACACAACACGGATGCTATGGAAACATGTTGTTGATTTTCAGGACCTTTATAGACTTTACTACCAAAGGGTGCTGATGCCTCACAAAACTATAAATCCCACAATTCCAAGGCATTGAGCAACAGCAGTTAAAGTGGTATAAAACTGCATTAATTCTACAGTGTGCATGCAATCCTACTTTGGAAATACAGTTCAAACCAGTGTTTTCTAGGCTATTTGATGTGGGGGACTGGCACTTTTTCCCCCGGTGTCTTTCCTGGAAACTCCAGGGAATTGTTGTATTATTGTTGTATGATTGTTGTATTATTGATAGTTAGGTTGATATTTCGTTGTGCTATTGCTCTATGGTAAACTGTGTTTTTATATGTTGTACACCGCCATGAGTCGCCCTAGGGCTGAGAACGGCGGTCAACAAATGCCGTAAATAAATAAATAAATAAATAAACTGCTCCTAATGGCTCGTGGCATGATGCATTTGAATGGCACTGTTTTAAAGCAGCCCTGGTCACTTTTCAAAGCTGCTTTGAAATAGGATTCATAGAATCATAGAATCTTAGAGTTGGAAGAGACCTCATGGGCCATCCAGTCCAACCCCCTGCCAAGAAGCAGGAACATCGCATTCAAATAACCCCCGACAGATGGCCATCCAGCCTCTGTTTAAAAGCTTCCAAAGAAGGAGCCTCCACCACACTCTGGGGCAGAGAGTTCCACTGCTGAACGGCTCTCACAGTCAGGAAGTTCTTCCTCATGTTCAGATGGAATCTCCTCTCTTGTAGTTTGAAGCCATTGTTCCGTGTCCTAGTCCCAGGAAGCAGAAAACAAGCTTGCTCCCTCCTCCCTGTGGCTTCCTCTCACATATTTATACATGGCTATCATATCTCCTCTCAGCCTTCTCTTCTTCAGGCTAAACATGCCCAGCTCCTTAAGCCGCTCCTCATAGGGCTTGTTCTCCAGACCTTTGATCATTTTAGTCGCTCTCCTCTGGACACATTCCAGCTTGTCAATATCTCTCTTCAATTGTGGTGCCCAGAATTGGACACAATATTCCAGGTGTGGTCTAACCAAAGCGGAATAGAGGGGTAGCATTACTTCCCTGGACCTAGACACTATGCTCCTATTGATGCAGGCCAAAATCCCATTGGCTTTTTTTGCTGCCACATCACATTGTTGGCTCAAGTTTAACTTGTTGTCCACAAGGACTCCAAGATCTTTTTCACACGTACTGCTCTCGAGCCAGGCATTGTCCCCCATTCTGTATCTTTGCATGGGGGACAATGCCTGGCTCGAGAGCAGTACGTGTGAAAAAGATTTTGGATTGCCCCCACATTTTTGTTTCCCCGGGAGCCTAAAGTAACTGGTTCACTATGGTCTGAATCATGTCCCCACAGATAATAATAATAATAATAATAATAATAATAATAATAATAATAATAATTGATTTATATACCGCTCCATCTCCCCGAGGGGACTCAGAGCTGTTTCCAGGTAACATCACAAAACATACAAAGTAAAAACAACATAACATAAGGTTAACAAAACAAAATATAAGCATAAAAATTTTACAGAGGCTTTTAAACAGAGGCTGAATGGACCTCTGTTGGGTGTGCTTTGAATGTGATTGTCCTTCTTCTTGACAGAATGGGGTTGGACTGGATGGCCCACGAGGTCTCTTCCAACTCTATGATTCTATGACTCACATTTTTGTAATTAAAAATTCGTAGTTAATTTTTAATATTTCTGACATGTTCCTTCTCTCCCTCAGTTGGAAGTCAATCTTGTCTGCGTTTATGTTCCCTCTCAGGAGATAACTGGAAGAAAATGGAAATTGATGACAAATTTGATCTCGCAAAATACCAGGAAACCCACACAGAAGAGGAAAGAAACAATAGAGGCCCCAGATGTGGCAAATATTTTCCCCAAAAGATGGCCCTTAGCCTTCACAAGCAGGTCCATAGAGGAAAGAAATGCATGCAATATTTTGACCACAAATTGTACATTGCAAAACACCAAAGAGTCCCTCTAAAAGAGAAGCCGTACAAGACAGACTTCATGGAGCAACAGAGAGTGCACACAGACGAAAAACCATTCAAATGCCAGGAGTGTGACAAATGTTTTACTCACAGCTCAAACCTTTTGACTCACCTTGTTGTCCACACTGGGGAAAAGCCGTACAGATGCCAGGAGTGTGGAAAAGGTTTTGTTTACAAGTCGGGCTTTGTGAGGCACGTGAGAGTCCACACAGGAGAGAAGCCTTACAAATGCCAGGAGTGTGGGAAAAGTTTTGCTCACTCGTCGGTCCTTCTAACCCATCAGAAAATCCACACAGGAGAGAAACCGTACAAGTGCTACAAATGTGGGAAATGTTTTGTTCAGGAGTCAGGCTGCATGAAGCATGAGAGAGTCCACACTGGGGAGAAACCCTACGAATGCCAGGAGTGCGGGAAATGCTTTGCTTACTCCTCCGCCCTTCTGACTCACCAAAGAGTCCACACAGGGGAGAAACCCTACAAATGCCAGGATTGTGGGAAATGCTTTGCTCGCAAGGCAGACCTCGTAACTCACCAGAGAGTCCACACAGGAGAGAAACCATACAGATGCCAAGAGTGCGGGAAGTGTTTTGCTCAGAACTCAACCCTTCACGTCCACCAGAGATGCCACACGGGAGAGAAACCACACAAATGCCAGGAGTGCGGGAAATACTTCACTCATAATTCCACCCTTTTAGTTCACATGAGAACCCACACAAAAGAGGGGCCCTTCAAATGCCAAGACTGTGGGAAATGCTTTGCCCAGAAAACACGTCTTCTGGTGCATCAGAGGTTCCACACCGGGGAGAAACCCTACAAATGCCAGGAGTGTGGGAAATGTTTTGTCGGCAAGTCAAACCTAGTGGTCCACCAGAGACTCCACACTGGAGAGAAACCCTACAAATGCCAGGAATGTGGGAAATGCTTTGTTCGCAGTTCAGACCTTTTGGCTCATCAGGTTGTCCACACAGATGAGAAATCATACAAGTGCCAGGAATGTGGGAAAAATTTTATTCGGCACTCAAGCCTTCTCATCCACCAGGCAATCCACTCCACAGAGAACCCCTTCAAATGTGAAGAGTGTGGCAAATATTTTGTTTGCAAGAGAGTCCTTGTCAATCACCAGAGAATCCACAACGGAGAGAAAACCTTCACCTGCCTGGAGTGTGGGAAAAGTTTTGTGCAGAAATCGGGCCTCGTGAATCACCAGAAAATCCACAATGGAGAGAAACCACATTCTTGCCAGGAATGTGGGAAAAGTTTTGCTCATAGGTCGAGCTTGGTGAAACATGAGAGAATCCACACTGGAGAGAAACCCTACGAATGCCAGGAATGCGGGAAAGGTTTTGCTCACTCCTCCGCCCTTCTGACTCACCAAAGAGTCCACACAGGGGAGAAACCGTACAAGTGCCAGGATTGTGGGAAGTGTTTTGCTCACAAGTCGGATCTCATGAGCCACCAGAGAGTCCACACAGGAGAGAAACCATACAAATGCAAGGAGTGTGGGGAAAGTTTTGCTCGGAAAACTCTGCTGAACAGACACGTGAAAGCGCATCAGGGTAATGACGTTGTATGGAACAGTTTGGATTATGCTTCAGTCATGGCAGTCTATCAGGAACTCCACTTAGGAGAGAAACCCTGCACATATGAGTAGCGTGTTAACTGTTGTGTTCACACATTGTATTTTAAGTCACATTGGGGGGCATATCAGCCTAGAAACCATGCAAATATTGTTAAGTGTGGGAAACAAAAGTATTGTGAACGTTTAGAAGACGCTTGACTGATTCTTCCCAAATACATTGAGTGGGACTTTTTCTACCCCCAGACTTGACTTTTCTTATGATTTCCATTTTCGTAGCCAAACATACAGATTTATGATGGTGGGAAGGGGGTTATATGTTAGGATAGCTACAGAGTCAGACTTCTCACTCTCCCGTATTTCTCAGCTTTCTGTTCCCTGTTTGGGCTGCTGTGAGTTTTCCATGCTGTCTGGCCATGTTCCAGAAGCATTCTCTCCTGATGTTTCACCCACATCTATGGCAGGCATCCTCAGAGGTTGTGAAGTCTGTTGGAAACTCTTGTCTGGGTTGCTGTGAGTTTTCCAGGCTGTCTGGCCATGTTCCAGAAGCATTCTCTCCTGACATTTCACCCACATCTATGGCAGGCATCCTCAGAGGTTGTGAAGTCTGTAGGAAACTCTTGTCTGGGTTGCTGTGAGTTTTCCAGGCTGTCTGGCCATGTTCCAGAAGCATTCTCTCCTGACGTTTCAGTCACATCTATGGCAGTCATCCTCAGAGGTTGTGAAGTCTGTTGAAAACTCAGCAGTTGAGGTTTATATATCTGTGCACTGTTCAGGGTGGGAGAAAGAACTTTTGTCTGTTTGAGGCAAGTGTGAATGTTGCAATTCGCCAGCTTGATTAGCATTGAATAGTCTTGCAGCTTCAAAGCCTGGCTGCTTCCAGCTTAAGCAGTTGAGGGGAGGGGGGGCAGGAAGGAAGGAGCCTGAGGCTGTTAGGAATTGTGGGAGGTGACGTCCAAAACACTCGGAGGGCCAAAGTTTGCCCATGCCTGTACTAACACCTTCGGCTGTAGGTGCTTGCTTACCCCTAACCAGGAGAGCCAGCCTTTGTTGTCTCTTCTAATGCAATTTAGGTCACCTTCTTTTGCCTGTTTCCTTTATTATCCTAAAGTGGAATTCCCGAGACAATAAATTATGTTTTCTTATGAAAGCCTCTACAGTCATTTCTCTGATATCAACCACAATATGCCTTCAAAAGCAGTCTCTTTTCATGAGTTCCTTGTTTTTTTGTTTCCTTTCACCTGTCCATTTACTATTCTGATGATAATGAAGGTAGGGACAATGAATTGCTATGAAAGCTCTCAGTGTCCTCATTTGGCATTACACTTCAGGATTCTATGACATTGTAGCTCACTCTCACAGCTGCATACGGATGATGTGTTCTTGCATCCATATACTTTGATAGACTGCAACTGACCACTCTAAAGACCTGAGAGAACTATATCCCCTCATGTAGACCTTTTAATTTTTGGGCAAGAGAAATATTTGTTTATTTGTTTATTTACAGTATTTATATTCCACCCTTCTCACCCCGCAGGGAACTCAGGATGGATCACAATGCACACATACATGGCAAACATTCAATGCCATAGACACACAACATATATAGATACACACAGAGGCTATTCAACTTTCCAGCTTCATGAGGGTATGCTTTTTGAATTCTGGCCACCGGGGGAGCTGTCGCTTTACCAACCACTTTTGACATCGATTGAGTACTTCCTCATTCTTTGCATGCTGCTGGAGAGTTTTTTATGGTGTTGTAAATTAATTAAATTAGCCTCTCCACATAAGTGGTACCTAAATTTCCTACTTGACAGATGCAACTGTCTTTGGGGCTGCAAAGGTCAACAGGAAGCTAGACAAATGGTCGGGAGCTTACTCCCACCGGAGCTGGTTTCGAACTCATGACCATTCAGTCAGTAGTGATTTTAATGCAGCTGACTCTCAACCAGCTGTGCCACAACCCGGTGTTTAAACTTGTAATTCCCAACCTCTAGTCCTCCAGGTGTTTCAGACTTCAACTCCCAGCAGCCTCTGCCGTTTTGGCCAATAGTCTGAGGCCCCTTCCACACTGCCATATAATCCAGATTATCAAAGCAGATAATGCACATTCTCTGCTTTGCACTGGATTATATGAGTCTACACTGCCATATAATCCAGTTCAGAGCAGACAATCTGGGTTTTAGATGGCAGTGTAGAAGGGGCCTGAGACTCTGGGAGCTAAAGTCCAAAACACCGGGAGGAACAAAGTTTGGGAATCAATGATCTAAACAGTTGACTTGTGTGCCTGTAAAGCTGGCAGTACTGGCTGGGGGATTTGGTGAATTGGGAACCCCCAAAAGGGAACATTTCTAAACTGTGGATCTGTGTAGATTGGAATAGGGAAAAATCTATCCTTTGGGTACCATTTTTAAAAAATGAAATGCAGATTCCAAATCCCCCCCCCCCCCAAATTGCCTCCAAGGTGAGTTGGCAGTGACATAATAGTTTAAATCCTTGTGCTACTAACCTGCTGACCCGGAAGATGGCAGTTCAAATCTGCGGGATGGGGTGAGCTCCCGCTGTTAGCCCAGCTCCTGCCAACCTAGCAGTTCAAAAACATGCAAATGTGACTAAATCAATAGGTACCACTTCGGCGGGAAAGTAATAAAAGGTGCCCATGCAGCCATGCCGGCAAACATGACCAGAACATGTCTACAGACAACAGGCTCCTCAGCTTGGAAACAGAGAAAGAGCACCTCCCCATGTCCGGAGTTGAGCACCACCAGAAATGAAAGGGGAAGCCTTTACCTATGTTCTATGTATTTGTGTGTCATTGTTATTCCACTGTATTAAAGGCACACTGAATGTTTGGCTATTTGTGTATGTTGTAATCCACTGTTAGAGTATAAGCAAAGTGTATTGTCGAAGGCTTTCATGGCTGAAATCATTGGGTTATTTGTGTGTTTTCCGGACTGTGTGGCCATGTTCCAGAAGCATTCTCTCCTGATGTTTCATCTGCATCTATAGGCAGGCATCCTCAGAGGTTGTGAAGTTGGAGTAATGCCTGCCATAGATAGATGCAAGCGAAGCATCAGGAGAGAATGCTTCAGGAACATGGCCATACAGCCCAGAAAACACACAACAACCCATAAATAAAGTGTATTATTATTATTATTATTATTGTGTGTGTGTATGTCAGGAATGACTTCTGGTGTGAGAGAATTGGCCATCTGCAAGGAAGTTGCCCAGGGGATGCCCAGATGTTTTGATGTTTTTTACCATCCTTATGGGAGGCTTCTCTCATGTCCCCGCATTGAGAGCTGGAGCTGACAGAGGGAGCTCATCCCACTCTCTCCAGATTCGAACCTGCGACCTGTCAGTCCTCAGTCCTGCCAGCACAAGGGTTTAACCGATTGAGCCCCCGGGGACTCCTCATTATTATTATTATTATATGACGAACCAAATGCTGGGATATAGATAAGGTTAAACAAACATGCAAGTGGAGTTGCTGTAATGTTTTGCTACACCAATCTAATAGAGGTGAGCTTGTGCTGAGACTGATTCAAGGTCTGTTTTAGTTGTTCCCTGCTATTTGTGTGAACCAGAATACTCCATTCCCCATTTTCTTGCCGTCTGTGTGCCTCTGCTCTGAATGAATCATACAAGACTGATAACAAACGCTGGAAATAAACTAATATTTAGAGGGAAAAAACCAAAAGCATTTCAGCATTTCCAGTCTTCTTCAGTGGCTCTCAAGACTATTTTTTATTTTGCAAGTCTTCCTGCCTTTAAGAAATGTGAATGCAAACAACAATTCATTATGTACATACAACAATTCAAAATTATATTTACAATTCAAAATAAGATACCAACTTTATAAGGCGGAGAGAGGATACGATAGTCATGTTTAAATGTTTGAAAGGATTTCACATTGAGGAGGGGGCAAGATGGTTTTCTGCTACGCTGGAGACCAGGACACAAAGGAGGGATGGATTCAAATCACAAGAAAAGTGATTCCACCTGAACATTAGGAACAACTTCCTGACAGTAAGAGCTGTTCAGCAATGGAACTGGCTGCTGCCTCAGAATGTGGTGGAGTCACGTTATCCAGGAGATTTTAAGCAGGGGCTGGATGGCCATCTGTCGGGAGGGCTTTGATTGTGCTTTTCCTGCATGAAGGCAGAAGGCAGTTGGAACTGGATGGGCATTGGGGTTGGCGGGATTGATTTTGTCATTTGGGAGTTGTAGTTCTTGGATTTATAGTTCACCTACAATCCAAGAACATTCCACCAACAATGGAATTGAACCAAACTTGGCACACAGAACTCCCATGACCAACAGAAAATATTAGAAGGGTTTGGTGGGCATTGACCTTGAGTTTTGGAGTTGTCGTTCACCTGCATCCAGAGAGCACTGTGGATTCAAACAATGATGGATCTGGATCAAACCTGGCATGAATCGTCAATATGTCCAAATGTGAACATTGGTGGAGTTTGGGGAAAATAGACCCTGACATTTGGGAGTTGTAGTTGCTGGGATTTATAGTTTACCTACCATCAAAGAGCATTCTGAACCCCATGAAGGAGGGAATTGGGCCAAACTTCCCACACAGAACCCCCATGCCTTGAAGGGACTCACTGGTGTGAGCCTCCCTCCAGCCTCACATGCTCTCGTTCGCCCGCACATGCGCACCACGCTGCCATGCGCCGAGCATGCCTGCTCTCCCCTCCCTGCTTGTAGTCTCAGAAACAGCCCTCCCCTTGACTTAGAGGCTGGCCAATCACAGCGGAGAAGGGCTTTGGTGGGAGGATTCACTGTCTGTTTCCAAAAAGGAAGAGGAGGAAGATAGGCGGAGAGATCTTCAGCCTTCTCTGCCAAAGGAGTTCCTACGACTATCAGAAATATATGTTTTCTGATAGTCTTTGGTGACCCCTCTGAAACCCTCTTGCAACCCCCCTAGGGGTTGCGACCCCCAAGTAGAGAAATGCTGCTCTAAGTCCTGATGAAGTGGAAGCCCACCCGTTTTCTAGGAGGCAACTATAACTCCTCCTTGGAGGCCATCAATAAACTAATTACTAGGATGTGCCGAAGTTTCATTAGGTCTTCCTACTCCGTGTTCAATAATATGTATAGCGTCATTCACGGCGTACATTTTTTGATGTCCCAGGTACGATACACGTTGGTTTTGATCGAATTCGGGGCACGGATACTGCTTTCCCTCGACGCGCATCCTCTGGCGGAAAAGGCCAGCGGGTTCGGAAAAGCTCCTCCCGCACTCAGAGATCCTGTGTATCCTTTCCCCGACATGGACCCGTTGGTGGGAGGCCAGGTAGGTGCTCCGGCTGAAGCTGTTCCCGCACTGCATGCACTTGTGGGGTTTCTCCCCCGTGTGGATCCGCTGGTGCGTGTTCAGGACGGCCTTCTGGCTGAAGCCTTTGCCGCACTCCTTGCAGACGTAGGGCTTCTCCCCGGTGTGGATCCTCCGGTGCTTCACCAGCGTGGAGAGGTCGCAGAAGCTCTTCCCGCAATAGGAGCAGCTGTAAGGCTTCTCCCCGGTGTGGATCCTTTGGTGAGCGGCCAGGAGGTCACTCCGGCTGAAGCCCTTCCCGCACTCGGGGCACTTGTACGGCTTTTCCCCGGTGTGGACCCTGAAGTGGATCTTAAGGCTTGACTTGTAGCTGAAGCCTTTCCCGCAGACGCTGCACTTGTATCGCCTCGTTTCGTTTGGTTTGCCTTCTGGGACGGGTGCGATGTGGAACGAGACGCCTGGACAAGCAACAGGGCTTCTCCTCCATTTGTCTGTTGGGTGGGTTTTCATCTTCTTCGGAGAAGTAGCTTGACTTCCAAGGTTTTCTTCCAGATTTTGCGCTATCCGTTCTAATGAGACTTCTGGAGAAAGCTCTCTGCTGTTCTCGTTTTGCTGAACATCACCTGGTGGGAAAAAGAGAGGACTTTTTGGTAAGTGCAGAAGGGAGAAATGTTGGGGCATGTAAAAAATCAGTTAGGGTTTAGCACAGCTGGTCAAATCATCAGCAATTATAAGATCTATCAACCAAAAAGTTGCAAGTTCGAAGCCCCGGGTTGGCGTGAGCTGCCAACTGTCAGCCTAGCTCATTCTTTACCTAAGCAATTTGAAAACAGCTTTAGCTGTGATTAGAGAAATTAGATACCGCTAAAAGCAGGAGAGGTGTTTTATGATGCCATAAAAAAAGAAGATCAGAAAATGCTGGGCGACCAAAAGGAAGGAGGAAGTCCTGACAGCTCTTTGTCATAAAGCAGTGGTTCTCAACCTGTGGGTCCCTAGGTGTTTTGGCCTACAATTCCCAGAAATCCCAGCCAGTTAACTAACTGTTAGGATTTCTGGGAGTTGAAGGCCAAAACATCTGGGGACCCACAGGTTGAGAACCACTGTCATAGAAAATAGAGCAACAGCACTCCCTGGACTCAAACCCAACCTTCCATGGCACCGCCTTCAGTTCTGTCTATGTATTGTCTATACAAAGTGGCATTGAATGTTTGCTGTGTGTGTACACTGTGATCCGCCCTGAGTCCCCTTTGGGGTGAGAAGGGTGGAATATGAATATATTATTATTATTATTATTATTATTATTATTATTTTTGAGTGTGTTAACTGAAAAATGTTAAGTACGAAGCTAATTGGTTGGGCTACGACCAGAGGCTAGCTGAGCCTGGGAGTTTTGGCAACAGTTACATATTTAAGTTAGGGTGAGAAGGATGGAATATAAATAAAGTATTATTATTATTATTATTATTATTATTATTATTATTATCGAGTAGGTTAACTGAAAAATGTAAAGTACGAAACTAATTGGTTGGGCTATGCCCAGAGGCTAGCTGAGCCTGGGAGTTTTGGCAACAGTTACATATTTAAGTTAGCAGTGCAGGAGCTGAGCAGGGACAGAGAGAGAGAGTTTGAAGTTTTGCTTCTTGGCTACTGGAAGAAGATCTCTCACATGGACACTCAAGGACCATTTGAATCTTTCTCAAAGGAAATTGTGTGAGTCAATGCAACTGTTCTCATGATGTACATATGTGGATCTCTCACATGGATCTCTCACATGGAAAGCCAAGGACCATTTGAATCTCTCTCAAAGGACATTGTGTGAGTCAATGCAATAGTTCTCATGACTGTACATATGTTGCTCTGCATTACTACGAGTAAACATCTTGTGGGGTTGTTGTAGGTTTTTTCGGGCTATATGGCCATGGTCTAGAGGCATTCTCTCCTGACGTTTCGCCTGCATCTATGGCAAGCATCCTCAGAGGTAGTGGTAGCATCCTACCTCTGAGGATGCTTGCTATAGATGCAGGCGAAACATCAGGAGAGAATGCCTTTAGACCAGGGGTCCACAAACTTTTTAAACAGAGGGCCAGGTCACAGTCCCTCAAACTGTTGGAGGGCCGGCTTATAATTTGAAAAACACATGAATGAATTCTTATGCACACTGCACATACCTTATAAACAATACAATAATTAAAATGAAGAACAACATTAACAAATATAAATTTATTAGCATTTCAATGGGAATTGTGGGCCTGCTTTTGGCTGATGAGATAGGATTGTTGTTGTTGTTGCCGTGTGCTTTCAAGCCATTTCAGGTTGACTTAGGTTGACCCTGAGCGAGAGCCGGGTAAATGACCTTGGAGGGCCATATCCGGCCCCCGGGCCTTAGTTTGAGGATCCCTGCTCTAGAACATGGCCATATAGCCCTAAAAAACCTACAACAACCCAGTGATTCCAGCCATGAAAGCCTTCGACAAAACTTCTTGTCCTTTCCTGATCATCTCCGTGGCATATTTTCTTTCTCTGGCAAGACAGAGAAAGCATGAACCATGCATGGTTTTTCATTCTGCCACATACCAGCAGCATTTTCTCCTGACATTTCACCTGCATCTATGATCCTCTGAAGATGCCAGCCACAGATGCAGGTGAAATGTCAGGCAAAAATGCTGCTAGAACCCGGCCATACAGCCTGGGAACTACACAGCGCCCTAGTCCTTGATATAGGTCTGGTGACAAAGACGTACATCTCACACATTCTTTCACTCACCACACAAGGTGAAGTTTCCAGAGTCGGCCTCCTGCTTGACCACGACACTCAGGGGTCTCTTTTCCCCTTCGGGTGTTGCAGGCTCTGCTTCAACCAGAGGGACACCCGTGGGTCCCAAGGGCGGCACTGCTGTCATCACCTGAAATAGCAGGGAGGATTGCAACATGAATTGGGTCCAAGGAACAGGCAGAACTGGCAATGAGTGACAGATTTGATGAGGTAGGGGGAGGCCAGTCTGGGGCAACAGCTTGGCGTAATGGGTTGAGCACTGGAATACAACTTTAGAGACCAGGGTTCAAATCCACACTGGGCAACCTCAGGCAAGTCACCTTCTCTCCACCCCAAAGGGAAGCAATAGCCATTTTCTTCTGAATGAATCTTGCGGAGAGCTCCCTTAGGGTCACCAAGAGTCAGAAACAAATTGAAGGCACACAACAGGAACATCTTAAAAAGCTGGGTTTGTTAGCCTGCAGAAGAGAAGGTCGAGAGGAGATATGATAGCCATGTACAAATATGTGAAAGGATGTCTACCCAGTTTACCTGTCCAAATGTGTCTCTCCTTATGAACCATCAAGGACCTTAAGATCATCTGGGGAGGCCCTGCTCTCACCATCACAGTTGCATGGCAAGAGACAGGGCCTTCTTCATGGTGGCTCCCTGGATATGGAACTCCTCTCTAAGGAGGTTAGATCTGCCCCCTCCCTCCTGACCTTTCGGAAGAAGCTTAAATCCTGGTTGTGGGAGCAAGTGTTCATTGAATAGATGGGTTTTATGGGTGAAGTTGAGATTTTACGGACAGCAACTTGGACTGATTTGGAGGATGTTTTAAACCTGGCAAACTGTTTTGAATGTATTTTTATAATCATTTTATGTAACTGTATATTTTAGTGCTGTTTTTATATTGTACTGGCGTTGAATTGGGTTGTTGTAGGTTTTTTCGGGCTATATGGCCATGTTCTAGAGGCATTCTCTCCTGACGTTTCGCCTGCATCTATGGCAAGCATCCTCAGAGGTAGTGAGGTCTGTTGGAACTAGGAAAATTAGATTTATATATCTGTGGAATGACCCGGGTGGGACAAACAACTCTTGTCTGTTGGAGCTAGGTGTGAATGTTTCAACTGACCACCTTGATTAGCATTTGATGGCCTGGCAGTGCCTGGGGCAATCTCTTGTTGAGAAGTGATTCGGTGTCCTTGATTGTTTCCTCTCTGTTGTTTTGCTGTTGTAATTTTAGAGTTTTTTAATACTGGTAGCCAGATTTTGTTCATCTTCATGGTTTCCTCCTTTCTGTTGAAATTGTCCACATGCTTATGGATCTCAATGGCTTCTCTGTGTAGCCCGACATGGGTTGAATTGTTGCCTGCTGGAAGCCGCCCTGAGTCCCTCTTCGGAGGTTGAAAGTAGGACGGGATATAAATGTTTTAAATAAAATAAAATAAAATAAAATAAATGTCTTAAGGAAGAGGAAGCAGGCTTGTTTTCTGCTACCCTGGAAACTAGGACTCTATGGAGCAGTGGGTTCAATTTACAGGAGAGGAGATTCCACCTGAACGTTAGGAAGAACTTCCTGACCGTTAAGAGCTATTCAGCAGTGGAACTCTCTGCCTCGGGGTGTGGTGGAAGCTCCTTCTTTGGAGGCTTTTAAACAGAGGCTGGGTGGCCATCTGTTGGGAGTGCTTTGATGGTGTTTTTCCTGTATGGCAAGGGTTGGACTAGATGGCCCATGTGGTCTCTTCCAACTCTATGATTCTATGAATACCAACAAAGCAAGGGCCATTCTGTCCAACCTCCTTCTGCCAGGCAGGAAGACACAATCAAACCACCCCTAATAGATGACCATCCAGCCTCTACTTAAAAACCTCCAGAGGAGGAGACTCCACTGCACTCCGAGGCCGAGAGTTCCACTGCTGAATAGATCTTAACGGTCTGGAAGTTCTTCCTAACGTCAGGTGGAATCTCCTCTCCTGTAATTTGTTTGGCAGATTCCACTGCCAAACACCTCCTGCTCTCAGAAAGTTAATCAGAAACCTTTTTACCTGAAAGCTGAATCCATTGCTCCATTGTGTCCTAGTCTCCAGAGCCCCCTTCCTCAATGGGACATCCTTTCAAATATTTAAATAGGGCTATCAAGTTCCCCAGTGGCGCAGCAGGTTAAACCACTGAGCTGCTGAACTTGCTGACCAAAAGGTCAGCAGTTCAAATCCGGGGAGCGGGGTGAGCTCCTGCTGTTAGCCCCAGCTTCTGCCAACCCTAGCAGTTTGAAAACATGCAAATGTGAGTAGATCAATAGGCACCGCTTCAGTAGGAAGGTAATGGTGCTTCATGCAGTCATGCTGGCCACATGACCTTGGAGGTGTCTACAGATGACTCCGAAGATGAGCACCATCCCCCAGAGTCGGACATGACTAGCCTTAATGTCAAGGGGAAACCTTTACTTTGCAAGATCCCTCTCAACCTTCTCTTCTCCAAACTAAACATCCCAAGTTCCCTCAGCTGCTCTTCATAGGTTTCCAAACCTTTGACCATTCTGGTTGCCCTCCTCTGGACACCTTAGAGTTTATCAACATCCTTCTTGAATTGCTTTGCCCAGAACTGGACACAGTGTGATTCCAGGTGAGTTCCAGTCAAAGCAAAACAGAGTCGGACGATGACTTCCTTCACTCTAAACACTATATTCCTATTGATGCAGCCTAGAATTGTGCTGGATTTTTGAGCTGCTCCTGTTCAACAATGAGATACGGCACCAAAACCAACAAATATGGAGGGAGAGCTGTTTACCTCTCTCTTGCCGGATGATAGAGAAAAATAGATGGGTGAAAACACGCTCACCTGCTGTTCCCATCGCAAAGACTCTCTCTGCATCCAAAGAAAGTCCTCAGCCAGGGCCACCGCCTGGGCGCAGGTCTCAGGGCCTCGTTCCCGGACCCAGTTCTGGATCTCTGGAGGAAGGACCATCAAGAACTGCTCCAGGACCAGCAGCTCCAGGATCTGCTCCTTGGAGTGCCTCTCCACCTTGAGCCAACGCCGGCACAGCTCCTGGAGCCGCCCGTAAACCCCCCTCGGCCCCTCGGCTTCCTGGTAGCGGAAGTGGCGGAAGTGCTGGCGCTGCTTCTCTCTCCTGGTGGCATCTCCTCGCAAGATGGAGGCCCTCACCTTCTCATAATCCTTCCGTTCTTGACTTTCGAGGCTGCTGAAGGCCTGCTTGGCTTCCCCATTGAGCGCCGGCAGGAGTCGGGTCACCCACTCCTCCTTGGGCCACCGGCAGGCTTCAGCCACCTGCTCAAAGGCAGACAGGAAAGCCTTGGCGTCGTCCCATGGAGAAGGCTCAGCGGGTATCGATGGGACGTCCATCGGGGACTCTACGGTCCTCAGGAACTCCTGCCACTGGGCCTCCCATTGCTGATGGAGGTGCTCACTGGGTTCCTGTTTCATCTCCTCCCCGGGCTTCCTCTGAAGAAATTCTCGAATATGTCTCTCTTGGAGAAGACGAGGGGCCAACTCGGTGGCCATGTTTCCTTCCTCTTTGGAAAGGGATGCTTCTTCTCACGCAAGGAATGGCCTCAGCAGAAGGTATCCTGCAAATATGGCACAGATTGGGGAAAACGGAATGGAAATTCCTCTGGATCTTGGCGACGGAAATATCCCCGTGCAACGTCAGATATTCTGAAAGAAAATGGGAATAAATATCATCCAGAAAAAGAGGAAGGAAAAGATATCAAACCTAGGCTATCCATTGTGTATCTATATATTTACTTATTTGAATGGCCGCGGTAGCACAGCGGGTTAAAGCGCTGATCTGCTTAACTTGCTGACCAGAAGATCAGTGGTTCAAATCCACAGGATAGCGTGAGCTCCCACTCTTAGCCCCAGCTTCTGCCAACCTAGCAGTTTGAAAACATGCAAATGTGAGGAGATCAATAGGTACTGCTTTGGCAGGAAGATAACGGTGCTCCATGCAAAACAATTTAGCAAACAATTTAATAAACTCAAAAGAGAGTTAAAAAGTAGTTGGTGTACAGAAGTGTACAGAAGGAGCCTCCGGTGCTGCCGAACTTGATGAATGAAAAGTCATCGGTTCAAATCCAGGGTGAGCTCCTACTGTTAGCCCCAGTTTCTGTCAATCTAGCAGTTCAAAAACATGCAAATGTGAGTAGATCAATAGGTAATGCTTCGGCAGGGAGGTAATGACACTCTATGCAGTCATGCTGACCACATGACCTTGGAGGTGTCTACGGGCAATGCTGGCTTAGAAATGGAGATGAGCATCACCCCCCAGAGTTGGACTCAACTAGACTTAATGTCAAGGGGAAACCTTTACCATTACTTTTATATATAGTATATTTGACATTGCCCAAGTGTTGTTGGGACCGCTGCCCTCCTGTCAATAGACCTTGACATTTGGGAGTTGCAGTTGCTGTGATTTATAGTTCACCTACAATCAAAGAGCATTCTGAACCCCATCAACAACAGAATTGGGCCAAACTTCCCACACAGAACCCCCATGACCAACAGAAAATGCTGTGTTTTCTAATGGTCTTTGGCGACCTCTCCGGCACCCACTCATGACCCTCCAGGGTTCTCCACCCCCAGGTTGAGAAACATTGTTCTAGACTGACTACACAAGGAATCCTCTGTGTAATTAATTCTCAATCTCTCTATATTTTGTTTTTATTTCTTTTTAGAAAAGCACCCACCCACCCCAGACTTTTGGCCCATTTATACAATCAACAATAGAACTCATAATTCTGATCTCAGCACCACAATTGGGAAAGCTGAAGGGAGCAATCGTATTCTTGAATGCTTTCCTGTAAAGCAGTGGTTCGCAACCTTTTTTTTGGACAAAGGGCCACTTTGATCCAGGACCACTCTCTAACATGAATACCAAAAGGGTTATGGATCGGTTTTTGGGGTGTTGATTCATAAAATGGCATTGGATAGACCACAGCAGCTCTAGTTTCAGATACAGATCCCTAGGTTGAGAAACGCTGCACTAAAGGAATATGGAAATGTACATGGAAACAAGCAGAATCCTGAATAAATACAGTACAGCCCTTCACAGTTGCATTGGAAGATCAGTCTAGGAGATTCTTAGAGATTTGTTCTCTAAATACAAAAAATATTTAGGAGTTATAATAGATCTATTGAGGAGTCAGTAGTCATATTATGTATTTTGTAACATGTATAATCAATGCACCTTAGAATTAAGACAGTTTGACATTGGAACTGCCTTGGCTCAGTGCGAGGGGATCCTGGGAGTTGTAGTTTTGCAAGGTCTGGGGCCTCACCAAACTACAGTTCCCAGGATCTGGTAGCACTGAGCCATGGCACTTAAAGGGGTCCCAAACTGCATTCATTCCACAGTGTAGATGCACCTGAGCTCTTTCTCTCCCCTGCCTGTTCTCTCCCCCCAAGCCTTGTCCCCTCCTGATCCCTTTGAGGACTGCAACTCACCCCCCAGGTGCATCCAGCAGGCTGACTGTCCAGTGGGAGGAGGCACGAGACAGGAAAAGGCTTGCCCAAGGCTCAGAAAGGGACCCTCTAGGAAGCTGGGCTGGCTCTCCTTCTCTCTTCCCTTCCTCCTCCACAAGCCAGACATTAATATTTCTGCAAAATGCAAACTCTTCTTCCAATTGTGCAAATAAGATCTCTTCTTCAGCCTGAAGCTTCCCTGGCTGGGCTGCAAAAGAAACACCAAACTTTGATGTTTTTTCCCCTTCCTTTTTGCACAAAGGTCCTGGAGTTGCAGGGGATCCTGGGAGTTGTAGTTCACAGCCACATTAAAAAAGCTGGGTGTCTTTAGGATGGATTGTTTTAGTTTTTTCGGGCTGTTATGGCCATGCTCTTTAGGATGGTTTGCAAACCCAACAAACGCGCCCCAAAGGGATCCTGGGAGTTGTAGTTTTGCAAGGCGTTTGAGCTTTTCTGTTTTGGGAATCTTTTGAGCAGTGGGGTCCGTGGATAGGGAGTCCCGGCTGCCAAGAAAAGACTCCTTTGAGCCAGATACTTACTAACTGGAGAGGGAAGGAGACAGTTGCAACAATGAGCCAAGCAACCCCATAAGGAAATATCCCATTTCCTCTTGTTTTGCAACAAGGAAGCCAACCTCTCAGGGTTAAATTGAGAGAGGCAATTCCTAGAGCAGACCCACAAAATGTTTAAAAGGGGGCGTGAGAAGGGACTGCGTTTGGAAACCCCTTCCTGTGCAGAGAAGGAGGAGAAAAAGGAGAGAGAGAGAGAGAGAGAGAGAGTTGCAAATTCCGAGCAGCTTCAAGACCACAGAAGCAGGGCTGGCATTGAGTGCATGCATGCAAGGTGAGCTTGGACCAGAAAGGGAAGGCAAGCCATTGGAAGAAGGTGCTGTCCATGGCTTTCATGGCCAGAATCACTGGGTTGCTGTGAGTTTTCCAGGCTGTCTGGCCATGTTCCAGAAGCATTCTCTCCTGACGTTTCACCCACATCTATGGCAGGCATCCTCAGAGGTTGTGAGCTCTGTTGGAAACTAGGCAAGTGGGGTTTATATATCTGTGGAAAGATGTCCAGGGTGGGAGAAAGAACTCTTGTCTGCTTGAGGTAAGGTGAATGCTGCAATTGGCCACCTTGATTAGCATTGAATAGCCTTTCAGCTTCAAAGCCTAGCCGCTTCCTGCCCGGGGGAATCCATTGTTGAGAGGTGGAATGATGCCCAGTGCAGGAGAAAGAACTCTTGTCTACTTGAAGCAAAGGTGAATGCTGCAATTGACCACCTTGATTAGCATTGAATAGTCTTGCAGCTTCAAAGCCTAGCTGCTTCCTGCCCGGGGGAATCCTTTGTTGGGAGGTGGCATGATGTCCAGGGTAGGAGAAAGAACTCTTGTCTACTTGAGGCAAAGGTGAATGTTGCAATTGGCCACCTTGATTAGCATTGAATAGCCTTGCAGCCTCAAAGACACAAACTTTAGTTCTTGTACAACATTGTTTTAAAACATTGTGCATAATGTTACCTTCAGACTCTGTCTCTATGGTGTGTATGAAACAGACTTAAATGTTGTGTTTAGACTTGGGTCCCCTCTCCAAGGTTATGTATGTATATGCAAAGATGGGTGTCCAAAAGAAAGTGGGGTCAAACTGCATTCATTCTACAGCAGGCATCAACAAACTTTGGCCCTCCTGGTATTTTGGACTTCAATTCCCACAATTCCTAGCAGCCTCAGGCCCTTTCCTTTCCCCCCTCAGCTGCTTAAGTTCTCTGGAACCCTTGTAACAGACTATATGCTTAAGCGCAGGAGTCCTCAAACTAAGGTTCAGGGGCCAGATACGGCCCTCCAAGGTCATTTACTCGGCCCTCGCTCAGGGTCAATCAAAGTCTGAGACGACTTGAAAGCACACAACAACAACAACAATCCTATCTCATCAGCCAAAAGCAGGCCACACTTCCCATTGAAATACTAATAATTTTATATTTGTTTACATTGTTCTTCATTTAATTATTGTATTAAGTGTTTTTTGCACTACAAATAAGATACGTGCAGTGTGCAGAGGAATTCATTCATGTTCTTTTCAAATTATAATCCGGCCCTCCAACAGTTTGAGGGACTGTGACCTGGCCCTCTGTTTAAAAAGTTTGAGGACCCCTGCTTAAGCATGTTCTGCAATTATTTTAATACGATATGCATCTCTTTCTACCAACAGAAGAAGAGAACATGACAAAGGAAATGGAAGAAGGTCCACAGCAGGAAAGTTCCAAACAAGCAGAAATAGTCCTGAAAACCACCAAGAAAGAGACTTCCTTGTGCCATGACAAGAAAAAAACTCCTCGAACCCAAGAGAGCTTCCTCTGTGAGCAAGAAACGCATTCAGATGAGATCCCTGTTGATGTTTCTCATGCAAATGACCTCAGTGTAACCGCAGTGGACCAGGTTATTCAGAAACATGGGGATAATGAGACAAACTCTCAATGTGAACAGAGTTTCAGCGTGAGCTCAGCTCAGAAAACCAATCCCGGAGAGAAGCGCTACAAATGCTCGGTCTGTGGGAAATGCTTTGCTGTGAGATCAGGCCTCACTGCTCACGAGAGAACCCACACGGGCGAAAAGCCGTACACATGTTCGGACTGCGGGAAGAGCTTTAGCGTGAGTTCCAGCCTGAAGGCCCACAAGAGGATCCACACCGGAGAGAAGCCGCATGAGTGTTCGCACTGTGGGAAGCGGTTCTCTGTGAGCTCGACCCTGAAAAAGCACTACCGGACACACACGGGTGAGAGGCCCTATGAGTGCTTGGTCTGCGGGGTGAGGTTCCGCCAGATTGGCAGCCTGAAAGCTCACCAAAAAATCCACACAGGAGAAAAATCCTGCGAGTGCTCAGTCTGCGGGCTGGGCTTTAGTGAGCTCTCTGTCCTTTTTGCCCATTATAGGACCCACACAGGAGAGAAACCCTACAAGTGCTCCGAGTGCAACAAGAGCTTCTACCAGAAACAGGGGCTTGCTCTGCACCTGAAGATGCATTTTGGGGAGCGGCCGTATAAATGCTCCGAATGCGGGAAAAGCTTCAGCGTGAGCTCACGCCTTAAGAAGCACCAGTTGATCCATACAGGAGAGAGGCCCTTCCAGTGTCAGCAGTGTGGAAAAAGCTTTTGTTCAAGTACAGATCTCATCATCCATGAGAGAGCCCACGCCGGAGACAAGCCCTATCAATGCTCCTTTTGTGGGAAACGGTTCTGTCGTACCTCGGAGGTGGTCAGCCATGAAAGAATCCACACTGGGGAGAAACCCTACAAATGCCTGGAGTGTGGGAAGAGCTTCAGCGTCAGCTCGCGGTTGAGCACACACAAGAGAGTCCACACAGGGGAGCGGCCGTTCAAGTGCTCGCAGTGTGGAAGGACTTTCACCTACAAGGCCCACCTGGTTGCACACGAGAGGATCCATACGGGAGAGAGGCCGTACAAGTGCTCTGTGTGTGGGAAGACCTTTCGGGTGCGCGACTGTCTTATGGTCCACGAGAGAATCCACACTGGGGAGAAACCTTTTAAATGCTTAGACTGTGGCAAAAGCTTCCGGAACAGCTCTTCTCTTGTCCAACACCAAAGGATACATGCGGAACGAAACAAATAAATGCAGCATAGAATAAAAAAGGAGAAAGAGAAAACGAGGGCCACCCAGTTCAGTGTCCAGATCTGTAGCTTTCTGGCGAAGAAATTACATCACAAACAAAGTTGGAAGGCTTTAATTCAAAAGCATGCATTAGGGAATGCAACAAAGTTCCAACCGACAGTTTATTTCCCTCAAGTCTCACCCTGTCCCCGTTCCTGCGTTGCTCCATTTTTCATGGCAATCCTCTTCCAGATTTCAAATATACACAGGACAGGTCTAAGGCATGGCCTGATTTCCTGGCTTCACATGCCCTATTCTGTCTGATAGATGGCCATCCATCCTGTGATTCAAAATCTCCAGAGAAGGAGGCTCCACCACACTTTGAGGCAGTGTATTCCACTGTTGAACAGCTCTTATTATCAGTTAGTTCTTCCTAGTGTTTACATGCCATTTCAGTCCATTGCTCCGTGTTCTGGTCTCCAGAGGAGGTTCCAACTCTATCACTCCTTTCCACTTTCTGCTAAGAAGGCTGTTCAGGTCCTGAACCAGTGCTTGGCAGCTATAATGATCTGGATGAGGGCAAACAAATTGAAATTAAATCCAGACAAGACAGAGATCCTCCTGGTCAGCCTTTTCAGAAAAGTGGAGGGTTCACCTTTTCATAAGAGTGGAGGTACAGTATTTACATTACTGGCAAGAAACATTTCTGCACCTCACATTAGGTAAAGGTAAAGGTTTTCCCCTGACATTAAGTCCAGTTGTGTCTGACTCTGGGGGTTGGTGCTCGTCTCCATTTCTAAGCCGAAGAACCAGCATTCTCTGTAGACATCTCCAAGGTCATGTGGCCGGCATGACTGCATGGAGTGCTGTTACCTTCCTGCCGGAGTGGTACCTATTGATCTACTCACATTTGCATGTTTTCGAACTGCTAGGTTGGCAGAAGCTGGGGCTAACAGCGGGAGCTCACACCACTCCCCAGATTTGAACTGGTGACCTTTCGGTCAGCAAGTTCAGCAGCTCAGTGCTTTAACCCACTGCGCCGCTGGGGGCTCCATTACTGGGCTAAATATGAACCAAAGGCAGCAAAGGTTCCATCACTGGCATTTACTCCTATCTCATGCTGATACCTGTTCTAAGACTTTGAGGGCCTTTTGCATTGATGACCACAATAGTCTCACAATTTGTATTGTTAAATGTTTTTCATGTTGTTTGATAATCATCCTGAAAAATTAGTAGGGAAGGATGGTAGACCTTATCTTAATAATGATTTTAAAAAGCAATGAAAAATGCAATAAAACAAATTGTGTTCAATAAATGTCCCAGCCCTTGATTTTATCCCTAGTGTTCTCCAGTATGATGCTTCTTTGCACAATTTGGGGTGTATCTACAGTGGAATTAATGCAGTTTGACAATATATGAACTGACCTGGTGGACCTTGGTCAAAGTGGGCCCTGGTCAAGTGGTCCTTGGTCAAAGTTGGCTCTGGTCAAGTAGGACCTGGTCAAATGGGACCTGGTCAAGTGGGCCCTGGTCAAAAACGGTTGGGAACCACTGGCTTAGGTGGACAGTAGACTAGGCTAAAAGTGGGGTGCTCACTCTGACCTGGGCTCGAACGGCCAACCTTTCGGTTGCTAAAGATCTATTGCTGCTGGTGATTAGCCAGCTGTGCTAAAGCCCAGCCCTAGTTGCCAGAAGCTTTTAAAATAATGCTGACGGATCAAACATACATATAAAGGTACAGTTCCATTATCCAGGTGGATGAACATATTTTGACTTTTATAGAGAGAGATATATACACATACACTGAAGGTAATTGTGTGCACAGTATATTTGCTGATTCCATGTAGGCCTCAAAAGGATGCATCCACACTATAGAATTAATGCAGTTCAATACTAATTTAACTGCTATGGCTCAACACTGTGGAATCAAGGGAGTTGTAGTTTCCCAAGTTCTTTAGCCTTCCCTTCCGAAGAGTGCTGGGGCACTCTTTAATTCCAGGACCCCATAGTATTGAGCCGTGGCAGTTCAAGGAGTGTCAAACTGCATTCATTCCATGATAGAGGAGGGGAGAAAACACACACACTATGTAACACAATTTTTATTCCTGGCTTATAGATGTCATTTCCTAATTGGTACTATCACAAAAATATGAGAAAAGTTTTTGTTTTTGCGGGGGGGGGGGGGGACATCCTGCTGCACATTTTGCTATAGTTTTTCAGTGAATATCTCATAGAGCAGTGTTTCTCAACCTGAAGGTTGGGACACCTGGGGGGGGGTCATGAGGGGGTGCCAGAGGGCTCATCAAAGACCATCAGAAAGCACAATATTTCCTGTTGGTCATTAGGATTTGTTGTTGGGGTTCAGAACGCTCTTTGATTGTAGGTGAACTATAAATCCCAGCAACTACAATTCCCAAATGTCAAGGTCTGTTTTCCCCAAACTCCACCAGTCTTCACATTTGGGCATACTGAGTGCTCATGTCAAATTTGGTCCAGATCCATCATTGTTTGAGTCCACAATGCTCTCTGGATAGGTGAACTACAACTCCAAAACTCAAGGTCAATGCCCACCAAACCCTTCCGGTATTGTCTTTTGGTCATGGGAGTTCAGTGTGCCAAGTTTGGTTCAATTCCATCACTGGTGGAGTTCAGAATGCTCTTTGATTGTAGGTGAACTATAAATCCCAGCAACTACAACTCCAAAATGACAAACTCAAACCCTTCCCCAACCCCACCAGTATTCAAATTTGGGTGTTATCAGGTATTTGTGCCAAATTTGGTCCAGTGAATGAAAATACATCCTACATATTTATATTATGGGGCATATTGAGGATTCTTTCCAAGTTTGGTCCAGATCCATCATTGTTTGAGTCCACAGTGCTCTCTGAATATAGGTGAACTACAATTCCAAAACTCAAAGTCAATGCCCACCAAACCCTTCCAGTATTTTCTGTTGGTCATGGGAGTTCAGTGTGCAAAGTTTGGTTCAATTCCATCGCTGGTGGAGTTCAAAAAGCTCTTTGATAGTAGGTGAACTATAAATCCCAGCAACTACAACTTCCAAATGTCAAGGTCTATTTTCCCCAAACTCCAGCGGTGTTCACATTTGGGCATATTGAGTATTCATGTCAAATTTGTTTCAATTCCATCTCTGGTGGGGTTCAGTATTCTCTTTGATTGTAGGTGAGCTATAAATCCCAGCAACTACAACTCCCAAATGACAAGGCCTATTTTCCCCAAACACCATCAGTCTTCAAATTTGGGCTTATTGAGTGTTCGTGTCAAGTTTGGTCCAGATCCATCATTGTTTGAATCCACAGTGTTCTCTGGATGCAGATGAACTACAACTTCAAAATTCCATTATTAGTGGAATTCAGAATGCTTGTGGTTGTAGGCGAACTATAAATCCCAGCAACTACAACTCCCAAATGACAAGGTCTGTTTTCCCCAAACTCCACCAGTATTCAGATTCGGGCATATCGGGTGTTTGTGCCAAATTTGATCCAGTGAATGAAAATGTTGTTGTTCATTTGTTCAGTCGTCTCCGACTCTTCGTGACCTCATGGACCAGCCCACGCCAGAGCTCCCTGTCGGCCGTCACCACCCCCAGCTCCTTCAAGGTCAGTCCAGTCACTTCAAGGATGAAAATACATCCTGCATATTTACATTATGATTCATAACAGTAGCAAAATTATAGTTATGAAGTAGCAAAAAAAGGAATATAATGTTTGGGGGTCACCACAACATAAGGGGTCGTAGCATTAGGAAGGTTGAGAAACACTGTCATAGAGTCTCAACCAATTCAGCATAGTTTGTGGCAGACACAAAAATTAAGTGTCTGGAGTAGAACGACTCTCAAAGTAAGTAACGTACAAGTAAACAGGAAATAACACATCCCAAAGCAAGAAGAGAAAGTGTTTCCAATGTTGTCCCACAGCAGTGAAATCAGCCCAGAGCTGTTCCTTGCCATGCCATCTCCCAGGAAGGGTTAAGGCGAGCGAGTTGAGGCTTGCAAGAGAGACCAGGGAGGGATTTGCCAGGCTGAAATGCAAAGGAAAGGGGGGTGTCAGAGGGGGGCTTGCAAGTCCCCTTCCTGTTCCTGGAGGGGCGGAGAAAGGGGCAGGTTGGAAAGGGGTTTGGAGAAAGAGACAAGGGGGTGTTCTTTGGAGTATTGGGAGTCCTGCTCAAAAGAGAACTTGAATCCTGCAAGCACAGGTGAGCTGTGGACAAGGGATCATGGGCTGCAAGGAGGAAGGGATGCAAAACTGTATGGATGACTGACTTGAGTCTTTGGATGTATCTACACCAGACATGGCAAACTTTGGCCCTCCAGGTGTTTTGGACTTCAACTCCCACAATTCCTAACAGCCTCAGGCCCTTTCCTTTTCCCCCTCAGCCGCTTAAGCGGAAGGGGCCTGAGGCTGTTAGGAATTGTGGGAGTTGAAGTCCAAAACACCTGGAGGGCCAAAGTTTGCACTAACGTTTGTCTTTCTTCTTAACCTTCTTAATGCCGCGAGTCCTTATTTGATTAGCAGTTTCCTTATCTCTATATACCTAAAGCAGTGGGAGGGGCTGCAGGTCACATAACTGACTCGGTGACAGTTTAGAACAGTGGTTTTCAACCTCCCTAATACCGTGACCCCATCCTACCCGTACCCCACATTTTCTAGACCAGTGTTTCTCAACCTTCCTTATGCCGCGACCCCTTAAGACAGCTCCTCATGTGGAGACCCCACAATCATAAAATTATTTTCGTTGCTACTTCATAACTATAATTTTGCTACTGTTATGAATCGTCATGTAAATATCTGATATGCTGGATGCGTTTTCATTCACTGGACCAAATTTGGCACAGATACCCAATTCGTCCCATTTTGAATACTGGTGGAGTTGGGGAGGATTGGTTTTATCACTTGGGAGTTGTAGTTGCTGGGATGTATCGTTCACCTACAATCAAAGAGCATTCTGAACTCCATCAAGAACCAAACTTGGCACACAAAACTCCCACAACCAACAGAAAATACTGGAAAAGTTTGGTGGGCCTTAACCTTGTGTTTGGGAGTTGTAGTTCAACTACATCCAGTGAGCATTGTGGACTCAAACAATGATGGATCTGGAAACTTGGCACAAATACTCAATATGCCCAAATGTGAACACTAGTGGAGTTTGGGGGAAATAGACCTTGATATTTGGGAGTTGTAGTTGCCTGGTTTTATAGTTTGCCTACAATGAAAGAGCCCTTTGAACTCCACCAATGATAGAATTGGCCCAAATTTCCCACACAGAAACCCCATGCCTTGAAGGGACTTGCTGGCATGAGCCTCTCTCCAGCCTTGCATGCTCTCCCTCGCCCGCACATGCGCATCACACTCCCCACTTGGAGTTTCAGAAACAGCCCTCCCCTTGACCGAGAAGCTGGCCAATCACGGCAGAGGAGGGCTTTTGGTGGGAAGATTCACCTTCTGTTTCCAAAAAGGAAGAGAAGGACAGGCAGAAAGATCTTCAGCCTTCTCTGCCAAAGGAGTTCCTAAGACCATCAGAAATATATGTTTTCTGATAGTCTTCGGTGATCCCTCTGAAATCCCCTCATGACCCCTCAGGGGTCTCAACCCACAGGTTGAGAAACACTGCTCTAACCAGCGGTGCTCTCGGTCCCACCGCCATCGCAGTCGCGTTTAGTGGGGAAAAGAGGCAGGGCCTTCTTGGTAGTGGCCCCTCGGCTGTGGCACTTTCTCCCCAATGTGGTTAGATCTGCCCCCTCCCTCCTGACCTTCTGGAAGAAGCTTATTTAAATCCTGGTTATGGGATCAGGTGTTCACAGAATAGTTTGTTTACTGGGAAAGAATCATAGAGTTGAAAGGGACCTCATGGACCATTCAGTCCAACCCCATTCTGCCAAAAAACAGGAATATTGAATTCAAAACACCCCTGACAGATGGCCATCCAGCCTCTGTTTAAAAGCTTCCAAAGAAGGAGCCTCCACCACACTCCGGGGCAGAGAGTTCCACTGCTGAACGGCTCTCACAGTCAGGAAGTTCTTCCTCATGTTCAGATGGAATCTCCTCTCTTGTAGTTTGAAGCCATTGTTCCATTGCGTCCTAGTCTCCAAGGAAGCAGAAAACAATCTTGCTCCCTCCTCCCTGTGGCTTCCTCTCACATACTTATACATGGCTATCATCTTTCCTCTCAGCCTTCTCTTCTTCAGGCTAAATAGGCCCAGCTCTTTAAGCTGCTCCTCATAGGGCTTGTTCTCCAGACCCTTGATCGTTTTAGTTTATTGGACTGGGCTTGGACCGCTTTGGATGACAATTTTAATTCTGGTGATTTTAATTTGGCAAGCAGGTTCTTAATGTATATTTAGAATTATTTTAATTTGAGGATGCATTTATTATATGTTTTATATGATGTTCAGCATCGATTGTTGCTTGCTTGGAAGCTGTTCTGAGTCCCTCCGCGGAGGTCAAGAAGGACGGGGTATGCATGTTTTAAATAAATAACTCCATATTGTTGTTCATTTGTTCAGTCATTTCCGATTCTTCGTGACCTCTTGGACCAGCCCACGCCAAAGCTCCCTGTCAGCCGTCACCATGCCCAGCTCCTTCAAGGTCAATCCAGTCACTTCAAGGATGCCATCCATCCATCTTGCCCTTGGTCGGCCCCAGCATAATTGTCTTCTCTAAGCTTTCCTTTCTTCTCATGATGTGGCCAAAGTACCTTCTCCTTAAATATGTGAATAATAGGACTCAATTATGTCTTTGTGCCGTACAGATTTCCTGAGCAACCCAAAGCAGAACCTGGTTGGATGTATATCAGATCTACCTCCCTGTTGTGCTTCCAAAACAGAAGGTAACAAAAACCTCACAGTGGCGCGAGGTCAAGGCCTCTTTGACCTCCGAGAGAGAGAAGAAATGGCCTCGAAAGAGGAAGAAGAAGAGGCGGCCATGCCCTTGGCTCCCCATGGATATGTTCCGGTCGAGAAGACAGTGGACCAGCAACACCCCACAGATTCCTTGGGGCATGGAGATGCTTCAGAGGACATGGAAATTGTGAGCAACCATGTGGTGAAAAATGAGGACATGGCTGAGCATGCGGCCAAGGCTGCGGGGACATCGGTAGCATCTTGTCCGGAACTGAAGCGCCCGCACCTCCCAGACACTCCGCATTGGGACGATATATTCCTGACGCCCGTTGAGAAGGCAGTCATTAGCCATCCAGGGAAATGGATATCTCGTCTCCTCCCAGGCCTTAAGGAGGAAGGGCAGAGGCTATTTGAGGAGCGGGAGGTAGGGGACTACGGGAAGGTGAAGGCGGCTATCTTGAGGGTCGACGCCATCAGCACCGAGGTCCAGCGGCAGCACTTCCGGCTGTTTCAATACAAGGAGGCCGATGGGCCCGGCGAGGCATGCAGCCGGCTCTGGTTCCTTTGCCACCGGTGGCTGAAGCCCGAGCGGCACACCAAGGAGCAGATCCTGGAGCTGTTGATCCTGGAGCAGTTCCTGGCCATCCTTCCCCTGGAGATCCAGAGCTGGGTCAAAGATGGCTGTCCGGAGACCTGTGCCCAAGCGGTGACTTTGGCGGAAGAGTTTCTGCTGAAGCCACGAAAGGCGGAGAAGCCAACACAGCAGGTGAACCTAGTCATACCTGGTGATTCTGTCATCCTGTATTCTGTGGAGATACAAGAGTCTGGAAACATTTGTGGTACCCAACATGGATCTGAGTGCTTAAGTCCAAAACACCTAGAGGACCAAAGGTTGGACATCACTGGTTAAACCAGGCATGGGCAAACTTCGGCCTCCATGTGTTTTGGATTTTAACCCTCCCACAATTCCTAACACTTGGCATTTTCTAGATCCTCCACCACAATAATAATAATAATAATAATAATAATAATAATAATAATAATAATAATAATTTATTTATATTCTGTCCTATCTCCCCAAGAGGACTCAGTACACCCATTCAACACCATTTTTGGATAGACAGGATAGAGACAGACAGGACAGAAAGGAGGTATGTTGTGCTAACATCCAGCTTTTTGGCACCACTGGAGGTTGTGCTCAAACCCAGAGACAGGGAGGTGCTGTCACTCCATCCTCTATGATGAAGAGCTATCAGGACTTCTTCTTTTTGGTCACCGGGCGTTTTTCTGATCTTTTTCTTTATGGTATCGTAAAATAACTCCCCTGCTTGTTTTAGCGGTACCTAATTTCTCTACTTACAGCTCAAGCTGTTTTCAAATTGCTTAGGTAAATAGTAAGCTGGGCTGACAGTCGGGAGCTCATGCTGACCCGGGGCTTCGAACTGGTAACCTTTCAATTAGTAGATCTTATGATTGCTGGTGATTTGCCAGCTGTGCTAAAGCCCGGCCCAACTCTTAAGTGTTTCTGCCACAAGTCAATAAGCCTTGCCTAATAAGTGAGAAAGTATTCACCCATGAACCTTGAAATCCCATAACTTGAAATCCCTTACTTTTGTAAGGTAAAAGTAAAGGTAAAGATTTTCCCATGACATTAGTTGTGTCCGCCCAAAGAGTCGGCGTTGTCCATAGACCCCTCCAAGATCATGTGGCCAGCATGACTGCATGGAGTGCTGTTACCTTCCCACCAGAGCGGTACCTATTGATCTACTCACATTTGCCTGTTTTCGAACTGCTAGGTTGTCAGAAGCTGGGCCTAACAGCGAGACCTCAGCTCGCTTCCCCAGATTCGAACCGCCAAACTTTTGGTCAGCAAGTTCAGCAGCTCAGCGGTTTAATCTGCTGTGCCCCTGGGGGCTCCTTCTGTATGCTTATTCACAATGTTGTCGGAGGCTTTCATGGCTGAAATCACTGGGTTGCTGTGAGTTTTTTTAGGCTGTATGGCCATGTTCCAGTAGCATTCTCTCCTGATGTTTCGCCTGCATCTGTGGCTACCATCTTCAGAGGTACAGAACCTCTGCAACAGAATATGCCAGCTACAGAAGCAGGCAAAACATCGGGAGAGAATGCTACTCGAACATGGCCTTACAGTCCAAAAAACTCACATCAACCTAGTTATTCAAGAGTTGTGATAACTTCGGTGTCTTCGTAATACAGTAGGGTTTCGCTTATCCAACCTTCGCTCATCCAACGCAGTCTTCCTCCTGCCCAGATCCACAGCTGTTTCAATACATTGCAATGTTTTGGTGCTAAATTAGTAAATACAGTAATTACTACATAACATTACCGTGTATTGAACTGCTTTTCCTGTCGATTTGCTGTAAAACATGATGTTTTTGGTGCTTAATTTGTAAAATCATAGCGTCATTTGACATTTCATAGGCTTTTCCATAATCCCTACTTATTATCCAACATTTTCACTTATCCAATGTCTATGTTGGATAAACGAGACGCTACTGCAACTTCGTAATAACTTCGTAATAGCTGTTTTTAAATCGTGTTGTTTAAGGATGGGTTTTTAATACAAATGTTAATGGATTTTTGATGATGTAATTTTTACGTTTTATGTCTAAATGGTATTTTATGTCTTAATAGGATTAGTTTTTTAATTTATAGTTATATGTTATTGTCTAGCTATTACGTTTTGGTTTTCATCTGTATGTACGGAATTGAATTTTGACTTTATTATGTAGGAAACTACTTTGAGTTCCCTCAGGGGGAGAAAAGCGGTATATAAATGTAGTAAATAAAATAGAAATAAATTCGTAATGGGTCAAGTCGAGGACGCTTCCTTTGGTGACATAGCCATGGATCAAGGAGAGTCTTCCGTGTTTGGTGGCAGTGGTGGGGCAGGTGGGGTCACACCATCCCCAGCGTCCATCCACAGACCATTCACAGTTCCTGAACTTGACTTTCTCTTCTTTTTCAGGTGCCAGGATTACTTGAAGAGCCAGCCGGGAGCTCTCCTGAATCAGCCAGAGCGCCGTTGGAAGCCAACCAAGAAGAGGAACACCAAGAGGTCAAGCAAGAGACCATTATGGATGGCATCTCCATGGGTAAGGTGGAATGTTTATCTATATAAATAAAAAGGTAATGTTAGTTTGTGGGATTAACATCACTCAAAAACCACTGGACGAAGTGACACCAAATTTGGACACAATACACCTATCAGGTCAACGAGTGACCATCACTCATAAAAATACTGAAAAACACAGCAGAAGAGACTTTAAAAGCAACCCGCCTCCCAAAAATACATTACAACACACGCAAAAAACCACATTTATACACAAACACATATATACACATATTCCTTCCTTCCTTCCCTTTTTTCTTTCCTTCTTTCCTTCCTTCTCTTCCCTTTCCCTCCCCCCCCTTTTCTTTCCCGTCCTCTTTCTCCCCTTTCTTCCTTCTCTACCTATTCTTGGTCTGAAACTCCCAACAATCCTCCTGATCGATCTATCTATCTACCTATCTATCTCTATGTAATCTATCTATCTGGAGGATTGGTGGGAGTTGCAGTCCAGGAATAGGAAATTGGAAATAATAAGGATTGGGATGCTCTCAAAGAAATCCAAGGAGATGAAAGCTTGCATCTTGGAAGCAGTGCATTTGGAGCATCCTTCTCTTCTAAAGTGCCTGGTCTAGGGGATGCTGAAGCTGTAGTCTGGAAGAGATTGTGAATATGCTATTGTTTGTGTTTTGTTTGCCAGGGGAGTCGTTTTTGCACATGTGCTGTAGCATCTTTTGGCTTTTTAAGTCCCTTCCACTGTGTTTTTCAGTGTTTGTATGAGTGATGGTCACTCATTGGCCTGGTAAGTGTCTTGTGTCCAAATTTGGTCTCAATTCGTCCAGTGGCTTTTAAGTTATGTTAATCCCACAAATGAACATTATATTTTTATTTATACAGACTAGCTGTCCCCAGCCACACATTGCTGTGGCCCAGTCTGGTGATCTGAAAAATAAAGTAATGAGAAACTGTTGGTTTCTAATATATGTAATGGCTTTATGTTTGCAGGTAAACAGTATTTCTTGCTGTTCCTTTGTCAATGTTGATGTGGAGATTGTATGGTTTGCCTTCTCTGGAACATGCAACATATAATTGAACTTCTTTAGGTGTCCCTTTCAAATCTATAATACTATATCTCTGTGTGTGTGAATCATATCTGTCTCTCCATCTCTATGGCTGGATGGCTCTTTGTCAGGAGGGCTTTGATTATGTTTTCTTGCCCTGGTGAAGGGAGTTGGACTCGATGGCCTTAAGTATTTTCTGTTGGTCATGGGGGTCCTGTGTAGGATATTTGCCCCAATTCTCTCATTCGTGGGGTTCTGAATGCTCTTTGATTGTAGGTGAACTGTAAATCCCAGTAACTACAACTCCCAAATGTCAAGGTCTATTTCTCACAAATTCCATCTGTGTTCATATTTGGGCATTTGGAATATTTGTGCTAAGTTTTGTCCCAATCCATCATTGTTTGAGAACACAGTGCTCTCTTGATGTAGGTGAACTACAACTCTCAAACTCAAGGTCATTGCCCACCAAACCCTTCTAGTGTTTGCTGTTGGTCATGGGAGACCTGTATGCCCCAGTTGGTTCAATGCCATAATTGGTGGTGTTCAGAATGCTCTTTGATTGTAGGTGAACTATAAATCCCAGCAACTACAACTCCCAAATGTCAAAATCAGTTTTTTCAGCGAAGGACATACATTGGATTGTTAGGTGTCTTGTGTCCAAATTTGGTGTCAATTTGTCCAGTGGTTTTTGAGTTATGTTAATCTCACAAATGAACATTACATTTTTATTTATATAGATTGTGGCTTCACTTTCTTTGCTCTTTGTTCGCTTTCTTGGAACTGGTTTTGATTTACCAGCCTTCTCATTCTGGTCTGTCATGGATGATGTCAAGTATATTTTGTTGTCCTTTTCTGTACATGCTGTATGTGTCTTTTGGTGGTGTTAACTGTACTCTTTTTAATTCCTTCAGCTCAGCTCTGTATGAGCGCAAAAAATGTGGAGAGTCCCCAGCTCCAAAAAGGCAAACATGAGGAACTCTGTGGAGTGCCTGAAGGAGCCGCTGAAGAAAAGTTTCCTTTCTTTGATGAGCAGAAAGATGGGTTTGAAAGTCAACCAAGAGCAGAGAAACAACATCCCAAGAAGCCCCCAAGGAAGAAGGCCCCCAAATTGGTTCCCTTGGTGGGTGCCTCCAAAGATCTCACTCTAACCACAAAAGAGAAGGAAACGAACAATGGTGAGGCATCCGTGAAAGTTGTAGTTTGCGAAGAAACTGTCAGTCAGGGTTCAGATTCAGCAGGAGAGAAGATTCACCGGTGTTCGGTGTGTGGCAAGTGTTTCAGTCTCCGGTCGCGCCTTATCGTCCACGAGCGAACCCACACTGGGGAGAAGCCCTATACATGCGCCGAGTGTGGGAGAAGCTTCAGTGTGAGTTCGAGCCTGATCGCGCATAGGAGAACTCACACGGGAGAGAAGCCCTATAAGTGTACGCACTGTGCCAAAAGCTTCAGCGTGAAGTCAGGCTTGATCGCCCACGAACGGACCCACACTGGGGAGAAGCCCTATAAGTGCTTGTATTGCAGCAAGAGCTTCCGCCGCAATTCGGGTCTGGTGAGCCATCAGAGAATCCACACCGGGGACAAACCCTACCAATGCTCAGTGTGCGAGAAAAGCTTCAGTGACATCTCCAACCTCATCACGCATCACAGGATCCACACCGGGGAGAAACCCTACAAATGCCTGGAGTGTGGGAAGAGCTTCAGCCAGAGTTCGTACCTCAACAGCCACCAGAGGATCCACACCGGGGAAAAGCCCTATGAGTGCTCCGAATGTGGCAAGACCTTCAGCGTCAGCTCCCGCCTCCGGAAACATCAGCGGAGCCACACAGGGGAGAGGCCGTTTATATGTTTGGACTGCGGGAAAACCTTTAGTGAAAGCTCGGATCTCCTCGCTCACGAGAGGGCGCACACCGGGGAGAAACCCTATCGGTGTTCGTTCTGCGGGAAGAGCTTCTTGCGTAGTTCGGAGGTGGTCAGCCATGAGAGGATCCACACTGGGGAGAAACCGTATCATTGCGGGGAGTGCGGGAAAAGCTTCAGCGTGAGCTCGCGTCTCAGCGCCCACCGGAGGATCCACACCGGGGAGAAGCCCTTCCAGTGCATGGTGTGCGAGAGGAGCTTCAGTTACAAATCCCACCTCATTACGCACCAGAGGATACACACTGGTGAGAAGCCCTTCCAGTGCTCGGTTTGTGGGAAAAGTTTCCGCGGGAGCTCCAGCCTAGTTGCTCACGAGAGGACACACACCGGCGAGAAGCCGTACAGGTGTTTGGACTGCGGGAAAAGCTTCACTCAAAGCTCAAACCTTATTAGTCATCAGAGAATCCACGGAGAAGGGAATTCCTGAAAATGAACTTCCAGAGGTTACCATATATACAGTAGAGCAGATATGGGCAGACCCAGGCCCGCGGGCCGGATGCAGCCCCTTGGCCTCTTTTCTCAGACCTGCCTCTCTCACACCATCCTATCCTTCCTTCCTTCTCACTTTCCTTCCTCCTTCCTTCCCTTTCTCCTTCCATCCTTTCATCCTTCCTTCCTTCTTCCTTCTCTCTTTCCTTCCTTACCTCCCTCCTTCCCTCTTCCTTCCTTCCTTCCTTCCCTCTCTCCCTCTTTCTCCTTCCTTCCTTCCTTCCTTCCTTCCTTCCTTCCTTCCTTCCTTCCTTCCTTCCTTCCTTCCTTCCTTCCTTCCCGAATAAGTCGAGGGTGATTCTTTGGAGAGGGGTCAGCACCAATGCTGCCTCATGGGGCCAGCCACGTCTAGACACCAGTGCCATTTTCCAGTTCGCCCATTCAATAAGGCCAGAAGCGGTCACAAGGTGGAGAAAGTAGGGGAGATTGGTGCTTCTTTTAGGTTCTCCCAGGATGGACTACATTCTTGCCTTTCTCCACTTCACTTACAGAAGTTTCTTTGTTGACAAATGTTAATGTACAGCACTCACGTTGACCTATGGGTAAGACATAGGTTTTTGGAGTTGATGTTTTGACTAAAGTTTCTAGACTTACACATGAGTATATAGCAGGCATGGGCAAATTTTGGCCTTAGAGTGTTTTGGACTTCAACTCCCAGAATTCCTAACAGCTTCAGGCCCTTTCCTTTCCCCCCTCAGCCGCTTAAGCGGCTGAGGGGGAAAAGGAAAGGGCCTGAGGCTGTTAGGAATTCTGGGAGTTGAAGTCCAAAACACCTGGAGGGCTAAAGTTTGCACTAAAATTTGTCTTTCTACCTCTAACCCAGTGTTTCTCAACTTTCCTATTGCCGCGATCCCTTATTTGATTTGCAGTTTCCTTATCTCTATATACCTAAAGCAGAGGGAGGGGCTGCAGATCCAAAACACCTAGAAGGCCAAAGTTTGCCAATGCCTGCTGTAGGGTCGCCTCTTGTCTTAAAAGCCTGTCCTGGCTGTCTTGTTTAGATCTTGCTTTCCAGAAAGGAGTAAAAATAATATTTCCTGCTTAGACTAGTCCGTAGAGCTGATGTGGTCTATCCAATGCAATTTTCTGAATCAGCACCCCAAATAACCAGAGCGAATCTAAAGTTGATCAAAAATTGATTCGTAACCCTTTTGATACTAATGTTGGAGAGTGGTCTCTGGTCAAAGTGGTCCTTGGTCAAGTAGTCTCTGGTCAAAAAAAGGTTGAGAACTACAGCTTTACAGGAAAGCATTCAAGAATGTGATTGCTCCCCTCAGCTTTCCAAATTGTGGTGCTGAGAATAGAATTATGAGTTCTGTTGTTGACTATATACATGGGCCAAAATTCTGGGATGGGTGGGTGGGTGCTTTTCTAAAAAGAAATAAAACATAAAATATAGAGGGATTGATAATTAATTACACGGAGCATTCTTTGTTTAGTCAGTCTAGACCTGGGGGTCGCGGCCCCTGGGAGGGTCACGAGGGGGTGTCAAAGGGGTTGCCAAAAACCATCAGAAAACACAGTTTTTCTGTTGGTCTTGGGGGTTCTGTGTAGGAAGTTTGGCCCAATTCTATAGTTGGTGGGGTTCAGAATGCTCTTTGATTGTAGGTGAACTATAAATCCCAGGAACTACAACTCCCACATGTCAAGGTCTATCTCCCCCAAACTCCACCAGTGTGCCCATTTGGGCATATTGAGTATTTGTGCCAAGTTTTATACAGATCCATCATTGTTTGAGTCCACAGTGCTCTATGGATATCGGTGAACTACAACTCCAAAACTTAAGGTCAATGCCCACCAAACGCTTCCAGTATTTTCTGTTGGTCATGGGAGTTCTGTGCACCAAGTTTGGTTCAATTCCATCACTGGTGGAGTTCAGAATGTTCTTTGATGGTAGGTGAACTATACATCCCAGCAACTACAACTCCCAAATGACAAGGTCTATTTTCCCCAAATTTAGTCCAATGAATGAAAATACATCCTGCATATCAGATATTTACATTGCAATTTATAACAGCAGCAAAATCACGAAGTAGCAATGAAAATAATTTTATGGTTGGGGGTCACCACAACATGATCATGGCATTAGGAAGGTTGAGAAACACTGGTCTAGGAAATGTGGGGCACAGGTGGGATGGAATTGCAAACCGGAAAAGAGGATGTACCTCTGGGAGGGGAAGACCTTCTCGGCATCTCTAGAATCTTCTTTACTGAAAGGGAAAGGAATGTCCACACTGTCCTCAAAGCAGGGCTGACCGGTAACATTGTGCTACTTGGGGCAAAGGACACGAGGCCATCCGTCACTCACCCCAGATCACATACAAACCAGTTGGAAGACACTTTGGCTGTCATCCAATCCAAATCTATTCTGGGTTGTTGTAGGTTTATGGGTTGTATGGCCATGTTATAGAAGCATTCTCTCCTGATGTTTTGCCTGCATCTATAGCAGGCATCTTCAGAGATTGTGAGGTCTGTTGGAAACTAGGAAAATTGGGTTCATATATCTGTGTAATAATGTCCAGGGTGGGAGAAAGAACGCTTGTCTGTTGGAGTCAAGTGTGAATGTTTCAATTGGCCACCTTAATTAGCATTTGATGGCCTGGCAGTTTTTAGGGGTGGCTTGTTACTGCTTGGGGGAATCCTTTGTTGAGAGGTGATTAGCCGTTCCTGATAGTTTCTTGTCTGGCGTTCCCCTGTCTTTGAGTTTTGTTCTTTATTTACTCTTATAATTTTAGAGTTTTTTTAAATATTGGTAGCCAGATTTTGTTCATTTTTGTGGTTTCTTCCTTTCTGTTGAAATTGTCCACATGCTTATGGATTTCAATGGCTTCTCTGTGTCGCCTGACATGGTGGTTGTGGGAGTGGTCCAGCATTTCTGTATGCAGGAAGACACAATCCAAGCACTCCAAGAGAGATGGCCATCCTGTGTGTGTTTAAAGACCTCTTGAGAAAGAGAGTCAACTACACTCCAAAGCAGCATTTTGACACTATTAAAGACCTCTTCCCATCATAAAATTCTTCCTAATATTTAGGTGGAATCTCTTTTCCTGTTGTTTGAATTCAGTAAACTCTCAGTTAACCAGTAATCAGGGAAGCCAAATGTTCCTCACCTTTCCTCTAACTTTACAAATATTAGTTCAAAGCAGGACAAGTAGCATTGCTATCAGTGTGTCACATACCACATTTTCAGGGGTGGCTTCATCAATTCCCATTGAACTTAGCATTCCCAAGTGTCCTGTTTCATCTTGAACACCACTTAATTTAAGGGCTGGAAATCTTGTCCCCTATGCTTCAAATCCTGTATTTTGATCAATGTGAGTAGGGTCATGACAGATGGACCCTTGAGCATTTGGTATGGAGTACAATGGTCTCACGTTATACACCAAAGGCAGGAGATGGGCAGCCACTCTTCCTCCTCTCTGTGCCAACTCTGAGCTCACAACAGTAAACATCTCACTTCTCAATAGTTCTAGATCGCCATCTCAATATTGTCTTGGCCTTTTGGCATCCCATGAGATTCAAGATCTCACAGAAACACAGAAATAATATGAGAGGTTCTCATATGGCTGGACCTTATAGAGGCCTACCTTACACGTCTTCTGCCAATCTTGAGTTGGCAATTGAGTGGGGAGGATGCTGTTGGTAAGTCCCAAGTATTGCAGTTTCTTCGTCCCCTCTTTGCATTGAGAGTATTGTGGTTTCTTTGTACCCTTCTTCCTTTGCATTGCCTCATGCATCTCAACTGTCTTTCTTACTTCCCCCTCACAAGGGCTGACATTTATAAAGACAAGTTTGAAGAAAAGTTTGGAAGTGTTACTTCTTCATTACGGCTTCCAAAGTTTCCAAACAACATACTTAATAGTGGCCCCCATCAAGGCTGGGGAATTCTGGAGGCTCCAATCTTGAAAAGGTACATTCCTGGCCTAAAATGTGTGTAAAACCACAGGTAGCTTACAAGGAAAATCCAGTATTTGGTAGATATTTATTTATTTACACTATTTATATTCCACCCTTCTCACCCCACAGGGGACTCAGGGCGGATTACAATGAACATATACATGGGAAACATTCAATGCCAATTAGACATACAACATATATAGACAGACAAAGAGGCAATTTAACATTCCAGCTTTTTCTGGCTTCATGAGGGTATGCTCGATTCTGGCCACACGAGGAGCTACTGCTTTACCGTCCATTTGTTATACCAAGTCCTTTGATGGAGTACTTCCTCATTCTTCTGCACGCTGCTGGAAGGTTTTATGGTGTCATAAATTAGTTAAATTAGCCTCCCCGCATAAAGCGGTACCTAAATTTCCTACTTGACCGATGCAACTTTCTTTCGGGTCGACTGCAAGCTAGACTAATAGCCGGAAGCTCACTCTGACCCGGGCTGGCTTCGAACTCATGACCTCCTGGTCAGTAGTGATTTAATGCAGCTGGCTCCTAGCTAGCTGTACCACAACCTGATACTGAAAGTCATGTTAGCAAGACAAGATGTCACAACTCTCAGTCCTCCACATTTACTGTGGTTAGAAGTGCATGACATCTGTGAAAGGAGAAAATCCAAGAAATAGAGAGATGTTTGCCTAAGAAAGCATCTCTCCAAGAAACTCTAGATCGGTGGTTCTCAACCTGTGGGTCTAAAACTCCCAGAAATCCCAGCCAGCTTACCAGCTGTTACGATTTCTGGGACTTGAAGGCCATAACATCTGGGGACCCACAGGTTGAGAACCACTTGTCTAGACCCTCCAGAACAGTCTAGTGCTTCAACTGGCACAACAAAATATAGACCAACACAACCCCTGAGGATGCCTGCCACAGATGTGGGCAAAATGTCTGAAGAGAATGCTTCTGGAACATGGCCACACAGCCCGATACACTCACAGCAACCCAGTCATTCCGGCCATGAAAGCCTTTGACAACATATTTTATATGTTTCTTGTATTTTTACAAGAACTCATAGCAACCCAACATATGAAAGAAGTTATTGGGCTGTGGAAAATGCTACTTTTTCTCTTCACCCTAAGACAGGCTTCATTGAGTATAGTCTTTAGCAACAAGAATGAGTCCTCTGCCTATAGCAGAAGTGGGAATCATTTGTGACTCCTAGCAGCCCCAGAACTCAGCTATGATGAATGTTTGGAGATGCAGTCCAACTCCAAGATTCCCACTTCTCGTTTTCAGCATGTGAGCTACAATCTCTAGCAGCATGTATGTGTGTCCGGATCTGTAGCTTTCTGGTAAAATAATTACCTCACAAACAAAGTTGGAAGGCTTTAATTAAAAGCATGCATTACGGAATGCAACAAAATTCCAATTGCCAGTTTATTTCCCTCACACCTCCTATTCTTCATACTGGCTCCTCCCTTCCATTACTCCCATTCCCATGGCAACCCTTGTCCTTGTTTCAAAGATACACAGGCCTATAGCAGAGGTGGAAATTATTTGTGACTCCTATCAGCCCCAGCAGTCAGCTATGAAGAATGCTTCGAGATACAGCCCAACTCCAGGATTCCCACCTCTCATTTGCAGCACATGAGCTACAATCTCTAGCAGCATGTATGTATGTGTCTGGATCTGTAGCTTCCTCATTATATAATTACCTCACAAACAAAGTTGGAAGGCTTTAATTCAAAAGCATGCATTAGGGAACGCAACAAAATTCCAACTGCCAGTTTATTTCCCTCACACCCCTTATTCTTCACACTGGCCCCTCCCCTTCATTGCTCCCATTCCCATGACAGCCCTCACCCTTGTTTCAAATATACACAGGCCAGATCCAAGGAATGGCTTCACACAAAACCAAGAAATAAGGTCATGACATTCAGCTCTATCCTGCCTGATAGATGGCTATCCAGCATGTGTTTCAAAATCTCCAGAGAAGGAGACTCCACCACACTTTGAGGCAGCGTATTCCACTGTTAAACAGCTCTTACTGTCAGTTAGTTCTTCCTAGTGTTTCCATGCCATTTGAATCCATTGCTCCGTGTCGTGGTCTCATGCATTAGGGAACGCAACAAAATTCCAACTGCCAGTTTATTTCCCTCACTTCTCTTATCCTTCACACTGGCCCCTCCCCTTCATTGCTGCCTTTTCCATGGCAATCCTCGCCCTTGTTTCAAATATACACAGGCCAGATCCAAGGCATTGCCTAATTTCCTGGTTTCACACAAAACCAAGAAATAAGGTCACAGCAGTATGCATCCAATGGTTCCCCTCCCAAAAAAACCAAAAACAGCCGTGGAAGGAATGGAGGACATTCTTTATTGTGTTAGTGACAGAATGCTCCTGCATTCTACAGTGCCTAAAAACATGACATTTCTGACTAAAGGGAATTGGTGGGCATGAATTAAGGGCAATACTGATTTTCTACAAGAAGCAGCTCCTCCACCACTACCATCGTCCAAGCCTCCGTATGGTTAGCGTGCCGTATGGATTCTTTGGTGTCTGTTAAGGCACGTGTTACGAGAGAACCTCTTCCCGCACACGGGACACTCGTGCGGCCTCTCCCCCGTGTGGATTCTGCGGTGCGTGTTAAGGTTAGCTTTCTGGCTGAAGCTTTTCCCGCAGCGCAGGCACTCGTAGGGCCTTTCCCCAGTGTGGATTCTCTGGTGAGTATTAAGGTAGGAGTTGCGGGAGAAGCGCTTCCCGCAAGTGGGGCACTTGTGGGGCCTCTCGCTTTCGCACCTTTTATGGTGCCCAATGAGCTGGAATTTCTGACTGAACCGTTTCCCACAGTCCAAGCATTTGAAGGGCTTTTCTCCTGAGTAGACGCTTTCATGTTTAATGAGGCTCGGGCTCTGACCAAACTTTTTCCTAAGCACACCGTAGATATTTGGTCTCTTACCAGGGTGCATCCTCCGCTGGAACACATCTTCCTTCAAGTCCTGGAAGGGTCCCCCCAATGGGACAGAAAGATCTACTTCTTGCCCTGAGCTGAGCTCGAGGTGACTCCCTAGAATGGTTCTCTGCTCACAAAACTGAGGGGCATTCTCTGCTGAGCGCCAAACACTCGGCCCGTGGGGTGCCAATTGCTCAGAAGCTTCTGGTGGAAATTCTTCTCCTTCAGCTATAGTCATCCACCCTTTAGCACCTGGAGAAAAAAAAAACAGGACAAAAAATCACTTCTGGAAGGATGACTGTACATATAATGCAGTTGCCTAGACAAGAAACAAACAGTGGGATGAAGGCATCATTTCAAAATAAAAGAGCAAATAGGAGTGAAGTTACTTTAACAATATAATGAGCGATGATTTCTAGTACCTTGAAAAACATATTTGTTAGGGGAAACTACCCTAAAATAAAGCAGAGCGTCCAAAAGATAAACAGGATACCAAAGTTGAGCATCAGCTCATTAGCGAGCAGAGCATGAAGTGCCGGGTGATGTGGCTATAAAGAATTCAGAGCCAAGGAGGCAAACATGCAGAGTCCAATCTTTAAAAAAAAATCACAAAAAGTTTATTTACAATAATAAGTAATAACTGGATTTCTTAATAGGTAAAGAACTGGGTCCGAACTATTCTAACACCCATCTCTTCTAAGGTTTCAAGAGAGGTAAATAACACCAGTCACTACATCTCTCTAACAAACAAGCAGAGAGAGGAAACAAACAGAGGAGAAACAAACAGGCACATAAAATCACTCTCAATAAAAGATTCCCCCCAGGCCCTTCCAAGCCATTGAATGCTAATCAAGGTGATCAGTGAAACATTCACACCTAGCTCTAGCAGACAGAAGTCCTTTGTCTCACCCTGGTCATTCCACAGATATATAAACCCATTTTCCTACTTCCAACAGACCTCACTACCTCTGAGGATGCTTGCCATAGATGCAGGCGAAACGTCAGGAGAAAATGCCTCCAGAACATGGCCATATAGCCCGGAAAAACCTACAACAACCCAAGCAGAGAGAGATCTCAAAGCACACAACACATACTCTCTATACTAAAGTGTAAGAAGGCAGAAGTCAGATTTTAAAAGCTTGGAATAGAAAACTATCAATTTTTAACAACCAATCAGAATGAGAGCAGAAAGAGAGAGGAGAGAAAAAAAAGTTATATTCCCAACTGTCATTGAGAAGACATGGGGGAAAGGAACCCCTTAGTCTATGCCAGTGGTTCTCAACCTGTGGGTTGTTTTGGCCTAAAACTCCCAGAAATCCCAGCCAGTTTACCAACTGTTAGGATTTCTGGGAGTTGAAGGCCAAAACATCTTGGGAACCACAAGCTGAGAACCACTGGTCTATATTAAGCTAACTAAACTGTTCCTCATTGAGGACTTGAGACTTGGGCAGTGTGGGGTTGAATTCCATCAATTTAAGGGATCCTAGGGACATCTGGATGCTCAGGTTTCATGTTTTATGTAATCTGTCTTATCAGTGCTGAAAGCCAAAACCAAGGTTACAACAACATCTGTTATAGAACTCCAATATGCTGATGACAACGTTGTCTGTGCACACTCAGAAGAAGACCTACAAGCCACTCTAAAAACCTTTGAAGAAGCATACAAGAAGCTCGGCCTGTCACTGAACATCAATAAAACCAAAGTGCTCTTCCAGCAGTCACCAGTCAATCCCTCTCCAATGCCAGAAATACAGCTTAATGGAGGAACATTAGAAAATGTTCACCCTTTCCACTACCTTGGCAGCCATCTCTCCACCAAAGTCAACATTGACACTGAAATACAACACCACCTGAGCTCTGTGAGTGCAGCATTTTTCTGAATGAAGCAGAGAGTATTTGAGGACTGGGAGATCCGCAGAGAGACCAAGGTGCTTGTTTATAAAGCTATTGTCCTCCCAACCCTGCTATACACCTGCAAAACATAGACTTTCTACAGACGTCACATGCAACTCCTGGAACAATTCCATCAGCGTTACCTCCAAAAAATCCTGCAAATCTCTTGGGAAGACAAACAGACAAACGTCAGCGTGCTGGAAGAAGCAAAGACCATCAGCATTGAAGCAGTGCTCCTCCGCCATCAACTCCGCTGGACCGGCCACGTTGTCTGAATACCCAAAGCAGTTGCTCTATTCCGAACTCAAGAATGGAAAACGGAATGTTGGAGGACAGGAAAAGAGATTTAAAGATGGGCTCAAAGCCAGTCTTAAAAACTCTGGCATAGACACTGAGAACTTGGAAGCCCTGGCCCTGGAGCGCTCCAGCTGGAGGTCAGCTGTGACCAGCAGTGCTGTAGAATTTGAGGAGGCACGAATGGAGGGTGAAAGAGAGAAACGTGCCAAGAGGAAGGCGCGTCAAGTCAATCCCGACCGAGACCACCTTTCACCTGGAAACCAATGCCCTCACTTCGGGAGAAGATGCAGGTCAAGAATAGGGCTCCACAGCCACCTACGGACCCACCACCAGAACTCTGATCTTTGAAGACAATCCTGCTCAGACAACGAGGGATCGCCTAAGTAAGAAAGTATCAATGCTCATTAAATAGCAACAGAAAGGAATAGAAAACCAATGTGGGAAGCACAACTAGCAATATTTTTTAAGAACAGCAATGAATAACTCGGTACTTATCAAATCCACGAATGAATAAACAGATGGTTTGTAAGATACACATATCTTGCCCAAGTAACCCTGCATGGCTAAGATCACAAATTCTAAATCAAAAACTGCAACCATCTCAAACGTATGAGCCTATACTGGGTCTCAAATATCATGGTACCTTTAGACTGACCAGTTTTATTTGGCCTAAGTTCTCATGGACTGCAGATGTGGAAGTTGGCCACATACCCAAATATAATTGCGTGTATTTTTGAAGGGCCACAAGAGAAATAAAAGATTTCAGATGTCTGATGAAATCTATATATATATAAATGCTCCGTGCATAATGAGTTCCTTAAAAACAAAAGAACCAATGAACGACATCACACCAAATTTGGCAACAAAACGTCTCACAACACAAGGAGTGACCGTCACTCAAAAAATTATGATTTTGTCATTTGGGAATTGTAGTTGCTGGGATTTATAGTTCACCTACAATCAAAGAGCATTCTGAACGCCATCAACGATGGAATTGAACCAAACTTGGCACACAGAACTACCATGACCAACAGAAAATACTGGAAGGGTTTGGTGGGCATTGACCTTGAGTTTGGGAGTTGTAGTTCCCCTACATCCAGAGAGCACTGTGGACTCAAACAATGATGGATCTGGACCAAACTTGGCACGAATACTCAACACGTCCAAATATGAACACAGATGGAGTTTGGGGAAAATTGACCTTGACATTTAGGAGTTGTAGTCACTGGGATTCACAGTTCACCTACAATCAAAGAGCATTCTGAACCCCACCAACGACAGAATTGGGGCAAACTTCCCATACAGAACCCCCATGACCAACAGAAAATACTTAAGGCCATCCAATCCAACTCCCTTCACCAGGGCAAGAAAACGTAATCAAAGCCCTCCTGACAAAGAGCCATCCAGCCATAGATATAGATAGATAGATAGATAGATAGATAGATAGATAGATATTATTCACACACACAGATAGAGTATCATAGATTTGAAAGGGACCCCTAAAGAAGGACAATTATATGTCGCATATTCCAGAATAAGCAAACCAGAAACTCTCCACATCAACACTGACAAAGAAACAGCAAGGAATACTGTTTACCCACAAGCATAAAGAAATTATATATATTAGAAACCAACACTTGCTCATTACTTTATTTCCAGATCAACAGACTGAGCCACAGGAACACGTGGCAGGGGACCGCTAGTACAATAATAAAGAAAGACCATCTATTGGGAAGTCTGAAGATTTGAGATCCCTGCCAGGGCCAAACCAGGTAGTCTCAGGGGTCACTCTTAAATCTACTATCTTATATTCTCACCCATCAAGATGGCCTCGCCACTGTCCTCCTCTTGCTTGGTCTCCTTGGTTAGCTGCCTGTGTCCAGTTGGGGCGGATGGAGCAGCTTCGGGATCACAGAATCTCAAAGCCACTTCCTCAAAGGCTGGTGTGACCTGGAAGAACAGGCAAAATCTCTTTCAGGGTAGAAGGACAAGGTTTGGGACTCATTCAGGTGGTCTTGGGGACCAAGGTCTGTATGTGAATAGGGCTTGGGGCTCATTAGAGACTAAGCTCTGTATATGAACAGTATTTGGGGTTAATCCAAGCAGTCTTAGGGACCAAGCTCTGTATGTGAATAGCACTTAGTGACGGAGTCCTATACATTCAAAGAGTTTGGAACTTATTAAGGCAGTGTTAGGGACCGAGCCTTGTACGTGAACAACATTTAGGGTTTATTAAGCTGGTCTTATGAACCAAGCTCTGTATGTGAATAGGTTTTGAGACATATTCAGGCAGTCTTAGGGACTGAGATCTGATTGTGAAATGGTTTTGGGGTTTATTCAAGCTTATTTATTTATTTCGCATTAAAAGCATTGCATAAATTAGTATAAAACTGATAAAAACAGAAGGTGCGCAGGTGGCTAATTATCTTTTGACCAAAAATGGGCAACAGCAACAGCATTGTCTGTAGCCTCCAACAATTCCTCCTGTGTACATGAGGCAGGGCACAGTGGACAAGCCTACAGATATTCAAGCTGTCTATATGTCTTAGGGTCTGACCTCTCTGTGTGTACATCTCTCAGTGTGTGTATATTGCTCTCCCACCTGAGTTTTCTGTCGCTGTACCTCTCTCTGGACCTGGAGGAAGTTCTCGGCCAGGGTCACTGCCTGGGCACAGGTCTCGGGGCCTCGTTCCCTGACCCAGCTCTGGATCTCCAGAGGCAGGACGGTCAGGAACTGCTCCAGGATCAGCAGCTCCAAGATCTGCTCTTTTGTGTGCTTCTCCACCTTCAGCCACCGGTGGCAAAGATCCTGGAGCCGACCATAAGCCCCCCTGGGCCCCTCGGCCTCCTGGTAACAGAAGTGCCTGAAGTGCTGGCGCCTCTTCTCCCTGTTGAGGGCAGCCCCTCGCAAGATGGCCACCTTCACTCTCCCATAATCCTTTCTGTCTCGAGCTTCCAGCCGGTTGAAGGCCTGCTGCGCTTCTCCACGGAGTGCCGGCAGGAGCCGGGTGACCCACTCCTCCCTGGGCCACTGGCAGGCCTCGGCCACCTGCTCAAAGGAGGCCAGGAAGGCCTTGGCATCGTCCCATGGGGCAGGCTCCTCTGGCAATGGCGGGAGCCCCCAGCCTGAGCAAGGAGACTCCACTTCCTTCAGGAAGTCCTGCCACTGGACCTCCCAGCGCTGAATGAGACCTTCGTCGGCCTCCTCTTTGATCTGCGGCGCCGGCATCTTTTGGAGGAATTCACGGATGCAGTTCCTCTCAACGGCAAGTGGAGACTTTCTGGCCCCTTCCAATCCTTCTGTGGGTTTGGGGTCGACTTGGCGTGGCTCCTCCATTTTCATCCCTAGTGGATTTCTCTGCATGGAAGGGTTCACGGACAAGATGGGGGCACAATAAGAGAATTCACGTTTTGGAAGACCAGAATCAAAGGCCCTGAGAGAGGAAGGATTGGAGACACGTGAGAAAATTGCAGTTTCAGGAAACATAATTCCCCTGTTTGTAACCCCACAAAGCTACACTTCTACTTGAACTAACTCATATGGGATCTGTAAGAAAGGAAAAATGTAGGGAACATGAAATCCCTAGGCTCTCCAGTATTATTATTTTACTCTGTTATTATTTTTATTACATTTATTATTCTATTCATTATTATTATTATTAAATTTACATTATTTTACATTTATTTTTATTATTTTAGTCTTTATTATTTGATACACAACAAGATATGGACACAGCAAACAAGATCACTATGCTGGCTGTTGTATTGGATTTCACGTTGTACACTTCCCAAGTGTCTAGGACTATGTGATGTACTGGCAAATAATCTGAGCAAGGTGGCCTTTTGCAGTTGACAGATGGTAATTCTATCAGTGCTGATTGTTTTTAAGTGCAGGCCAAGGTCTTTAGGCACTGCACCCAGTGTGCCAATCACCACTGGGACCACTTTTACTGGCTTGTGTCAGAGTCTTTGAGTTGGATCTATTATTATTTTTCTCTATTTATTATTGTTATTATTACATTTATTACTTTACTCTATTATTACTATTATTACATTTATTATTTTGCTCTATTATTAGTTATTAGTACATTTCCATTATTTTACTCTATTATTGTTATTGTTACATTTATTATTTTAATCTCTTTATTATTATTGGAAGTACATTTACACCGAAGAAGGTTAGAGTAATGATTTAATCAGAGTTGGACAGTCTTATCTTAAATTACAGTTTTATGTAAATATTTAAAAACATTTAACCTACTGATGCTTCAATTAATGTAATTTTATTGGTATCTATTTTTCTTTTGAAATTTACCTGTAGCTGCTGCATTTTCCACCCTCAGCTTATATTTGGGTCAGCTTATACTCAAGTATATACAGTACTGCAGAACCACTTCAGCAAAATTAGGCCACTCACAAGAGAATATTGGAAATAGCTTGTCATTGCCTAAGCTAATGGAGCTTTTGTGAGAAAGTTCTAGTTTTCTACCTGTTGAATTCCAAATTCCCCTCACTTGTAGCCATGACAACTCAGGTCAAAGCAACTCCCACCAGTCCTCCACTCAAACATTTTTATCAGCCCTTTCCTATGAGAAGCCTTCCAGATGCCCAGGGGTTATCTTTCTCTCCTCCTCAGCCCTTGATCTGTCAAGGAGAAATTATGGTGGTATTTCAGAACATCAGAATGTCCTCAGTCATGACACCCACTCTTCAATCGCAAAAACTTGATTGTGCCATCTGTATATATAAAAGTCAAAGTATGTATGTCTGTCTATTTGTACCACAAAGGTTGCTGCTAGATGAAGTGGCCCTCTGTGAAGTCACTGGGGAAGAAAGGTGACCTGTGTGTTAGAGCAATGGAGGGGCAAACCCCAATTTTTAAAAATCTAACTCAGCTATAGAATTAGAAGACAACAAAAGAGCCATCTAGCCCAACTTCTTGCCATGCAGAAATACACCATCAAAGCACCCCTGACAGACAGCCATGACAAAGTAGTGTCGAACTGCATTAACCCCAGTGTAGATCAGGCATGGGCAAACTTCAGCCTTCCAGGTGTTTTGGATTTCAACTCTCACAATTTCTAATAGCCTACCAGCTGTTCGGAATTGTGGGAGTTGAGGTTCAAACATCTGGAGGGCTGAAGTTTGCCCATGCCTGGTGTAGATGCACCTCAGGATAGTTGATGACTGGGACTCAGGGAGGTGTCTCCTTCAAGGCCCGTCATAAGGCAGAGCTGACAGTCAATAATAAAACAATGCAAAAGCAAAGGTGGGTGATCAAAAATTTCTGGATGATGTAACAAAAACTAATTAAACACAAGCCCTGATTAAGATCTAAAAGGAGAAAGGGTTCGATTCACGCCCTTCAAGTTCCAGCGATTGGTTGGTAGGAGCAGGAAAGAGCTGCGAAACAACATTGAAAACCATTGCCTTTTAAATTGCCTTGAACAGGCAGGATTATTTTAAATATATATGTGCTATTGTGATTTTTTATGCTTCCATTGTCTAATTTTATGTCTATGTTGTTCAGATAATTTTATGTCTATGTTGTTCACTTTGTATGTATTGATGATGTTACTTGGAAACTGCTCTGAGTCCCCTTGGGGAGATAGAGTGGTATATAAGTTTTGTTGTTGTTGTTGCATCACGACATAGAAACCGACTCTGTTAAAGAAGTCATAGCAGAGGGTGTCTCTACACCAGGTATGGGTTAACTTCGGCCTTCCAGATGTTTTGGACTTCAATTCCCACAATTTATTTATTTATTTACTTACTATGCTTCTATACCGCCATTCTCAGCCTCAGGGCAACTCATGGCAGAGCAACTCAAATTTGAGAACACAGAAATGCTGGACCACTCCAACAACCACCATGTCAGACTACACAGAGAAGCCATTGAAATCCACAAGCATGTGGACAATTTCAACAGAAAGGAAGAAACCATGAAAATGAACAAAATCTGGCTACCAGTATTAAAAAACTCTAAAATTACAACAGCAAAACAGCAGAGAGGAAACAACCAGGCACATCTTAACACCTCTCAACAAAAGATTTTCCCAGGCTCAGCCAGGCCTTCAAATGCTAATGAAGGTGATCAGTTGAAACATTCACACCTAGCTCCAGCAGAGAAGAGCTCTTTGCCCCACCCCTGCCATTCCACAGATATATAAACCCATTGTCCTAATTCCAACAGACCTCACTATCTCTGAGGATGCTTGCCATAGATGCAGGCGAAACATCAGGAGAAAAATTGCCTCCAGAACATGGCCATATAGCCCGGAAAAACCTTCAACAACCCAGTACAAAGATAATTTAAACATAAAAAAGATTTAACATGGATAAAAAATTCATTACAATTAATATCAATAAACATAATAAAAACCGTAAGTCCTCTGCATTTCATTACCAGTCATTGTCCAGTCACGTTGTCCAACCATTCTGAGATCAGAGTTTAATAGCTACACTGCGTTTGGGAAAGCCTGCTTATATAGCCAGGTTTTAACTTTTTTGCAAAATGTTAAGAGGGTGGGGGCTGATCTAATTCCCTGGGGAGGGCATTCCACAACCGAGGGGCCACCGTTGAGAAGCCTGCTGTTAGGAATTGTGGAAGTTGAAGTCCAAAACACCTGTAGGGCCCATGTTTGCCCATACCTGGTGTAGAGATACCCTTAGTATGACTTCTTTAACAGAGTCTGTTTCTATGTCGTGGTGCAACAACAAAACTGTGGGATCAATGCAGTTTGACACTATTTTAACTAGGTTCTTGTAGGTTTTTTCGGGCTATAGGGCCATGTTCTAGAGGCATTTCTCCTGACGTTTCGCCTGCATCTATGGCAAGCATCCTCAGAGGTAGTGAGGTCTGTTGGAAATAGGAAAATGGGTTTATATATCTGTGGAATGACTGGGGTGGGGCAAAGAGCTCTCTGCTGAAGCTAGGTGTGAATGTTTCAGATGACCACCTTCATTAGCATTTGAAGGCTTGGCTGAGCCTGGGAAAATGTTCTGTTGAGAGGTGTTAAGATGTGCCTGGTTGTTTCCTCTCTGCTGTTTTGCTGTTGTAATTTTAGAGTTTTTTAATACTGGTAGCCAGATTTTGTTCATTTTCATGGTCTCCTTTCTGTTGAAATTGTCCACATGCTTGTGGATTTCAATGGCTTCTCTGTGTAGTCTGACATGGTGGTTGTGGAGTGGTCCAGCATTTCTGTGTTCTCAAATAATATGCTGTGTCCAGGTTCATCAGGTGCTCTGCTATGGCTGACTTCTCTGGTTGAAGTAGTCTGCAGTGCCTTTCATGTTCCTTGATTCGTGTTTGGGCAATGCTGTGTTTGGTAGTCCCTATGTAGACTTGCTATGTAGACTTGTCCACAGCTGCATTGTATACGGTACACTCCTGCAGAGGTGAGAGGATCCCTCTTGTCCTTGGCTGAACGTAGCATTTGTTGGATTTTCTTGGTGGATCTGTAGATAGTTTGTATGTTATGTTTCCTCATCAGCTTCCCTATGCGGTCAGTGGTTCCCTTGATGTATGGCAGGAACACTTTTCCTCTGGGTGGATCTTCATCTTTACGCTCGTGGCTTGTTCTTGGTCTTGCAGCTCTTTCCAACAGACCTCACTACCTCTGAGGATGCTTGCCATAGATGCAGGCGAAACGTCAGGAGAAATGCCTCTAGAACATGGCCCTATAGCCTGAAAAAAACCTACAAGAACCTAGTGATTCCAGCCATGAAAGCCTTCGACAATACTATTTTAACTGCGATGTCTATCTGTCAGGGGTGCTTAAGCGGATGAGGGGGAAAAGTTGGTCAATGCCTGCTCTATACTGTAGAATTAACCCAGTTTGGCACCGCTTTGAAATACCAAGACACAATGCTAAGGAATAATGAGAGCTGTGGCTTGAGGAATCATAGAATCAAAGAGTTGGAAGAGACCTCCTGGGCCATCCAGTCCAACCCCATTCTGCCAAGAAGCAGGAATATTGCATTCAAATCACCCCTGACAGATGGCCATCCAGCCTCTGCTTAAAAGCTTCCAAAGAAGGAGCCTCCACCACACTTCGGGGCAGCGAGTTCCACTGCTGAACGGCTCTTACAGTCAGGAAGTTCTTCCTCATGTTCAGGTGGAATCTCCTCTCTTGTAGCTTGAGAAGGCTCAGCAATGAAGGCTAAAGGCCTTGGGAAGCTACAACACCCATGATTCGACAGTATTGAGCCAAGGTGATCCAAAGCGGAATCAAAGTGGGTTAATTCTGCAGTGCAGATGCCCTCTGGGCCTCTTAGAAGTCGGTTCCTGTTCAGTCTCTTTCCTCCCTCACAAGAAGAGCTTTTCATGACTTCCTCCCTTCATTCCTGTCCCAATTTTGGAGCCCTGTTTCCCTCTCTACTTTCCCTAGACTCACCTGAAACCCCTCCACAAGAAATGGCACTTCCTGGATTACACAACTTCCGGAAGAAGGCAGCAGACAGGAAGTCGGCCTACCCCGGAACACTCACGCCCGCACAGCCACGCGACTTCCGCTTCGCCGCTCCAGCCAAGGCCTCCCAGGAACTCGCTGGTCTTAACCCTCCAGGCGCCAGTGACAAATTGAAGCTTGAGGAAGAGTGGGCCAGGATTGCATTGGATGTTGCTATATATCTCTATAACAGTGTATAGAGCAGGCCTGGGCCAACTTGGGCCCTCCAGGTGTTTTGGACTCCAACTCCCACAATTCCTAACAGCCTACCGGCTGTTAGGAATTGTGGGAGTTGGAGTCCAAAACACCTGGAGGGCCCAAGTTGGCCCAGGCCTGCTCTATACACTGTTTACAAGACATTGCATTTGCCATCTAATCCAACTCCATGCTAAAGTACAGACCCTGTATTATTTTTATTATTATTATTAAGCATTTCAGGATTACATCGTCTTCCTTTTAAAAATATACAAAGCCGCTGTAGTCTGCAAAGTTTCGAAACTGCACCGTCGCATGACTTCTCGAGTATGTTTATGTTTGGAGGCTCCTTTCGTCCTCCCGGGTTGAAAAGAACTTCTGCAAAAAAGCATATTTTGGGTGTTTTGATTGACCTAAATACACAGATACAGGTGTTTTCCCCCTCCGTAATGGAGATGCCAGGGCTTGAACCTGCAACCTCTGGCTTGCCACTGAATTCAAGACATGGAAGATGTCCACAAAACGCTGACCGAAATGGAGAAAGGCCTGGAAGCCAAGCCCTATGAGGAACGGCTTAAGGAGCTGGGTATGTTTAGATTGGAGAAACAAAGTCTGGCGGGACCAAAGGATGTCACATTGAGCTTGTTTTCTGCTGCTCCGGAAACTAGGACTTGGAGCAATGGTTTCAAACTACAAGAAATGCCACTGAAACATTGTGAAGAATTTCCTGGAAGTAAACGCTGTTCAGCAACGGGATACGCCACTGCCTGGGAATGTAGTGGAGTCTTCTCTAGAAGTTTTTCAATGAAGTCTGGATGGCCATCTGTCAGGAATGTTTTGATTGTGTCTTCCTGCATTGCAGAATGGGGTCAGACAGGATGGCCCCTGGGATCTCTTCTGATTCGATCTCGACATTTTTCATATTGGCTTGCTGTGACTTTTCAGAGCTGTATGGCCATGTTCCAGCAGCATTCTCTCCTGATGTTTCGCCTGCATCTGTGGGTGGCATCTACAGAGGTCTGTTGCTAGTGAGGCATATTATTATTATACACCTTATATCAGTGGTTCTCAACCTGGGGTCCCCAGATGTTTTTGGCCTACAACTCCCAGAAATCCCAGCCAGTCTACCAGCTGTTAGGATTTCTGGGAGTTGAAGGCCAAAAACATCTGGGGACCCCAGGTTGAGAACCACTGCCTTAAATGGTTTTAATTTGTATACTGTTTTATGTGTTTTATTGATTAACTCATTGGATTGTTGTAGGTTTTCCGGGCTATATGGCCATGTTCTAGAAGCATTCTCTCCTGATGTTTCGCCTGCATCTATGGCAAGCATCCTCAAAGGTTGTGAGGTCAAGATCTCACAACTTCTGAGGATGCTTACCATAGATGCAGGTGAAACGTCAGGAGTGAATGCTTCTAGAACATGGCCATATAGCCCAAAAAACCTACAACCCAGTGATTCCAGCCATGAAAGCCTTCGACAATATGATTAACATTGTTTAAAATAACCTCATTGTTTATCCCACCCGAGTCTCTCTCTAAATACAGCACTTTATTTATCTACCTCACCCATGGGTTTAAAAAAAAAATTCACTCCTCGCGCTTGGCCTAGCTCGCCCTCGTCTAAATTCTTGCATTGTTTTTCATACTGTTTTATTGTTATTGTTATTATTATTTTATTATGTTATTGTGTAAGTATTTTTACTTGATGTTGTCATGTGTCTTGTATGTATTTTATTTTGTTTTATTGTAATCGTTTGGGCTTGGCCCCATGTTAGCTGTCCTGAGTCCCCTTGGGGAGATGAAGGCGGGGTACAAATAAAGTTATTATTAACTCTTAATCGTTTTAACTGTGGGATATGTTTTTACTGTTTATTGTTGGTTTTTACCAGCATTGAATCCTTGCTGGACCTGTAAGCCGCCCCGAGTCCCCTTGGGTGAGAAAGACTAGTAAAAATGAAGTAAATAAATAAATAAATAAATATATCTGTCAAATGTCCAGGGTGGGAGAAAGAACCCATCTCTGTTTGAAGCAAATATGAATATTGCAATTAGCAAGCTTGATTAGCATTGAATAGCCTCGCAGCTGCAAAGCCTGGTCATTGTTGCCAGGAGGAACCCTTTGTTTAGGAAGTGTTAACTGGCCCTGATTGTTTGCTGCATGGAGTTTGCCTATTTTTGAGTGGTGTTCTTTATGTACTGTCTTGATTCTGGTGTTTTTAAATACTGGTAACCAGATTTTGTTCATTTTCATGGTGTCCTCCTCTCTGTTGAAATTGTCCACATGTTTGTTGATTTCAATGGCTTCTCTGTGTAGTCTGACATGGTGGTTGTGAGAGTGTTCCAGCATTTCTGTGTCCTCAAATAATATGCTGTGCCCAGGTTGGTTCATCAGGTGTTCTGCTATGGCTGACCTCTCTGATTGCCTTAGTCTGCAGTGCCTTTCATATTCTTTGATTCAAGTATTTATTTACCGTATTTATACACCACCTTTCTCAGCCCGAAGGTGACTCAAGGCAGTTTACAGTCAGCACATTAGCATATAAAATATAAAACCGTACAGACCAATAAAAACATATGGGCAATGTTGCTGCAATGTTGTTCCCTATGTAGACTTGTCCACAGCTGCATGGTATACGATAGACTGCTGCAGTGGTGAAAGGATCCCTCTTGTCCTTTACTGAACACAGCATTTGTGAAATTTTCTTGGTGGGTCTGTAGATAGTTTGTAGGTAGTGTTTCTTCATCAGCTTCCCTATGCATTCAGTAGTTCCCTTGATGTATGGTAAGAACACTTTTCCTCTAGGTTCGTGGTTCTGAACCTGTGGGTCTCCAGATGTTTTGGCGTTCAACTCCCAGAAATCCAGCAGCTGGTAAACTGGCTGGGATTTCTGGGAGTTGTAGGCCAAAACACCTGGGGACCCACAGGTTCATTACCACTGCTGGGTGGATCTTTGCCATGACTCTCGTGCTTTGTTCTTGGTCTTGCAGCTCTTCTGATGTCTGATGTCCATTAGCCTGTAAAGCCCACTTTAGGTGGTTCAGTTTACCTAGGAGATGGTGGGGCATGCAGACAGAATCTGCGAAAACTATTCAATGCTAATCAAGCTGGCTAATTCCAACATTCACACTTGCTTCAAACAGACAAGAGTTCTTTCTTCCACCCTGGACACTCCACAGATATATACACCCCACTTGCTTCACTGCCAACAGAACCTCTACAGATGCTTGCCATAGATGCAGGAGAAACAGCAGGAGAGAATGCTACTGAAACATGGCCAGACAGCCCGGAAAACTCACAGCAACCCAATGATTCCAACCCTCGACAGCACATTTTTCCTCCTTGTGGATTCTGTGATAGGAAGAGAGAGGAAGCACTTATCCATGTTTCTCTAGTATTGAGCCTTGCATGGGAAGCAAGCTACATATTAGAAATGAGGTTCTTTCTTCACACAGAAGACTTGCATAATGCTTCCGCCTCTTCCAGTGGGAGCTCTTTCCAGGCGAAACAGTTGCAGGTCTTCTTGGCGTGGATCCTCTCGTGCTTCATCAGGTGGGACTTCTGAATGAAGGTCTTCTCGCAGATGGAGCACTTGTAGGGCTTCTCCCCCGTGTGCGTCCTCACGTGGACCGCCAGGTTGGCCTTCTGGCTGAAGCCCTTGCTGCAAGCCGAGCACTTGAATGGCTTGTCCCGAGTGTGGATCCGTTCATGAACCGTCAGCTGACAAGTACTTCTAAAGTCCTTCCCGCAAGCCGAGCACATGTGTGGCTTCTCCCCCGTGTGGAGTCTCTCGTGGAAAACGAGGTCCGGCCTTTGCGGGAAGCACGTGTCAGAATACGAACACGGGTGCGCTTTGTTTTCCCTCATGTGGATCCGCTGGTGTCGCTTCAAGTGGTCCTTGCGGCTGAGCATTTTCCCACACTCCGCACACTGGAAGGGACCCTCCTGGCTGTCTGCTTTTTCACATATATGGAAACCAGGACCCTGTCTGAAACCTTCCTCAGTCCCAGCGTGCGGATTTGGCTTTGGCCACTCGTGGGTGTTGCTTAAGGACTCCTTGTCAGGCGCGAAGGAGATTGGCCTCTCCCCGGCCATCCTCGAGCAATGGTCTCTGAGCTGCTTCAATGATCCATGTTCGTCTTCAAGGGCATGGACCTGGGAAAAGAAGTCTCCAGCCCTTCTTCTGGGTGGTTCCGCTTGCTTGGGTCTCTCTGGCTGATACTTAGTTTCTTCACATTCCCCGATTTGTGTGTAATCTAGTAAAAAAAAGAAAACAATAAAGTTGAGAATTTGATCCACATTGAACAGTCCAACCAAAAAAAAATGGGTTGCTGTGAGTTTTCCAGGCTGTATGGCCATGTTCCAGAAGCATTCTCTTGTGACATTTCAGCCACATCTGTGGCAGGCACCCTCAGAGGTTGAGGGGTCTGCTGGAAACTAGGCAAGTGGGGTTTATATATCTGTGGAATAATGTCCAGGGTGAGAGAAAAAACTCTTGTCTGCAAGTGAAGGTTGCAATTGGCCTCCTTGATTAGCATTGAATGGCCTTGCAGCTTCAAAGCCTGGCTGGTTGCTGCCTGGCGGACTCCTTTGTTGGGATGCCTGCTACAAATGTGGGTGAAACGTCAGGAGAGAATGCTTCTGGAACATGGCCATACAGCCCAGAAAATGCATCTGAATGCATCTCTTCCTATGAACCATCTAGGTGTTTAAGATCGTCTGGAGAGGCCCTGTACTCGGTCCCGCCTTTTTCGCAGATCCGATTGGCAGGAATGAGAGACAGGGCCTTCTCAGCGGTGGCCCCCTGGCTATGGAATGCCCTCCCTAGGGACATTAGATCGGCCCCCTCCCTCCTAACATTTCGAAAGAGAGTTAAGACCTGGCTGTTCGAGCAGCCATTTGTAGATGCAGTATAACTGATTAATTGAGACTCATGGAACAACAGGACGATGCGATGGAAAATGATTTTAATGATGAGACGCTGAGAAATGTATTTTATGATTTTAATTGTTTATTGTTATTGTTTTTATACGGTTTACACTATATGTAATTGTTTTTGACTGTATTTTATCTTGTGGGGCATTGATTGCCAAATGTAAACCGCCTCGAGTCGCCTTATTATTATAGTAAATAATAATAATAATAATAATAATAATAATATAATAATAAATAACTCACAGCAACCCAGTGATTCTGGCCATGAAAGCCTTCAACAACACATTTTTCCACCCTTGGCATCTTGGATTTCAGGCCTGATCCTGAGTTATTTGGGGCGCTAATTCAGAAAATGGCATTGGATAGACAGCATTAACTCCACTTTCTTGAATAGTAAATATTTTAGTCCCCTCTTTAAAAGATCTCTTCTGCAAAACTGGGATATCATAACAAGCTTTCTCATAATGTAGCATGCTTTAATTTTAATAAGGAGTCATAGAATAATGTTCATGTGGAATCTCCTTTCCTGCAATTTGAACCCATATGTTTCCTTCACACTTAAAATATATTAGTTTAAACACTACATTAAAGTATCCTATTTTTTTGTACTATGGGCATCAACCTCCAGAGTCGGGAATGACTAATGTCAGTGGCAACCTTTACCTTTTATTGTTGTTGTTCTTCTCGGCCTCTCATTTTATCTTACCATTCACATCTTGCCACCTTATATCTAAAATATTCAGTACAGGAATTTCACACCATTTGGTTGTTTAGCCTATTTCAGGATCTTTGGACCAAACACACCTACTTCCTTCGAGCCTTCAAAGGGTGGTCATGTCTGAGTTTCGTTATATTGAAAAACGTGTCTGTAAGCAGCTCTACGTACTTAAAAGCACAGCATCACTTCTTGGTCTGGTTTCCCTGCATAGCAGTTGTGGCCGGAGGTCAGATGAACAACCCGAGAAACTCACAGCCATCTCCACGAATGGTGTCAGCATCTGAAATAAGAGGGATAGTTATGGTCTGGAAAGAAGCACAGCTTGAAGGCCAAGATGGCACATCAGAACCTGGAAATGTTATTTCACTGGACAAACAAAACCTAATTGTATAGTCCTACTCTTTGGCCATAAAAATGAAATGCACAGATAGAGAAAGGGTGACACTCGGCTTGAAAACAATCCACGGGAAAGGGATCTCGGAGTCTTAAGAGACCACAAGCTGAACATCAGTCAACAGTTTGACACGATAGCAGAGAAGGCCAATGTGATTTTAGATGGCATCAATAGGAGTATAATGTCTAGATCAGCATTTCTCAACCCCTGGGGGTTGTCAGAGGGGTCACGAGGGGGGTGTCAGAGGGGTCACCTGAGACCATCAGAAAACACAGTCTTTTCTGTTGGTCTTGGGGGTTCTGTGTGGGAAGTTTGTCCCAATTCTGTCATTGGTGGGGTTCAGAATGCTCTTTGATTGTAGGTGAACTATAAATCCCAGTAACTACAACTCCCAAATGTCATGGTCTATTTTCCCCAAACTACTGTTTACATTTGAGCATATTGAGTATTTGTACCAAGTTTGGTTCAAACCCATCATTGTTTGAGTCCACAGTGCTCTCTGGATGCAGGTGAACGACAACTCCAAAACTCAAGGTCAATGTCCACGAAAACCCTTCCAGTATTTTCTGTTGGTCATTCATTCATTCATTCATTCATTCATTTATTTATTTACGACATTTATATGCTGCCCTTCTCACCCCGAAGGGGACTCAGTACGGCTTACAATATATATAGACATACAATATATTATATTATTAGCATAGTATACTATCAGTATTAAATATTACTATATTGTACTATACCATTATATTGTAATATTATTAGTAATATTACATCTATGTAAATAAAAATGTAATGTTCGTTTGTGGGATTAACAGAACTCAAAAATCACTTGGACACAACACACCTAAGAACCCAATGTATGTCCTTCACTCATAAAAACACTGAAAAACACAGCAGAAGAACTTTAAAAGCCCCAAAAAGCTAAATGACGAAAAGCTAAATGGCAAACGAAGAGCATTCTGAACCCCACCAATGATGGAATTGAACCAAACTTGGCACATAGGACTCCCACAACCAACAGAAAATTCTGGATGGGTTTGGTGGGCATTGCCCTTGAGTTTGGGAGTTGTAGTTCACCTACATCCAGAGCACTGTAGACTCAAACAATGATAGATCTGGACCAAACCTAGCACGAATGTTCCATATGGCCAAATATGAACACAGATGGAGTTTGGGGGACCTTGGCATTTGGGAGTTGTAGTTACTGGGATTTATAGTTCATCTACAATCAAAGAGCATTCTGAACCCAACCAATGACAGAACTAGGACAAACTTCGCACACAGAACCCCCGTGACCAACAGAAAATATTTAAGGCCATCCAGTCCAATTCCCTTCACCAGGGCAAGAAAACATAACCAAAGCCCTCCTGACAAAGAGCCACCCAGCCATAGATATAGAAGATAGATATATATGATTCACACACAGATATAGTATCCTAGATTTGAAAGGGACCCCTAAAGAAAGACAATGATATGCTGCACGTTCCAGAGTAGGCAAACCAGACAATCTCCACATCAACACTGACAAAGAAACAGCAAGAAATACTGTTTACCCACAAGCATCAAGAAAGTACAGATATTAGAGACCAACACTTCCTCATCACTTTATTTTCCAGATCACCAGACTGAGCCACAGCAATGCCTGTCAGGGGATGGCTAGTAGCACAATAAAATATGTTTTTAAAAACCCTTCTTTGTGTGTTTTGCCTCTATTGTGAATCAAAAGCACCACTATGTATACCCCGCACCTGTTTGTCCTCTCTTTCGTCCTCTTGCTGCCGGAGAAGGAACTCCTCGGCCAGGGCCACGGCCTGCGCGCAAGTCTCCGGCCCGTGTTCCCGGACCCACCTCTGCATTTCCTGCGGCAAGATGGTCAGCAGCTGCTCCAGGACCAGCAGCTCCAGGATCTGCTCCTTGGAGTGCCTCTCCACCCGCAGCCACCCGCGGCACAGCTCCCACAGCTGGCTGTACGCCCCCCGCGGCCCCTCCACCTCCCGGTAGCAAAACCGGCGGAAATGCTGCCGCTGCTTCTCCCTCCTGAGGGTGTCCTGGCGCAAGATGGCCGCCTCGACCTTCCCGTAATCCTCCCGGTCTTGGGCCTCCAGGCTGTGAAAGGCCTGCTCGGCTTCTCCGTGAAGGGCAGGCAGGAGGCGGGCGGCCCACTCCTCCTTGGGCCACCGGCAGGCTTTGGCCACTTGCTCGAAAGAGGCCAGGAAGGCCCTGGTGTCGTCCCAGGGGGCGGCCTCCTCCATTAATGACGTGCCTCCCCAGATGGAAGAAGGAGACTCAACCCTCTCCAAGAACTCCTGCCATTGGTGGTCCCACCGCTGGAAGTGGCAGTCGTCTTTCTCCTTTTTAATCCGCTCTTCCAGCCTCTCCTGTGGGAACACGCTAGTATTCCTGGCCTGCAGGACATACGGTCCCTCAAAGCCGTTCCTCAAGACACTGCTCATGGGGTCTTGTTCCTCCATTTTCATCTCAGCAACCTTCAGGCCGGTCTCCTTGCTAGAGTCCTAAAAAGCATAATAGCATAGAAGAATTCTATTGTAATTTGTACATTGTACAATGAAATTAAATCTATATAAATAAAAATGTAATGTTCATTTGTGGGATTAACCGAACTCAAAAACCATTGGACGAATTGACACCAAATTTGGACACAAGACACCAAACAACCCAATGTATGTCCTTCACTCAAAAAAAATGATTTTGTCATTTGGGAGTTGTAGTTGCTGGGATTTATAGTACATCTACAATCAAAGAGCATTCTGAACTCCACCAACGATGGAATGGAACCAAACATGGCACACAGGACTCCCATAACCAACAGAAAACACAAGGGTTTGGTGGGCATTGATCTTGAGTTTGGGAGTTGTAGTTCACCTACATCCAGAGAGCACTGTGGACTCAAGCAATGACAGCTCGGGACCAAACTTGGCACAAATACTCCATATGCCCAAATATGAACACCGATGGAGTTTGGGGGGAATAGACCTTGACATTTGGAATTTGTAGTTACTGGGATTTATAGTTCACTTACAATCAAAGAGCATTCTGAACCTCACCAATGACAGAATTGGGGCGAACTTCCCACACAGAACCCCCATGACCAACAGAAAATACTTAAGACCATCCAGTCCCAACTCCCTTCATTGGGGCAAGAAAACATAATCAGAGCCCTCCTGACAAAGAGCCATCCAGCCATAGATATAGATAGATATATATGATTCGCAGACACACACATATATAGATATGACAGATGCAGTATCATAGATTTGAAAGGGACCCTAAAGGAGGACAATTATATGTTCCAGAGTAGGCAAACCAGACAATCTCCAAATCAACACTGCCAAAAAACAGCAAGAAATACTGTTTTCCCACAAGAAATCAACACCTTCTCACTATTTTCCTGATCACCAGACTGGGCCACAGCAATGAGTGGCAGGGGACGGCTAGTAATAAATATAATAATAATAATAAACATCATCATCAACAACAACTTTATTTATACCCTGCCACCATCTCCCCAAAGGGGACTCAGGGCAGCTGACATGAGGTCCATCCCAAAGATACAATACAGCAAAATAAAATACATTATGCTGACAATAAATACTTACATCAAGATAAAACACATACGGTAGCAAAATAAAATAAATAAAACAAATTAACACAATATAAAATCCAACAGAATGGGCAGTGCGAATGGACGAGGTAAAATGATAAAACTCTGGGTGAGGTAGGAAAGAAAATATGTAATTGAGGGGAACCCAAAAAGAATGAACAGTGGGGTAGGCTTTCAGTTTAGGACGGGGGGAAAGTGACTTCTCCAGCACACAACACAAAAACAACACACCCATCCCTCCACACTCCCACCACCACTGCGCAGCCCCTAGTGTCGCCTCAATGCAAAATCTCCTTTCCTGTAGTTTGAAGTCATAGGGAGAAGGGAGCAGGCTTGTTGTGTCCTAGTCTCCAGGACAGCAGAAAACAAGCCTGCTCCCTCCTCCCTATGACTTTCCCTCACATCTTGATCCATGGCCCTGATCATGTCTCCTCTCAGCCTTCTCTTTTACAGGCTAAACATGCCCAGCTCTTTAAGCCTCTCCTCATAGGATTTATTCTCCAGACCCATCTTTGTATATAGATGCATTTTCAATGTTTTCATGGTGTTGTTTATGAATTTTAATGTAGTTGGACTCACCTTCGAGGTGGATACAAAAATAGTTTTCTTAATGTGTTTTACTCTTATATCAACATCTTTCCATGTAAGTGCTCATTAATTTTGAAGGTCTATGTGTCAAGATGGGACTAGAGTCAGCTTGTTTGGTTGAGAAGGGCTGTGGGAAATAGGCAACCTTCTCGAGCCTCTTTGGTTTAATGATTTGTCTGCATATAATATGCTGTTTGGTTACTGAAGTGTATATGTATCTTCAAAAGACTGACTTGGCCACGGTGGTCGTTATTATTATTATTATTATTATTATTATTATTATTATTATTATTCCTAACTCTATGTTCTTGAGGTTGGGAGAGGGGCTGCAGACTATGTGACCATATCAGGGACTTTTTGGAACACAGTTCAAAGGTGACAGTTGAGGAATGACCATTGAAGGTGACAGCTGGAAGGAGACCGTTCTCAAGGAGAGTTGTACAGAGCTCTATAGCGTTGAAGAGACTGATAAAGACTGAAACTCAAACCAAAACGGGTGATAGTATGATAGCTGGGTCCCAGTGCTGGGTCCCGGACTATGGAATGGCTTGGACTACGATTATTGATGGCATGTTTTTAATATGGAAAGTAATATGTATTCATTCTAATTTAATTTTAATATTTTGAAATTGCATATGTTTTAGTGCATTGAATTACTGCCTCTATATAAGCCGACTTGTGTCCGCTTTGGCCAGAGAAAGGCGAGGTATAAATAGTGTAAATAAATAAATAAATAAAATTACAAACCCCAAGTATATAAGAATTAAAATTGAATTAAATATAGGAATATTAAAAATGAATTATTATTATTATTATTATTATTATTATTATTATTATTATGTTTATTTATACCCCACTTTATTTCCCCAAAGGGGACTCAAAACTGCTAAAGATAAATAGCTAAAGCATCAAAGTCATTAAAAATCTATGACAATGCATAAACATCCATTAGTACTCTCTGTCTAGATCTTTAAAATGTTCAATGTATTGTCGAAGGCTTTCATAGCCGGAAACACTGGGTTGTTGTAGGTTTTTTCGGGCTATATGGCCATGGTCTAGAGGCCTTTTCTCCTGACGTTTTGCCTGCATCTACGGCAAGCATCCTCAGAGGTAATGAGGTCTGTTGGAAGTAGGAAAAAGGGTTTATATATTTGTGGAATGACCAGGGTGGGAGCTAGGTGTGAATGTTTCAACTGATGTTCCATCCTGGTCATTCCACAGATATATAAACCCTTTTTCCTAGTCCCAACAGACCTCACTACTTCTGAGGATGCTTGCCATAGATGCAGGCGAAACATCAGGAGAGAATGCCTCTAGACCATGGCCATATAGCCCGAAAAAACCTACAACAACCCACTTTAAAATATTATTTAAAAGCCTTGAGGAGAGGAAGCTAAGACATAAAAAATCATTATTAATATAATTAACATTTATTAAGATATATATATATATATATATATATATATATATATATACATACACACACATATATATAGCATGATTTATTATTTAAGTGATACTTTTGGACACACACTCTGATATGAGGTATAAATAAAGCTTATTATTATATAGATCAAACACACACATATATGTATATTTACATTATATTATATTATAATTATTATTATAGAACATATATATTAATATATTATTATATATTAAGAATGATATATTATATTATATATATTAATATAAAAGCATGATTTATTATTTAAATGATGCTTTTGGAGACACACTCTGAAATGGGGTATAAATAAAGCTTATTATTATTATATGGGGCAAACACACACACATATGTATAATTTACACATGTATATTTACAACATTATATTATTATTATTATTATATAACAATAATATATAATAATAATATTAATATATTATTGTATATTAAGAATGATATATTATATTATATATTATTAATATTATATATATATATATATATATATATATATATATATATATAAAAGCATGATTTATTATTTAAATGATGCTTTTGGACACACACACACTGATATGGGGCAAACACACATATATGTGTATGTATTATATATATATATATATATATATATATATATGCATAAATATACACGCATACAAAAGCACACCCCCCTCCTTGGGGCTGCTCTGCTCCCTTTCCTGCTTCTTTCCCCTTTACTCCTCCCCTGTGATGCAAGAACCCAGTCCCCCCGCCTTCCCGTTGCCATTTGGAACATTCCGGTTCCCCCCCCCCCCCCTTTTTTTTGTTTGTGAAGTTCAGCGTTCCAACTCACCCCGAGAGCGCCGCACAATAGCCCGGAGTGCCTCACTTGCTTGGCGGGGGAGGAGGGAGGAAGGGAGGGAGGGAGGAGAGCGTGAGAAAGTTCAGTTTCCGGGGGCGGGGACAAGGCCACAAGGGGGCGGGGCTTTCGTGATGACGTCCTTCTCCCGCTACAAAGGCGGTTGCGGAGATCTCTCTATATACAGCCGGCCCTCGGTATCCGCGTTTGAGAAGCGAGATGGAACGCTGGACTTTACAAAAAAAAGGAGGGGGAGCGGAATGTTCCAAAAGGGGAGGGGGGCGGATTGTTACGTCACAAGGGAGGAAAGGCAGGAAATTTATGTTTATGACATTTATATTCCGCCCTTCTCACCCTGAAGGGGACTCAGAGCGCATATATATATATATATATATATATATATATATATATATATATATATATATATATATATATATATATATATATACACACACATACATACAATATATTATTAGCATAGTACAATATCAGTATTATATATTACTATATTGTACTATACCATTATAATATTATTAGCAATATTACATGTAATATAAAATATATAATTATAATATTGTATTATTATTATTATTATTAGTACTATATTGTATTACATTATAATATTAGAAATATTATATATTATTATATTATTACTATTACTTATATTGTTATTTATACTCCACAAAGGAGACCGAAAGCAGTTTTCAGGCTTATATTATATTATAATATTATTATATTCTTACTATTATTATTATTACAGTATTATTATTATTAATATTGTTATTTATACTCCGCAAATGAGACTGAAAGCAGTTTTCAGGCTTATATAATATTATTATATTATATTCTTACTATTGTTATTAATAATATTATTATTTATACTTAGCGAAGGAGACTGAAAGCAGTTTTCAGATTTATATTATTACTATATTATATTCTTACTATTATTATTAATAATATTGTTATTATTTATACTTCGCAAAGGAGACTGAAGGCAGTTTTCAGGCTTATATAATATTATATTATAATATTATTATATTCTTACTATTATATTATTTATATTATTTATACTCCGCAAAGGAGACTGAAAGCAGTTTTCAGGCTTATATAATATAATATTATTATTATTATTATATTATTATTATTCGTATTATTATTTATACTCCGCAAAGGAGACTGAAAGCAGTTTTCAGGCTTATATAATATTATTATTATATTTTATATTTTATTCTTCTTATTATTATTATTAATACTCTGCAAAGGAGACTGAAAGCATTTTCAGGCTTATATAATATTATATTATATTCTTAATATTATTATTATTATTATTATTATTAATACTCCGCAAAGGAGACTGAAAGCAGTTTTCAGGCTTATATTATATTATAGTATTATTATATTCTTACTATTATATTATTTATATTATTTATACTCCGCAAAGGAGACTGAAAGCAGTTTTCAGGCTTATATTATGTTATAATATTATATTCTTACTATTATATTATTTATACTCCGCAAAGGAGACTGAAAGCAGTTTTCAGGCTTATATAATATATTATTATTATTATTATTATTATTATTATTATTATTATTATTAATACTCCGCAAAGGAGACTGAAAGCAGTTTTCAGGCTTATATAATATATTATTATTATTATTATTATTATTATTATTATTATTATTATATTATATTATTATTATTATTATTATTATTATTATTATTATTATTAATAATACTCCGCAAAGGAGACTGAAAGCAGTTTTCAGGCTTATATTATTATTATTATTATTATTATTATTATTATTATTATTATTATATTTTATATTTTATTCTTATTTTTATTATTATTTATACTCTGCAAAGGAGACTGAAAGCAGCTTTCAGGTTTATATAATATTATATTATATTCTTACTATTGTTATTATTATTAATAATAATAATACTCCGCAAAGCAAACTGAAAGCAGTTTTTAGGCTTATATTATTATATTATAATATAATTATATTATATTCTTACTGTTATTATTATTTAGATTATTGTTATTATTTATACTCCGCAAAGGAGTCTGACAGCAGTTTTCAGGCATATATTATTATTATATTATATTATTATATTCTTACTATTGTTATTATTATTATTATTTATACTCTGCAAAGGAGACTGAAAGCCATTTTCAGGCTTATATATGAAACAGGAAATGAAACACTGAGTTGTATCTTTACGTGTATATGTAATGTAATTCAGGTAAACAGCCATCTATCTTGTTAAATGGTCAAAAGAGCAACTTGAAGTCCTGATTGATGTGCATTTTCTTGCCATTTACTTTTTTCAAAAAGTGCTTTTGGAAATATGGTCGATTTATATTCACGCCTAGCTGTGTTTAAGGGACTTTATGCAGACCACACTGTCTCAGCCTCAGGAAGCAAAGGCCTCTCACTCAATCTTGCAAAAATTAATAATAACACAAACATGATAGGCTTGTCTTAGGTTGTTCTAAGTCAGGAATGACTTGAAGACACACAGCAACTAGCCTTGCTTTTGCACTTTCTTCCTTAACTCACATACATCTGGAGTTACTTCATATCTTTGCAACGGTTAATAACTGTAGCTACAACTATATAGAAGGAGCCCCAGATGGCACATTGGGTTAAAACACTGAGTTGCTGAACTTGCTGATCGAAATGTCGCAGGTTCGAATCCGGGGAGCAGGGTGAGCTCCTGTTGTTAGCCCCAGCTTCTGTCAACCTAACAATTTGAAAACATGCAAATGTGAGTAGATCAGTAGCTATATGTATGGACAACGCCGGCTCTTCAGCTTAGAAATAAAGACGAGCACCAACTCAAGAGTTGGACATGACTGGACTTAATGTCAGGGGAAAATCTTTACCGTTACCTACTATATAGAACTATATACACACACATATAGTATGTATACTTTACTGGCAGTCCCTCACTTAACAAACATCCAACATACAAACGACTCATGGTTAAGAATGGGGGCGAGACAATAGGAAGTGAGAAAAGTGTACCCCTTGGAAGGGAAATTCACTCCTGGAAGAGTTCTTATGACGAGGAAAAGGTACGACACGATCATCAGCATGAGGAAAAGGTGTCTCTACTGAAGCTTGATCATCAATCCTTATGTGGAGCCCCTGGTGGCACAGTGGGTTAAACCCCTGTGCCGGCAGGACTGAAGACCAACAGGCCACAGGTTCGAATCTGGGGAGAGGCGGATGAGCTCCCTCTATCAGCTCCAGCTCCTCATGCGGGGACATGAGAGAAGCCTCCCACAAGGATGATAAAAATATCAAATCATCCAGACGTCCCCTGGGCAACGTCCTTGCAAACGGCTAATTCTCTCACACCAGGAGTCACTCCTGACACGACAAAATAAATAAATCAATCCTTATTCCCACAATAAGCTATTTTTTTCCAAATCCAATTGTCACAGGGACAGAAAGTGAGACAAAATCGTCTGAACAGGGGCATTATGCAGCAAAACCATCTCCATAAGTATGTTAACCTATGTGCTATTCAAAGATAATATATACACATTCAACTTAAGAACAACCCTACAGAACCAACCTTGTTCATAACATGGGGACTGCCTAGATCAGTGTTTCTCAACCTGGGGGTCGGGACCCCTGGGGAGGTTGCAAGGGGGCTTCAGAGGGATCGCCAAAGACCGTAAGAAAACACAGTATTTTCTGTTGGTCATGAGGGTTCTGTTGGGAAGGTTGGATCAATTCTATCATTGGTGGGGTTCAAAATGCTCTTTGATTGTAGGTGAACAATAAATCCCAGTGCAAAGGAGTCCACTACAAAAGCTGCCACCTGATTGTAAAGGAGGAACTACACAAAAACTGCTACCAGTTTTTAAAGGAGTAGCTACAGGCCGGCACCAATTTGTAAAAGGCTCTTGTATTAATACCACTGGATGCCACCCTATTTGTGTTGTGAGGTAATTATGGTAGATTGGGTACACCGAGCGTAGAATAAATGGAGGTGAGGCAGTTTTAAAAACCAAAGAGAACAAGTTTATTTGAAACAAAGCGTATGGTTGCAGTTTGATGTTAAGCTTGGCAAATACTTAGAGAACGATACATGTAACTTGGTTGTGATACAGTTCAGACTTTCGATGTTACAACTTATGAAACTCTTGCTGTGGTGAAGCACTTCAATAAACAATGTTTTACTGTGGTGAATAGTCTCCCCGTTTGATTCTTCTATGATCAAACACCAGATCTCTAGTTCTTTTAACTAGGGATCTAAACAAGCCTTTGTTAGTTCTTTCTAACTAAAGAAACTAATAAGGTTTTCCTCTTCAGCTTTCCTAACTGAAGAAATCTCTGACTATTCACGAACACTGTTTCTTTACTTCCCACTTTCTCTCTACATGACTGTTCACTCCTCCTAACCTAACTCTTCACTCCTCTCTCTCCAACCTGACTCTTCCCTTCTCAGAGTCTCCAACCTGACTCTTCCCTTCTCAGAGTCTCCAACCTGACTGACTCTTAACTGTCGCTTTTCAAAAACACTTTTCTCTAAGCTCCTCCCACTCCTCTGCAGCATCGTTTCCATGGCAACACACTCCTCACAGCTAGGCCGCTCCAGCCTTAGGGCAACCAATGCAAACATAAATACAATTATAATCATATTATTATAATCACTTCTGTACACCCAGCAACTACAACTCCCAAATGTCAAGATCTATTTTCCCCAAATTCCATCAGACTCTTAGGAATTATCGGAGTTGAAGTCCAAAATACCTGGAGGGCTGAAGTTTGCCCGTGGTTGCTCTCTAGTATAACATTGTATAATAAGGATAGCATAACATGGGGTTGACCACAGTTGCCTTTGTTATCTGTTCCAATCCTTATGATTCTATGAGAAAAATATTTGTTATCCAATTTGTGTATTATCTAATACGTAGAAACTTGAAACAGATTTGTCTTTCAGAGTAACTATTTGCAGCAAATTTTACAGTATTTGTTTTTATTTGTCATATTCGCAAAAGTTTAAATATTGTGTACAACAACTCCTGCATAACTGAAAAATAACCTATTAATTTAAGTTCAATATATTAGTTTTAAATAGGACAAAAAAAAAAAACCAGGCCTTTGATGTCGCTTCTTTTAGGTGACGTGAAGAGCCTTTCCTACTATAGCACTTTACACCTGCTAAATTCTTACACAATTTTCTTGATGTGATGTGAGATCGGTCTTGATGGAGATATTTTCCACACTCCATGCACTGAAGTAAAATCATAAATAAATCTTCGAGGATTTAAGGGCAAGTTACTGGGACTCAATGATGGTACAAGTGTATAAATATGTGAGAGGAAGCCACAGGGAGGAGGGAGCAAGCTTGTTTTCTGCTGCCCTGGAGACTAGGATGCAGAACAATGGCTTCAAACTACAAGAAAGGAGATTCCATCTGAACATGAGGAAGAACTTCCTGACTGTGAGAGCCGTTCAGCAGTGGAACTCTCTGCCCCGGAGTGGGGTGGAGGCTCCTTCTTTGGAAGCTTTTCAACAGAGGCTGGATGGCCATCTGTCAGGGGTGATTTGAATGCAATATTCCTGCTTCTTGGCAGGGGGTTGGACTTGATGGCCCATGAGGTCTCTTCCAACTCTTTGATTCCATGATTGATTCTATGAAGTGTACAGTTCTACAGCCAAAGCAGGAATCAAAACACAGTTGAAAATGTTGTTTTGGATGCCTTCCGACCTAACATAACAGAAGCCATATAAATGTTACCAAAGGTGAATGGAAGAGAGGCAATGTGGCTTCCATTTGCCCAAATGACAGCTATGACAGCTATGACAGTGAACTAGAATCCTGCAGAGCTCCAAAGAAGCTAGCAATGCCTCCCCCAGCACCAACGGCCACTCTGGGGCCAGAATAAAGAAGGGGAGCTGGGAGGACATTGCCATCTTGTCCCCTGTGACATCAGCGCCCCTCCCCTAGCGATAATGTAATATTATGTAGTACTAGTGTTATGAATGATGTAATAATACTATGCTAGTTATGTATTATGTAGTATGTTGTATGTTGTATATACTTATGACTTGTAAGCCGTTCTGAGTCCCCTTCGGGGTGAGAAGGGTGGCATATAAATGTCGTAAATAAATAAATAAATAAATAAATATAATGTCTCTACTTCAATGGAAATTGGTAATCCCACATGAGTCCTCCTGGACAAGTTAAACATGAGCCAACAATGTCATGCGGCAGCAAAAAAAAAGCCAATGGGATGTTGGCTATTGTAAATAGGAGTCTAGTGTCTAGATACAGGGAAGTCATGTTACCCATGCTCTATTCTGCCTTGGTTAGACCACACCTGGAATCACACTGTGTCCAATTGAAGGGAGATGTTGACTCTAAGCTGGAATTTGTCCAGAGGAGGATGACACAAATAATCAAGGATCTGGAGAACAAGCCCTATGAGGAGAGCCTTAAAGAGCTGGGCATATTTAGCCTGAAGAAGAGAAGGCTGAGAGGAGACAAGATGAGGGCCATGTATAAATATGTGAGGGGAATTCATAGGGAGGAGGCTTGTTTTCTGCTGCCGTGGAGACTAGGACGCAATGGAACAACGGCTTCAAACTACAAGAAAGGAGATTCCACCTGAATGTGAGGAAGAACCTCCTAACTGTGAAAGCTGTTCAGCAGTGGAACTCTCTGCCCCGGAGTGTGGTGGACACTCCTTCTTTGGAGGCTTTTCCACAGAGACTGGATGGCCATCTGTCAGGAGTGCTTTGAATATGATCCTCCTGCTTCTTGGCCAAATGGGATTGGACTGGATGGCCCACGAGGTCTCTTCCAACTCTATGATTCTATGAAGTCATAGGGAGGAGGAATCAGGCTTGTTTTCTGTTGCCCTGGAGACTAGGACGCTATGGAACAATGGCTTCAAACTACAGGAAAGGAGATTCCACCTGAACGTGAGGAAGAACCTCCTAACTGTGAAGGCTGTTCAGCAGTGGAACCCTTTGCCCCAGTGTGGTGGAGGCTCCTTCTTTGGAGGCTTTTCAACAGAGACTGAATGGCCATCTGTCGGGAGTGCTTTGAATGTGATCTTCCTGCTTCTTGGCAGAATAGGGTTGGACTGGAGGTCTCTTCCAACTCTATGATTCTATGTGAGTTGTTTGATGACGCGTGAGGTGCGTCTTCTGAACGAATGTCTTCCCACACTCCAAGCACTGAAATGGCTTCTCTCCAGTATGAATCCTTTGATGGCAAGTGAGCTCTGTCTTCCGGCTGAAGCTCTTTCCGCACTGCAAGCACCGGAATGGTTTCTCTCCAGTGTGGCTACGCTGGTGACAAGTGAGGTCTGCCTTCCGACTGAAGCACTTCCTGCAGTCCAAACACTGAAAGGGCTTCTCCCCGGTATGGCTCCTTTCGTGATGAGCGAGGCGTGACTTCTGACCGAAGCTCCTCCCACACTCTAAGCACTGAAAGGGCTTCTCCCCGGTGTGGCTTCGTTCATGGCAAACGAGGAGTGACTTTTGGCTGAAGCTCTTTCCACACTCCAAGCACCGAAAAGGCTTCTCCCCCGTGTGTCTTTGTTGATGACAAGTGAGGTTTGCCTTCTGACTGAAGCTCTTTCCACACTCCAAGCACGTGAAAGGTTTCTGCCCTGTGTGAATCCTTTGGTGACAAGTCAGGTGTGTCTTCCGACTGAAGCTTTTCCCACACTCCAAGCAGCAAAACGGTTTCTCCCCTGTGTGGCTTCTCTGATGGTATGTGAGGTCAGTCTTTTGACTAAAGCTCTTTCCACATTGCGAGCACTTAAACATTTTCTCCCCAGTGTGAGTTGCTTGGTGACGAACGAGGTGCGACTTCTGATTGAAACAATATCCACACTGTGCGCACCGAAACGGTTTCTGCCCGGTGTGTGTCGCTTGGTGACAGGTGAGATACTTCTTCTGACTGAAGCTCTTTCCACACTGTAAACATGCAAAAAGTTTCTCTTTTATATGAGTTGCTTGGTGGCGAATTAGGTTTATCTTCCAACCGAAAACATTTCCGCACTGCAAGCATTGAAAAGGTTTCTCTCCCGAATGAATTGTCTGATGAGACGCGAGGAGCGCCTTCCGACCAAAGCTCTTTCCACACTCCAAGCATCTGAAGGGCTTCTCCTCCAAATGAGTGACTTCATGACGAGTGAGGCATCTCTTCTGGACAAAACGTTTCCCACATTCCAAGCATTTGAATGGCTTTTCCCCGGTATGAGTTGCCTGATGGTAAGTAAGTTCTGTCTTCCGGCTGAAGCTCTTTCCACACTCCAAGCACTGGAAGGGTTTCTCCCCCGAGTGAGTCCTCTGATGGTTAGTGAGCTCCGTCTTCCGGCTGAAGCACTTTCCACACTCCGAGCATTCAAACGGCTTCTCCCCTGAGTGAACTACTTCATGGCAAGTGAGGAGTGACTTATGACTGAAGCTCTTTCCACACTCGGAGCATTTAAAGGGTTTCTCCCCTGTGTGACCTCTTTGATGCTGAATGAGGAGCGACTTCTCGGTGAAGCTCTCTCCGCACTCGAAGCACTTGAACGACTTCTCCCTCGTGTGAATCGCTCGGTGACAAATGAGATGCGTCTTTTGGATGAAACCCTTCCCACACTCCAGGCATTGAAATGGCTTCTGTCCTGTATGGACGGCCGTGTGATAGGTGAGGTATATCTTCCGCCGGAAGCTCTTTCCACATTCCAAGCACTGGAACGGTTTATCCCCCGTGTGGACTCTTTGGTGAGAAGTGAGCTCCGTCTTCCGCTTGAAGCGCTTCCCGCACTCCGAGCATTCAAATGGTTTCTCCCCTGTGTGAATGGCTTGGTGGCTTGAAAGAGAGTGTCTCCGGCTGAAGCTTTTCTCACATTCCAAGCATTGGAAGGGCTTCTCTCCCCTGTGAGACTCCTGATGGCGCATGAAGTGCGTCTTCTGGGCAAAACCTTTCCCACACTCCCAGCACTGAAAGGCCTTCTCCCTTTTGTGCGTCGCTTGGTGGCAACGGAGAAGAGCTTTCTGACCAAAGGTCTTCCCGCACTCCAAGCACTTGAATGGCTTCTCTCCTGTGTGACTTCTCTGATGATAAATGAGGAGTGACTTCTGATTGAAGTTCTTTCCACACTCCAAGCATTTAAATGATTTCTCTCTGGTGTGAGTCGCCTGGTGATAAGCGAGGTGGGCCTTCCGACGGAAGCTTTTTCGGCACTCCAAGCATTTAAATGGTTTCTCCCTCAAGTAAGTTCTTTGATGGGATATCAGGGCTTTCCTCACGCTGATGATCTTTCCACACTTGTCATCATTGAAAGGAGTTCCCCATGTGTGAGTTCTCACATGGGAGTTGAGGTTTGCTTTCAAACAGAAGCTTCTCCCACACAGAAGACAAATGTATGTATTCTTTCCTATTCCTTTTCGTGTCGTTTCTTGGGCTGAGATTTCCCAGATCACAGAAGCTGATGCTTTGTTCTTCCTCTTCTGTTGTGAATCAGGGCTTCTTCCATTCTCTTCCATTTGTTGACATTTGGATCTTTTGGATGACACCTTTAATGGTTTCTCTTCCATCTCACTCAGCTGCTCCTCTCCACCTGAAAGGAAGAAAAAAAGTGCTCAGAGCCCCACAGAGATGGGGTCTTATCTTAAATCCTTATCTTTTCTCCAAGGATGTATCTATATTGAAATATTAATGCAGCCTGACACCACTATAAGGGCCACTGGCCAATGCTATGAACCATAGGAGTTGTAATTTTACAAGGTCTTTACTCTTCTCTGCCAAAACACAGTGGTACATCACTAGATTACAACTCCTGACCAAAGCTGGATAAATAATAATAACACTTTATTTATATTCCGCCCTTCTCACCCCAAAGGAAACTCAGGGCGGATCACAGAACACATACACGGCAAACATTCAATGCCGCTTTGTATAGACAAACAGACAAACAGAACAGAATTAGGTGCCATGGAAGGTTGGGCTCAAGTCCGGGGGTGCTGTTGTTCTATCCTCTATGACGAAGAGCCATCAGGACTTCCTCCTTCCTTTTGGTCGCCCAGCATTTTCTGATCTTCTTTCTTTATGGTGTCGTAAAATCCTCCCCTGCTTTTTGCGGTACCTAATTTCTTTAATCACAGCTAAAGCTATTTTCAAATTGCTTAGGTAAACAATGAGCTAGGCTGACAGTTGGCAGCTCACACCAACCTGGGGCTTTGAACTTGCAACCTTTTTGTTGAGAGATCTTATAATTGCTGATGATTTACCAGCTGTGCTAAACCTCTGGCCCTCTGTCATAAAGTTCTGTCAGCTTAGAACTTCTAGTGACCAACCCCCAGAAATGAGACCTGTTGGACTTACCCAGAGAGGACACCAGACCCAAATTCTCCTCCATCACTTCCCTGTGCAGGGCCCACTGTCCTGGGCTCAACAAGGCCCACTCCTCCTCTGTGAAAAACACAGCCACCTCTTCAAAGGTCACCTGGAGAAAGAAAGGTTACTTGAAATAGGCGAGGTTCCCTACTTAGGTAAACAATGAGCTTAGGTAAACAATGAGCTAGTTCTCAAACCCAGGAGTTTGGTTCTGTGCCCTCCAGGGATCCCTACCTTTTCCAGTCTCATTGAAGCTACACCAAAAGGATTGTGAGATGGTGTCATGTGTGTTGTCCAGGCCTTTGTTCTCTCTGCAGTAAAGAACACAAAAGGAGAAAGGGCACGTCACATGGCAATCCTTCTATTTCTCACTGAAGTCTTCCCTTAGTCATTAAAACACAGAAAACATTAAATTAAACACATACATGTTGAAGGTGGCAGGAAATGCTGGGCCTTTCCACACAGACATATAACCCAGAATATCAAGGCAGAAAATCCCACAATATCTACTTTGAACTGGGTTATCTGAGTCCACACCGCCATATGGGTTAAACTCTTGTTCCGGCTGAACTTCTGACTGATGGGTTGATGGTTTTAATCCAGAGAGCGGGGTAAGCTCCCATCTCAGCTCTAGCTTCCCATGTGGGAACATGAGAGAAGCCTCCTACAGGATGGTAAAAACATCAAACATCCGGGCGTCCCCTGGGCAACGTCCTTGCAGATTGCCAATTCTTTCACACCAGAAGCAACTTGCAGTTTCTCAAGTTGCTCCTGACACGAAAAAACCTTCTTGTTGTCTCACCTCCGTTCTTATCTATGAGTCATTTGTAAGTCAGATGTTTGTAACTGGGGGACTGTTTGTACTCTAATATTTACTTTTTGGATGTTTATTGTATTATGCTTTCAAATCGTGAACTACTTTGACTCCCAATTTTGTGGGGGGAAAGGGAGGATGACAATGACAAAAATGATAATTTCCTCTTTCTTCCCTCACCCACGTGTGAGTTCAAAATGCTGAACATATATAGCAACTCAATTCATACTTCTGACATGTCTTCAGCATATTTGGGATCAGGAAGCCAGGGTGAAGAGAGCTAAGAGCCTTGTTCCATGTCTTACCTCTAGAGGCGGAGACTCTGTCCTTGTCTGGAATGACCCACTCGGTTTCAGAACGACCCTTCTCTGCCTCAGCTGCTCCTTTCAAAATCAAGTCCTGCAATGGGAAGAAACAATCAGGACCAATAAATGAGCATCAAAAAAGGAATAGAAGACAAGGTCCACACTTATTATTTATTTATTTACCATATTTATATACCCCTCTCATCCCAGAGGCGACTCATGATACTTAAGAAAGTATCACGAAAAGGGGTGAAACAAATCTGTTAGAGAATAATCCTAGTCTTTTAAAAGTACCAGAATGAAACCTTCTCACCTGCTGCACTTCCTGCTCCTCCTCTTCCTGACTCAGAAGGAAGCCCTCCACCAAGGCCAAGGCCTGGGAAGTGGTTTCTGCCCCACACTCCCGGACCCAGCTTTCCATTTCTGAAGGAAGGACAGCCAGGAGCTGCTCCAGGACCAGAAGGTCCAGCATCTGAGCCTTGGCGTGTGTTTCTGGCGCCAGCCACTGGCAGCAGAGCCAGTGAAGTTGGCTGCAAACCTTCCTGGGACCTTCAGCCTCTTTGTAGCAGAACTGTCTGAAGTGTTGGCGACATAGATCTGAACCCAGCACTTCTTTTCTCAGGCTGTGCTGTGTGCTTCCTTCCCAGAATCCTCCATTGCCCTCAGCTTGAACATCAAGAAGGCAGTTTCCTATTTCAAGACCAGCAGATTCTTCCTTTTCCATCTCTATTGGGTCAAAGTCTCAAAAAAACCTCCTTTTTCGCCAGATTGTCCTGCAAGGCAAAAGACTGAAACTATAATTAAGAGTGAGACCTCAACAAAGAAGAGAAGTGTTTATAGTGAGAGTGTAAAGAATGAATGTTTGAATGCATGTAAAGGAGCAGAAGAAACAGGCCTGAAGAAAAACCAACATGGAGTTCTCACAAGGCATGATACGGGACGGCCTTGGCAGTTGAAGCGAGGAGGCAGCAAAGCATAACTGAACAACAGTGAACAATAAGGTGTGAGGTCAAACAAGTAAGGAGTGTGCAGGAGGTACCCCATAAGTCATGAGGCCTGGTATGCGAATGTCCTGAAGTTGAAGAGAACAAAGACTTGAAAGGAACAGAACAACCTGATTATTAAAAAGAAGAAAAAATGATTTTTGCCTATAAATGCAGGGGACCCCAAGAGCATGCACACTTCCTGATCCATGGCAACGGAACATCCGCATCTCCTCGGAAAAGACTGATCATCTTCACCGGAGGAGGCCTGTGTGTGCGTTAGTATGCGTGAATGTGTGTGTGCTCAAGAGCTCTCCCTTGATGTGATTATGATATGATTCTGTGATTGATTGTATTTCAATAAATTTTACATGAATAGTGTCGAAACCAAATTTGGTCTCTAAAGTGTCTCATTGGTCTAAACTGCCTTACTATTCCTTGAACACTCTGCGTAAAAGAACAGGAACCTCTTTGAGTTCAGAACAAGAGAGCTATTATTTCCATTCTCACGTACTATGGATATGGTTTACAATAACATTCAAGCTGGAAATGGCTCATACATTCAGAGAACTGGATGAGACCACAATGGTCATCCAGTCCAACCCTCTGCCATGTAGGAACACATATCTAAAATCATAGGATCATATGAGTTGAAAGACACAAGGACAACCTCCTTCTCCCAGGCAGTAACACACATCAAAGCACTCCTGACAGATAGCCATCCAGCCTCTGCTTTAAAACCTCCAGAGAGGGAAACGCCACCCAACACCCAGGCAGCAGCCTATTCCATTGCCGAACTGCTCTTACCATCAGGAAGTTCTTTCTAATATTCAGGTGGAATTTGATTTCCTGCCCTTTGAATCCATTCCTCTGTATCCTGGTCATTGAAGTAACAGAAAACAAACGCCCTCTTCTCAATGTGACATTGTAAAGAATGAATAGGGCAAAACACAAAACTTCTTCCAATATTTTCAGCTGCGTTCTTTTGAGGTAAATCTTGTTCTCAATAAATGGACGTGAGTCTTAATTATAAAGAACTCATCAAGGAAATATTTATTTAAGGATTCACAGGTGTACAACGTTTGATGGTCGCTTCTGTGGCGAGAGAATCAGCCGTCTACGAAGACGTTGCCCAGGGGACGCCCAGATATCTTGCAATCCTGCAGTGGTGTCTGCGCCCTACACCACTGGAGAAATTACACTGCTTAGCCGGTATTGCACCACCTGACATCCGCCGGGAAGTAGCAGCCAATCGTGAAAGGACCAAGGCAGAGACATCTCCAGCTCATCCCCTGTTTGGGTATCAGCCAGCACGTCAACGACTTAAATCTAGAAATAGTTTTCTAAGATCTACAGAGACACTCGCTGGAACACCTCAGCAAGCGAGAGTCCAAAAGTGGCAGGCTCAAACCCAGAACCTCAACCAATGGCTGATACCAAATGAGAGACTCCACCCTGGGCACACAGAAAATTGGGCGACTTGGGAGGCGCTGAACAGACTGCGCTCTGGCACCACGAGATGCAGAGCCAACCCAACCCATGGTTGATACTGAATAAGAGACCTCCCCCCCGCTGGGCACATAGAAGACTGGGTGACTTGGAAGGCGCTGAACAGTCTGTGCTCTGGCACCACGAGATGCAGAGCCAACCTTAAGAAATGGGGCCACAAAGTGGAGTCCGCGACATGCGAGTGTGGAGAAGAGCAAACCACAGACCACCTATTACAATGCAGTCTGAGCCCTGCCACATGCACAATGGAGGACCTTCTTATAGCAACACCAGAGGAACTCCAAGTGGCCAGCTACTGGTCAAAGTAGCAGCCAATAGTGAAAGGACCAAGGCAGAAACATCTTCAGCTCATCCCCTGTTTGGGTATCAGCCAGCACGACAACGACTTAAATCTAGAAATAGTTTTCTAAGATCTACAGAGACAATCGCTGGAACACCTCAGCAAGCGAGAGTCCAAAAGTGGCAGGCTCAAACCCAGAACCTCAACCAATGGCTGATACCAAATGAGAGACTCCCCCTGGGCACACAGAAGACTGTGCGACTTGGAAGGCGCTGAACAGACTGCGCTCTGGCACCACGAGATGCAGAGCCAACCTTAAGAAATGGGGCTACAAAGTGGAATCCTCGACATGCGAGTGTGGAGAGGAGCAAACCACAGACCACCTGCTGCAATGCACCCTGAGCCCTGCCACATGCACAACGGAGGACCTTCTTGCAGCAACACCAGAATCATAGAATCAAAGAGTTGGAAGAGACCTCATGGGCCATCCAGTCCAACCCCCTGCCAAGAAGCAGGAATATTGCATTCAAATCACCCCTGACAGATGGCCATCCAGCCTCTGCTTAAAAGCTTCCAAAGAAGGAGCCTCCGCCACACTCCGGGGCAGAGAGTTCCACTGCTGAACGGCTCTCACAGTCAGGAAGTTCTTCCTCATGTCAGAACACTCCAAGTGGCCAGATACTGGTCAAAGGACATTTAATCAACTACCAAACTCACACATTTTGTATTTTGTCTGTTTGTTTGCTTTGTTCTGTTAGAAATGTAATATAATTGACTGGTTGCCCTGACACGACAAATAAATAAACGTTTGATGGTTATTCTGAGCTGCTGAGGGGGAAAAGGAAGGAGGCTGAGGCTGTTAGGAATGGTGGGAGTTGGAGTCCAAAGCACCTGGAGGGAAGGCCCAGGACTGGCTTAGATGCCTCCTAAGTCCTTAGATCAGCAGAAACCTAGCCTCAACCTGACAGCCTTTCATAGAAAGGAGCATTGGGTGGGTGCCAGGCCCAGACCCCTCCCAGGAAAGGCACTTCAGGCCTCAGACCAGGCCTCCTTTCAATCCCACCCCACCTGGTACAGGGAGGACAGAAAGGCCTCTCTCCAATGAGGCAGATCTCCCCTTTGAGCCACTCACCAGAACCTCTTCCGGGTAGGGAAAAACACACACGAGAGGGCGGGGCTTAGCTTCCAGCCGGAAGAGGCGGGGCTCAGAGTGACGCCTAGGCAAGCAGCTGGACTCCAACTCCCAGAAGCCTCAGCGTCTTCTTCCGGTGGCAAGGAAACAAGCAGTGGATTCAAACCTCAGGGAGAGAGACTCCACCTAAACATCAGGAAGAGCTTCTTGATGGTAAGAGCTGTCCAGCAGTGGAATAGGCTGCTGCCTGGGAGGTCAGTGGGGTTCTTCTCCCTCCTTTTTTAGATGGCCATCTGTCAGGAGTGCTTTTGATGTATAGTTCTGGTTGGCAGCAGCTGGATTCAATGGCTCTTGTGGTCTCTTCCAGCTCTGATTCCATGAGCCTTTTTCCAGGTGAAATAATGATAAAAGATTGGACTGTAAACAATATCCCCTTCATCAATAATGTGTTTCTTTGTTGAGGTCTCTATCTTAATAATATTTTCAGTGGGTTGCACAGAGTTTTCCGGGCAGTCTGGCTATGTTCCAGCATCACGTGTGAAAAAGATCTTGGAGTCCTCGTGGACAACCAGTTAAACATGAGCCAACAATGTGATGTGGCGGCAAAAAAGCCAATGGGATTTTGGCCTGCATAAATAGGAGCATAGTGTCTAGATCTAGGGAAGTCATGCTACCCCTCTATTCCTGCTTTGGTTAGACCACACCTGGAATATTGTGTCCAATTCTGGGCACCACAATTCAAGAGAGATGTTGACAAGCTGGAATGTGTCCAGAGGAGGGTGACTAAAATGATCAAGGGTCTGGAGAACAAGCCCTATGAGGAGCGGCTTAAGGAGCTGGGCATGTTTAGCCTGAAGAAGAGAAGGCTGAGAGGAGATATGATAGCCATGTATAAATATGTGAGAGGAAGCCACAGGGAGGAGGGAGCAAGCTTGTTTTCTGCTTCCCTGGAGACTAGGACACAGAACAATGGCTTCAAACTACAAGAGAGGAGATTCCATCTGAACACGAGGAAGAACTTCCTGACTGTGAGAGCCATTCAGCAGTGGAACTCTCTGCCCCGAGTGTGGTGGAGGCTCCTTCTTTGGAAGCTTTTAAACAGAGGCTGGATGGCCATCTGTCAGGGGTGATTTGAATGCAATATTCCTGCTTCTTGGCAGAAGGGGGTTGGACTGGATGGCCCATGAGGTCTCTTCCAACTCTTTGATTCTATGATTCTATGATTGTGGTGTCTTCCAGCTCTGATTCCATGAGCCTTTTCCTAGGTGGAATAATGGTAAAAGATTGGACTGTAAACAATATCCCCTTCATCAATAATATGTTTCTTTGTTGAGGTCTCTATCTTAATAACATTTTCAGTGGGTTGCTCAGAGTTTTCCGGGCAGTCTGGCTATGTTCCAGCATCATTCTCTCCTGACGTTTTCTCACAGCACCCAGGACATTGGACCCTGCATAGGAAAGTGATGGAGAACTTGGGCCTTGTGTCCTCTTTGGGTAAGTCCACACCTTTCATGAGTTCATCATACTAAGTCTACCTTCCACATGCTCACTCTCATTACTGTCCTTTAAATCTGACTATTTAAGATAAATGAGTCATCCTCTCCGACATGTCTCATCTCTGGGGTCTGGTCATTGGAATGTCTAGGCCAGGGGTCCTCAAACTAAGGCCCGGGGGCCCTCCAAGGTCATTTACCCCACCCTCGCTCAGGGTCAACCTAAGCCTGAAACGACTTGAAAGCACACAACAACAACAACAACAATCCTATCTCATCAGTCAAAAGCAGGTCCACACTTCCCATTGAAATACGAATAAGCTTATATTTGTTAAAATTGTTCATCATTTTAATTATTGTATTGTTTTAAAGTGTTTTTTTTTGCACTACAAATAAGATATGTGCAGTGTGCATAGGAATTAATTCATGTTTTTTTCAAATTATAATCRCRCRCCCCCCCCCAACAGTTTGAGGGACTGTGACCTGGCCCTCTGTTTAAAAAGTTTGAGGATCCCTGGTCTAGGCTGACAGAACTTTGTCTAGAGATGTCATAGTGCCACTTGATCCAGCTTTAGTTACCCCTTGACTGTATTTATTATTATTATTATTATTATTATTATTATTATTATTATTATACAACAAGATGAGTCCACAGCAGACAAGATCACTTTGCTGGCTGTTGTATTGGATCACACGCCGGACACTTCCCAAGTGTCTAGGACTGTGTGATGTATCGGAGAATAATGCGTGCAGATCCCAGAAAGGTGGCCTTCTGCAGCTGACAGATGGTAATTTTGTCAACTCTGATTGTGTTTAAGTGCAGGCCAAAGCCTTTAGGCTGCACTCAGTGTGCCGATCCCCACTGGGACCACCTTTACTGGTTTGTGCCAGAGTCTTTGCAGTTTGATCTTTAAATCCTCATATCGTGTTAGCTTTTCCAGTTGTTTCTCTTCAATTCTGCTGTCACCTGGGATTGCAACACTGACAATCCATACTTGGTTGTTTCACATGATCATGAGGTCAGGAGTATTGTGGTCCAAAACTCTGTCTGTCTGAATCCGGAAGTCCCAGAGTAGCTTGACGTGCTTATTTTCTGTAACTTTTTCCGGCTTGTAACTTTTTACTATGAGTTCTTTGTCACAGGCAGATAGTATTTGTGTCACAAGTTCCAATGAATCATCTGAGCAACTGTGTTATGCCTCTGCTTATAGTCTGTCTGCATGATCTTCTTGCAGCAGCTGAGGATGTGATCTATTGTTTCATCTGCTTCCTTGCAGAGTCTACACTTGGGATCTGTTGTTGACTTTTCAATTCTGGCTTTGATGGCATTTGTATTATTTACAGTATTTATAGAGGAGCCCCCAGTGGCGCAGTGGGTTAAAGTACTGTGCTGCTGAACTTGCTGACTGAAAGGTCACAGGTTCAAATCTGGGGAGCGGGGAGAGCTCCCACTGTTAGGCCCAGCTTCTGTCAACCTAGCAGTTCGAAAACATGCAAATGTGAGTAGATCAATAGGTACTGCTCCGGTGGAAAGGTAACGGCACTCCATGCAGTCATCCTATGGCCACATGACCTTGGAGATGTCTATGGACAACAACGGCTCTTTGGCTTAGAAATGGAGATAAGCACCAATCTCCAGAGTCGGACATGACTGGACTTAATGTCAGGGGAAAGCCTTTACCTTTATAGTATTTATATTCCATCCTTATCACCAAGAAGGGGACTCAGGACAGATCAGGTACTTTGCATATCAATCCAGTAACTGATAGGATTTGAAGTAGTTTCTCTGTGCAAATAACATAGGACATCTTTCTTATAACCAACAGTCCAAAGTCTAAAGCATCTCTCTATTCTGAGAGTCTAATAGAGTCTGTTCTCTAAAGCATTCTGTTTCAACTTACTTCTAAAAGCATTGAGTTTCTAAAATGGAGTCTGAGTCCTAAATAGTCCCAGATCCAGTCACATGGTCTGCAGCCCCTCCCACTACTGTATACCAATACACAAATTTACAATACAGTAAGCAATCTGAATTATATAAAAAAACAAATTACTAGTGGAGGCTTGAAGAAGGTTGCAATTTCCAACAAGACGAATATCTAAATGTCTTAATAATATTGTTCCCTTGGCCAAGTTGGAATAAAAAGCTGCTTTGAGAACCCACAGTGTTTTGAATTTTGGGTCTATATGAAAGGAATAACAAAATGTGGCATTATAAAGTGAACTGATGGTAGTACTAACAACCAGTTCTGTTTCCCTTTCTCTCCTCCAGTCCATTTTCTCCTGAAAGAGTCAGTTCAAAACCCTTCTCTGCTGAGGATGCCATCCCTCATTGGACTCCTTCTTCTGTTGCTTTATATATATTCACAAGATTTTGCCCCTCCTTCCTAATTTAGAGCTACTCAGAATTTCTTGTCATTTTCACTTTGCCTATGATTTTGTTTGTGTTTAATGACTATGGAAAGGCTTCAGGAGGAAATAGAAAACTGGCTGCATAACACCCTCTTTGTGCTTTTGTGTCCTTCACAGGAGAAGGAACAAGGACATGGACAACACAAGATGCGTCATTTCATGATTGCAATACTTTTGGCGCAGCTTCAGTGAGACTGGATCAGGTAAAGGGAAGGATCCCTGGAAGGCTGGTTGTCCTTGAATCCTGTATCTCCATGGACCTGATATAATATTTTCTGTTCATGAGGCTTCCTTAACTGAGGTGAAATGGGGTACTTCTCTTAGGTGTGTGGAGGGCCAATCTGATTAAGCCTATGTCTTAAATGCTTACATTCTGGATTTGGTGGTCCAGAGGCAATGGCTCATTGATATGATAGACGATTGAACTGAAATAGTTTTATTGCTCAGTATCAGTCAATAGTGCCGACAGAAGAAATGTTTGCCTGCGCCTTTCTCTAGGCTGAGAGAGTGTGACTCACTCAAGACAACCATTTATTAATAACTAACTAGCGTAACTACCATTGTCTGGGTATGCATTTTCTAATGCTAATTATTAGTCATACCCATTGTTAGCATTATGATTTTATAATTGCTCAGCAGAATAAGTTGGAATGAGTTTTTCAGTATTTACTTACTGCTTGCATTTTGTTAATCAGCAGAGTATTTTTTCCACATTAATGTGATTGCATAGTAAACACAAATCTTACGTAATATGTTTAATTAACTGATATTAATTGAAACTTCCTTTTTATAATATGGCTTATTTGCATAAGTTTATTCATACCTTTACTTGAAAAATAAGGTGCCAAAAAACCTATCTGTGACTCAGAGCGGTTTAGCCTATTTTAACTTTGGCTCGTTAGTGCTGCCAAGTTGTGCAGGCCTGATCTAGAGTTGTTTTTTATAGGCAAACTAGCTGTGCCCTGCCACACGTTGCTGTGGCTTAAAGTAAGAATTTTTGAAGTAGAAGTAGCTGTCTGGACTATTATGAAAGAGAAGTACCTACTTATTCCTTGCCCCCTTTTTCTTTCCCTTCTTCTTTTTCTCCTTTCTTCCTTCTCTCCCTCTTTCTTTCATTGCTTCCTTCACTCTTTGGTTCCATCCTTCCTTCTCTTTCCTTCCTTCCCTCTCCCTTTCTCTCCATCTTCCCTTCTCTCTTTTCTTCCCTCCGTGTTTCCTTCATTCTTTCACTTTTTATTTCCTTTCCCCCTTTTTTCCTTCTTTGCCTCTTTCCTGCCTTTCCTCCCCCTTTTCTTTCCATTTCCTCTTTCTCTTCTTCCTTCCTTCCATGTTTCCTTCATCCTTTTACTTTTTATTTCCTTTCCCTCTTTTTTCCTTCTTTACCTCTTTCCTGCCTTTCCTCCCCTTTTTCCTTCCATTTCCTCTTTCTCTTCTTCCTTCCTTCGGCACCTCTTTCTTTCTTTCCTCCCTTCTCTCCTTCTCTCCTTCCCTCTTTCCCTCCCTCCTTCGTTCTTTTCCCTCCCTCCTTCTCTCTTTCGTTCCTTCCTCCTTGCCCTCCTTCATTCCTTCCCTCTTTTCCTCCCTGCCTTCTCCTGTCCTTCCTTCCCATCTTCCTTCCATGTTTGGAAGGTCTTGGCTTCAGAGGTGCCTCTTGTTGTTTCTCCCTCCTGTTCCTTTCTGCCTGCAGCCTAGGTGCCCGGAGCATCTTCCCCTTCCCTTGGGCTCTGGGCCACTTCTCCCACCGTCGGCACCACTGCCACCATCATCTTGGGCTCCCTTGATAGCTGGCAGACAGTGCCCACCAAGACCAGAGCACATTGATAGTGGGCACCCCAGGCAGGTGGTTGCCATTTGTCACTCTTTCATCCGGTATTCATCCTTGGAGGCCAAACGGAGGGAACAGAAGAGACAGTGCAGGAAACACTAAGTGTTTTGGACTTCAATTCCCAGATTCCTTTATCATTGTCCAAAGTAGCAGAGGCTTCTGGGAGTTGAAGTCTAGTGTGTGGAAATCGCTGTGAGGAGCTGAGCCTCCCTTTTTGGACCTCATGGAGCCACCTGGACCTCATGGTGACTCCAGCAGCTTGCCTCATCAAACCTCCATGTCCTCCATTGGGCCAGGCCTTCTCCTTCCTTCCCTCTTTCCTTTCCTCAATCCCTTCCCTCCCCAAAAGAAAGAGGACTCTGCTCTTCGTGCATGGAAAGGCACTCCATAGCTAGGCTTCTCTTCCCTCACAACGGTTGGTGTGTCATTCTTCTCGCACACTGGGGTGTGCATGCTCTGTAAGGTATTTTTCTTTTGGGGGTGTTTTAAGTTATTTCCCCTTCATTTTTAAGGTATTTTTGTTGAAAGACATAGATTGGATTGCTATGTGTTTTGCTGCCAAATTTGGCGTCAGTTCGTCCAGTGGTTTTTTAGTTATGTTAATCCCACAAACGAACATTACATTTTTATTTATATAGATGTGGGTCTTTTCTGCTCATATATGGTTTCTGAATGCATATAATAATACCCTGAGTAATACAAAAGATCTTGCTCATTTCCCATGTGAATATCCTGAATTTCCAGTACTTAAGAATACTTACGTAAGTAGAATGTTGATTTATTTATTTATTTATTTAGCCATTTTGTATACCGGTCTTCTCCCCTCTATCGGGGGACTCGGGCCGGTTTCCAACAATAAAATCACAAAGCAATCATTAAAAACATCATATAACATATTCAATTAAAACGTTATAACAGCGAAATGCAATCACATAATAACAATGGTCAGTCATCATAGTGAATTCGTTGTCCAACATTCATCGTCATCTATCCGATCACAGAAATATTGATTCACTTATTGAAAGCCAAACCCCATAGCCAACTATGCAAACTGTGACTGTCTGGTTCAACCACCATCACAAAAGGTAATGGCAGGTGAAGGCCAATAGGATCCAGATGAGCTATGAAGTGTCCAGGATCCTGAATTTCCTCAGTCTGGGAGAGTGGAGTAAGGGACTATGTCTCACTTCAATAACCTTTCTTTCTCCAGGTGACCTTTGAGGAGGTGGCTGTGTTTTTCTCAGAGGAGGAGTGGGCCTTGCTGGACCCAGGGCAATGGGCCCTGCACAGGGAAGTCATGGAGGAGAATCTGGGCCTTGTGTCTTCTCTGGGTAGGTCCACTTATTTCTAGTGACTCATCAAGTGTATATCTGACAACAGTCACAACTGTCTCTGAATTTATTGTTTATTTTGTGTCCAGCACTTGGATGAGATGGTTAAGAACAACCACAATAACCATTTTTATGTATTTTAATCGTTTTCTCAGCATTTGTGTCTTAATTGGTCAGGCTATAACACAGCTGGTAAATCACCAGCAGCAGCAATAAGATCTACCAACTGAAAGGTTCAAAGCATGGGTCGGAGTGAGTACCTCACTGTCCGCCCAGCCCACTGTTTATCTAAGCAGTTTGAAAATAGCTTAGAGCTGTAAGTAGAGAAATTAAGTACCACTAAAAAGCGGGGAATGTATTTTACAACACCAGAAAAGAAAAAGACCAGAAAAAATGAGGAAGCCCTGATGGCTTTTCATCAGAGGATGGAGTGACAGTACCCCCCTGTGGCTGGATTGAGCACAACCTCCAAGGTGCCGAAAAGCTGGACGTCAACACAACATACCTCCTTTCTGTCTGTTCTGTCCTTGTTTGTCCAAAATGGAATTGAATGTTTGCCGTGTATATGTACTGTGATCCACCCTTAGTCCTCTTGGGGAGATAGGGCAGAATATAAATAAAGTATTATTATTATTATTATTAATTAATTAATTAGTTAATTAATTATCTTATTAGTATAATTATGTTTATCTGACTATTCATATTCTGTTTTCTATTTTGATGTTTATTTCTCTTTTGTCATAAGTTTAGGGTTATTATTTTGTATTATTTGGTATTATTTTTGAGATGTTTGAATGTTGTGGCAGAATGAAAATCACGCGTAGTTCACGTCTTTACCAATCCACACACTGCCTTGCTAGGGAAAGAATATGCCATGCAGATGATCAGTAAAGAATAAGTTGTTTACTCTTTGTTGTGCAGAGCAACATATATACAGTCATGAGAACAGCTGCATTGACTCACACAATATCCTTTGAGAGAGATTCAAATGGTCCTTGGGTGTCCATGTGAGAGATCTTCTTCCAGTAGCCACAAAGCAAGCGGGCTATAAATAAAGATTAGTACTACTACTACTACTACTACTATTATCTAGGAACTTAAGATCGTCTGGGAAGGCCCTGCTCTTGATCCCGCCTGCCTTGCAAGTGTGATTGGCAGAGACAAAGGACAGGGCCTTCTCAGTGGTGGCCCCCAGGCTATGGAACTCCCTCCCTAGGGATATTAGATCGGCCCCCCTCCCTCCTGACTTTCCCATAAAATGTAAAGACTTGGCTCTTTAAGCAAGCTTTTGAGAATGCAGCGGAATAGATAACACGGAACTATGAATGATGAACTTGGAATGGCCAGACAATGTTACTGGATAACGTTTTTAACAAGATGACACTGATGATTGAATGCTTTAATGGTTTTTATTTATGTTGTATATTGTAATGTTGATTGTTTTTAATGGCACTTTTATGAATGCCTGACATCGAATTGTGCCAATCTGTAACCCGCCTTGAGTTGCCATATGGCTGAGAAAGGCGGGCTATAAATATCATAAACAAACAAACAAACAAATATTTTTTTACCTGCTCCAAAAATGTTTCCGTTTCTACATTCAGTATTTGCACAATGTAGGTATTTTAGATAATAACTAAGTTGTGTTGAGCCTTGGACCTGGAAAAGACAAGATATATTATTTATTTACTTTATTTGTATACTGCTGTTCTCAGCCCTTAGGCGACTCATATATTTATGTATTTATAACACCAGCATCACTGCGAGGATCAGTGTACTTATCTGACCAGTTCTTTTCCTCCTTTCCAGATGTTGAAGAGGCACTTGGTGAGAATGAAGAGGAACCAAGCAGGATGTTGCCCAAAATAGCCGGTTATCAACTGATGTACGAGAATGAAAGGAACCCTGAGTTTCAAGGGAAACCTGTTCTGGGTGGGAAAGTCAGAGGACTCTCGGGACAGGAAATGACACCAAAAATAAAGGAAAGAAATAGATATATATGCCTTCTATGTGGAAGAAGCTCCAGTCTGAAAGAAAGTCTTGACTGTCATGTGAGAACTCACAGAGGGGTGATTTCTTTCAGTGGTGGTGAGCAAGGAAAGATCATAAGTGTTCGGGAAGCCTCAATTTCCCATCAAAAAAACTACACAAGTGGGAAACCATTTCAGTGCTTGGAATGTGGAAAGGTCTTCAGTCTGAGGAAACTCCTCACTCGCCATCAAGCAATCCACAGAAGGAAGAAGCCATTTAAATGTTTGGAGTGTGGCAATAGCTACAGGGACAAGTCCGAGCTCACAATTCATCAGAGAACTCACACAGGAGAGAAACCCTTTAAATGCTCGGAGTGTGGAAAGAGCTTCAGCCAGAAATCCCACTTCACTGTTCATCAAAGAGTCCACACAGGTGGGAATCCATATAAATGCTTGGAGTGTGGGAAGAGCTTCAGGTACAAGTCAGAACTCGCTGTTCATCAAAGAAGGCACACAGGGGAGAAACCCTTTGAATGCTTGGAGTGTGGGAAGAGGTTCACTCACAAATCACATCTCCGTGGTCATCAAAGAATTCACACCGGGGAGAAACCCTTTAAATGCTCCGAGTGTGGAAAGAGCTTCAGATGGAAGATCACTTTTATGTGCCATCAAAGATGTCATTCAGGCAAGAAGCCATTTACTTGCACACAGTGTGGAAAGAACTTCAGGTGGAAAGTGAGTCTCAAGGGTCATCAAAGAAGTCATACAGGGGAAAAACTATTTAAATGCTTAGAATGTGGAAAGAGTTTCAAATGGAAGAAAAATCTTGTGTTTCATCAAGAACGTCATATAGGTAAGGAGCCATTCAAATGCATGCTGTGTGGAAAGAGCTTTGCTAGGAAGACATACCTGACCCGTCACCAAAGAAGTCATATAGTTGGGAAGCCATTTCAATGCTTGGATTGTGGAAAGAGCTTCCGACGGAAAACAGGCTTTACTCATCATCAAGGAACTCCTAGCGAGGAAAAACCCTTCAAGTGTTTGGAGTGCGGAAAGAAGTTTAATCAGAGGTCATGCTTGACATATCATCAAAGAAGCCATGTAGAGGAGAAACCATTTCAATGCTTAGAGTGTGGAAAGAGTCTCAGTCGCAAGCGAAACCTTATTATCCATCAAAGATGTCATGTAGGTGAGAAGCCATTTAAATGCTTAGAGTGCGGAAAGAGCTTCAGGTGGAAGACGAGTCTGATGTTTCACCAAGAACGTCATCTGGGTGAGAAGCCATTTCAGTGCACGCAGTGTGGAAAGAGCTTTAGGTGGAAAGTTAGTCTTAGGTGTCATCAAAAAATTCATATCGAGGAAAAGCTATTTAAATGCTTGGAGTGTGGAAAGAGCTTTGGTCAGAAGTCACGCCTGATTTGCCACCAAAGAATCCATACAGGGGAGAAACCATTTCAGTGCTTAGAGTGTGAAAAGAGCTTCATCTCGAAGAAAAGTCTGAAGGATCATCAAACGAGTCATACTGGGGAGAAACCGTTTCAATGCTTAGAGTGTGGAAAGAGTTTCAGGTGGAAGAAAAGTCTTCAACATCATCAAAACAGTCACACCGGGGAGAAACCATTTAAGTGTTTAGAGTGTGGGAAGAGCTTCACCTCCAAGAAAAATCTTATGTGTCATGAAGAACGTCATTCAGGCAAGAAGCCGTTTAAATGCATGCAGTGCGGGAAGAGCTTCAAATGGAAAGTAAACCTCACAGGTCATCAAAAAATTCATATGGAGGGCAAACGATTTAAATGCCTGGAATGTGGAAAGAGCTTCAGTCAGAAGTCAAACTTGACTTCTCATCAAATTATTCATACAGGGGAGAAACCATTTCAGTGCTCGGAGTGTGGAAAGAGCTTCAGATGGAAGAGAAGTCTTACCAATCATCAAAGGTGTCATGCAAGCGAAAATCCATTTGAATGTGTGCAGTGTGGAAAGAGCTTTGCGAGGAAAACATACCTGACTCGTCATCAAATAAGTCACAGCAAAGAGGACCTATTTAAATGTCCAGAGTGTGGGAAGAGCTTCACTAGGAAGGAACATTTGACCTGTCATCAAAGACTTCATACAGGGGAGAACCTATTTGAGTGCTTAGAGTGTGGAAAGAAGTTCAATCGGAAGCAAATCCTCATTGTTCATCAAAGAATTCACATGGAGCAGAAACCTTTTCAGTGCTTGGAGTGTGGAAAGAGGTTCAGTCAGAAGTCACACCTTGTTTATCATCAAAGAAGACATGCAGGGAAGAAGCCATCTCAGGCTTTAGACAATATGAGAAGAGATTCAGTGTGTGCCAGAGAATAAATAATATAACTTTTTTATATTCTGCTCTATCTCCCCGAGGGGACTCGGGGTGGATTACAGAATACATATACGGCAAACATTCAATGCCATTTTACAATTAACAGGACAGACAATACATAAGCAGAAGTTTATTTTCAGGTCCCAATTCAAGGTGCAGGTTCTTACCTACAAAGCCCTGAACGGTTTGGTGCCCGCCTACCTTCGTGACCACATTTTCTTTTATGATCCCACACAATCCCTTTGATCTTCTGAAGAGGCCCTTCTCTCACTCCTGCCCCCATTGCAAGTGCGACTTGTGGGGACAAGGGAGATGGCCTTCCCTGTGGTGGCCCCTCAGCTCTGGAAGTCGCTCCCCAGAGAAATCAGGCAAGCCCCCGCCTTGGCAGTCTGTAGGAAGAGTCTGAAAACTTGGCTATTCTAGTGTGCCTTCAATGAATGAACAATAATCCCTGACCTTGACCAAACCCTACATAAAATGCCCTCGGAAGCAATTTATCCCATCTTCTAGTGCAATTAAACCTCATTTTCATCCCTCTCATCCTCTATTGATACATTACATGGCCTGCTCACCCAGTATATTTATTTATTTATTTATTTGCTTACTATATTTGTATCCCACCCCTCTCAGCCCGCAGGTGACTCAGGGCAGTTAACAGAGGCAACAGATTAAAAGTTTTTAAACTTTCAATCTTTGCAACTTGCCCTGCCCAGTGCGATTTTATTTTTTTGTGATTCAAATACTGTGGTCTTATATTGTTTGGTGTGTTCATTAGTTTTCAGTATTTATTTTTTATTTTCATAATATTTTGCCATTTGTATGTTATGTTGTATACTAGCCGTCCCCTGCCACGCATTGCTGTGGCCCACTCTAGTCATGGGGGTTCTGTGTGGGAGGTTTGGCCCAATTCTATCGTTGGGGGTTCAGAATGCGCCGTGATTTTAGGTGAACTACAAATCCCAGAAACTACAACTCCCAAATGTCAAGATTCTATTTTCCCCAAACTCCACCAGTGTTCACATTTGGGCATATTGATTATTAGTGTAGAGTTTGGTCCAGATCCATCACGGTTTGAGTCCACAGTGCTTTCTGGATGTAGGTGAACTACAACTCCAAAACCAAAGGACACTGCCCGCCAAACCTAGTATTTTCTGTTGGTCATGGGAGAACTGTGTGCCAAGTTTGGTTCAATTTCATAATTGGTGGGGTTCAGAATGCTCTTTGATTGTAGGTGAACTATAAATCCCAGCAACTACAACTCCCAAATGACAAAATCAATTTTTTGAGTGAAGGACATACATTGGGTTGTTAGGTGTCTTGTGTCCAAATTTGGTGTCAATTCGTCCAGTGGTTTTTAGTTCTGTTAATCCCACAAACGAACATTACATTTTTATTTATATAGATTTATTTGCAGTATTTATATTCTACCCTTCTCACCCTGCAGGGGACTCAGGTGGCAGGGTATAAATAAAATTATTATTATTAGTAGTAGTAGTAGTAGTAAAGACTTTCCCCATCTTTTTCCATTTCCGGCATCTGGAGGCTGTGATTGTTTGTTAAACAAGGGCATGGAGAGTTCTGCCACTCCATCTTCCATGCTGAGGAACATTTGATGTCCTCCTGATGTCCTTATGGGTCCTTATTACCTCCTCGCTTAAAGCAGTACCTATTTATCTACTCACATTTCTGATTTCGACTTGATAGGTGGGCAGAAGCTGGGACTGATGGTTGGGCTCATCCCAACCTGGGCTTGAACTGCCAATCGTTTGATCAGTAGGATTTTCTGCAGCTTAGCGTGCAGAATAGCCTATGGCTTCTTGACTTGCAAACTGAAGCAAAAATAAGCTACCTTTCAGATGGTAGAAACTGGAAGGCATTACTTGTAAATAAATAAATATATGGAGATGTGTGGTGGAAAAACCTTCGAACTGTCTTCTTAGGATTTGTGGAAAGATGGAATAAACGACTTGTTTCCAGTTATTGACCTTTGTGAGCTTGCCTTTCATTCCTAGAGCTTCCAGAATCTGAAATGCTATCGAGTTTGCAGTGGAACAGAATATCATTTCAAAGTGTTGAATATGTATAACTCTTCAGGTGCAGCCACTCCCACAGCCCACAAGTCTTCGGTATACTTAAGAGGAGGAAGACAGGAATAAGGACCCTCTTACATCTTACCTTTTCATAGAATCATAGAGTTGAAAGAGACCTCATGGGCCATCCAGTCCAACCCCATTCTGCCAAAAAGCAGGACAATTGCGTTCAAAGCACCCCCAACATATGGCCATCCAGTCTCTATTTTAAAAACTCCATAGAAGGAGCCTTCATCACACTTAGGGGTAGAGAGTTCCACTGCTGAACAACTCACACAGTCAGGGTGGGACAAAGGACTCTTGTCTGCTGGAGCAATGTGTGAATGTTTCAATTGACCACCTTTATTAGCATTTGATGGCCTGGCAGTGCCTGGGGCAATCTTTTGTTGAGAGATGATTAGATTTCCCTGATTGTTTCCTCTCTGTTGTTGTGCTGTTCTAATTTTAGAGTTTTGTAATACTGGTAGCCAGATTTTGTTCATTTTCATAATTTCTTCCTTTCTGTTGAAATTGTCCACATGCTTGTGGATTTCAATGGCACTGCCAGGCCATCAAATGCTAATCAAGGTGGTCAGTTGAAACATTTACACCTAGCTCCAGCAGACAAGAGTCCTTTGTCCCACCCTGGTCATTCCACAGATATATAAACTATTTTCCTAGTTCCAACAGACCTCACTGCCTCTGAGGATGCTTGCCATAGATGCAGGCGAAATGTCAGGAGAAAATGTCTCTAGAACATGGTCATATAGCCCGAAAAAACCTACAACAACCCAAACAGTATCCCCCCCAACTCTGAGGATGCTTGCCATAGATGCAGGCGAAATGTCAGGAGAGAATGCCTCTAGAACATGGCCATATAGCCCGAAAAAAAACCTACAACAACCCAGTGATTCTGGCCATGAAAGCCTTCGACAATACATAATCAAAATTAATTTAAAAAACTTCAGGGGGGGGGGGTTAGGGGTTCAACCCCCCCCCCGAAATTTTTCAGGTTAAAAAAATAAACCTGGTTTACTCATGAATTTTAACTGGTTAACCAAATCCGCATGCTAAGTCTATGAGACGCAAAAAAATTAAGAGTCCCTCCAGAACTGCAAGCACTATCTCAAGCCAATGTTGACAATTTATTCACACTGCCATTACTTGCAGCAATAGCCGATGTAGCGAAGCAACCAGGTTGGGGGGAGTTTGAATGCTCTCATTAAGGAGGCCAGACTTGGTGGAGGTGGTTGACAGGGGTGGAGCTGCAGGCTATGGAAGGCTGCTCTGTCCTCTGCTGTGCTCTTTGCTTCAGTGTGACCCTAACCCCCTCCTCGAAATTTTCAACCCTCCCTGAAATTTTTTTCTGGCTACGGCCCTGGAAACATTCACACCTAGCTCCAACAGACAAGAGTTCTTTGTCCCAACCTGGTCATTCCACAGATATATAAACCAGTATTTAAAAAAACTCTAAAATTACAACAGCACAACAACAGAGAGGAAACAAACAAAAGGACATCTAATCACCTCTCAACAAAAGTTTGCTCTAGGCACTGTCAGGCCATTATATGCTAATCAAGGTGGTCAGTTGAAACCTAGCTCCAGCAGACAAGAGTCCTTTGTCTCACCCTGGTCATTCCACAGATGTTGTTGTTCATTCGTTCAGTCATCTCCGACTCTTTGTGACCTCATGGACCAGCCCACGCCAGAGCTCCCTGTCGGCCGTCACCACCCCCAGCTCCTTCAAGGTCAGTCCAGTCACTTCAAGGATGCCATCCATCCATCTTGCCCTTGGTCGGCCCCTCTTCCTTTTCCTTCCACTTTCCCCAGCATAATTGTCTTCTCTAGGCTTTCCTGTCTCCTCATGATGTGGCCAAAGTACTTCAACTTTGTCTCTAGTATCCTTCCCTCCAGTGAGCAGTCGGGCTTTATTTACTGGAGGATGGACTGGTTGGATCTTCTCGCAGTCCAAGGCACTCTCAGCACTTTCCTCCAACACCACAGTTCAAAAGCATCTATCTTCCTTCGCTCAGCCTTCCCTAAGGTCCAGCTCTCACATCCGTAGGTTACTACAGGGAATACCATGGCTTTGACTAGGCGGATCTTTGTTGCCAGTGTGATGTCTCTACTCTTTACTATTTTATCGAGACTGGACATTGCTCTCCTCCCAAGAAGTAAGCGTCTTCTGATTTCCTGGACACAGTCTGCATCTGCAGTAATCTTTGCGCCTAGAAATACAAAGTCTGTCACGGCCTCCACATTTTCTCCCTCTATTTCCCAGTTGTCAATCATTCTTGTTGCCATAATCTTGGTTTTTTTGATGTTTAGCTGCAACCCGGCTTTTGCAGCTTTCTTCTTTCACCTTGATTAGAAGGCTCCTCAGCTCCTCCTCGCTTTCGGCCATCAGAGTGGTGTCATCTGCATATCTGAGGTTGTTAATGTTTCTTCCAGCAATTTTCACCCCAGCTTTGCCCCGCACATTGCATGATGTGTTCTGCATACATGTTAAAAAGGTTGGGTGAGAGGATGCAACCTTGCTGTACGCCTTTCCCAATCTTGAACCAGTCTGTTGTTCCGTGGTCAGTTCTGACTGTTGCTACTTGGTCCTTGTACAGATTCCTCAGGAGAGAGACAAGGTGGCTTGGGATGCCCATCCCACCAAGAACTTGCCACAATTTATACTGGGCTACAAAAACACTGGGCTAGACAGTGTAGTTTCTCCAGTGGTGCAGCAGGGCGCAGACACCCCGTGATAATGTGGCATGTCTCTTTAAGAGCCACATCCACTGTTTTAGCGTGGTGAGATGTGTTCCACACTGCGCATGCGTGAGGCGAAGGGGAAAAAGAAGAAGGGGGGAGTGCTTGGCTCTTGTTTCTCCGCCATGAGCGCATCCCTTTCTACGACCAGGGCGCTTCCCTCCAGGACAGGCCCCGAGGAAGGCCTGGGCAGCCCCCTCGACGAAGAGGAGACAGAAGGTGCCAGTGAAAGGGATCTGGCAAAGCACGACGAGGAGGATGACGTCGAAATGAAGGGACAGCTGCGTCAGGAGGATGAATTGGCCTCTCTCAAGAGGCAGCTGCCACAGCCACTCCAAGCAGGGACTCTGCAGGAATACCAGCAAAGGTGGAAGAAGCTGGACCAGCAGGCCAAAGAGAGGCAGCGCCAGGCAGAGCTTTTCCTCCAGCTGGAAACAGAGCAGGTGGAAGGGAACTACCTCAAGGACCAGAAGGCGGCCCTGGAAGAGTTTGAAGACAAGAAAATGGAGTTGAAGGAAAACTTAATTGCAGAATTGGAGGAGAAGAAAAAAAGGATTGAAAGCGAGAGGTTAACCATGGAGCTCACAGGAGATTCCCTGGAAGTGAAGCCTATCATGACAAGAAAACTGCGACGGCGGAGGCCCAACGATCCTGTCACCACCCCCGACAAAAAGAGAAAGCCTGCCCCTGCGCAGATGAATTATTTACTAACAGAGGAGCAGATCGTGGAGGATTTGAGAAGGCTTCATAAGCTCAACTCACCTAAAAGGCCAGCGTCCCCTTCGTCACCACAACACCTGCCGGCAACCCCTGCGGAGTCTCTGGCCCAGCGGTTTGAGGCAAGGAACGATTCCATCAGCGTCGCCTCCGGAAAATCCTGCAAATCTCTTGGGAAGACGGGTGGACAAACGTCAGAAGGAAGGGGCCACCACCAAGAAGGCCCCCTCTCTCGTCCCCACCAACTGTGCTTGTGAAGGGGCCACCACTGAGAAGGCCCTCTCTCTCATCCCCACCAACTGTGCTTGTGAAGGGGCCACCACCGAGAAGGCCCCTTCTCTCGTCCCCACCAACTGTGCTTGTGAAGGGGCCACCACCAAGAAGGCCCCCTCTCTCGTCCCCACCAACTGTGCTTGTGAAGGGGCCACCACCAAGAAGGCCCTCTCTCTCGTCCCCACCAACTGTGCTTGTGAAGGTGCCACCACCGAGAAGGCCCCCTCTCTCGTCCCCACCAACTGTGCTTGTGAAGGGGCCACCACCTAGAAGGGCCCCTCTCTCATCCCCACCAACTGTGCTTGTGAAGGGGCCACCACCAAAAAGGCCCCCTCTCGCGTCCCCACCAACTGTGCTTGTGAAGGGGCCACCACCAAGAAGGACCTCTCTCTCGTCCCCACCAACTATGCTTGTGATGGTGGTGGGAAGAAAAGGAGGGCCTCCCTGGAAGATCTTAAAGTTTGCGCCAGTTCATAGAGGGAGATGCGATTGCGAAGATAGGCGGGGCCCGAACCGTTTAGGGCTTTATAGGTCATAACCACCACCTTGAATTTGGCTCGGCAACTTATCGGCAGCCAGTGAAGCTGTTTTAAAAGGGGCGTTGTATGCTCCCTATAGTTTGCTCCATTAAGGAGCCTGGCTGCCGCCTGTTGCACCAGTTGGAGCTTCTGGGCCGTCTTCAAGGGCAGTCCCACGTAGAGCGCATTGCAATAGTCCAATCTGGATGTAACCAAAGCGTTGCCTCTGAAAAATCCTGCAAATCTCTTGAGAAGACAAGCAAACAAATGTCAGCATGCTGGAAAAAGCAAAGGCCACCAGCATTGACGCGATGGTCCTCTGCCACCAACTCTGCTGGACCGGCCATGTTGTCCAAATGCCCGACCACCATCTCCCAAAGCAGTGGCTCTACTCCGAACTCAAGAACGGAAAACAGAATGTTGGTGGGCAGGAAAAGAGATTTAAAGATGGGCTCAAAGCCAACCTTAAAAACTCTGGCATAGACACTGGGAACTGAGAAGCCCTGGTTCTTGAATCATAGAATCAAAGAGTTGGAAGAGGCCTCATGGAACATCCAGTCCCACCCCATTCTGCCAAGAAGCAGGAATATTGCATTCAAAGCACCCCTGACAGATGGCCATCCAGCCTCTGTTTAAAAGCTTCCAAAGAAGGAGCCTCCACCACACTCCGGGGCAGAGAGTTCCACTGCTGAATGGCTCTCACAGTCAGGAAGTTCTTCCTCATGTGCAGATGGAATCTCCTTTCTTGTAGTTTGAAGCCATTGTTCCTTGTCCTAATCTCCATGGAAGCAGTAAACAAGCTAGCTCCCTCCTCCCTGTGGCTTCCTCCCTGTGGCTTCCTCCAGCTGGAGGTCAGCTGTGCTGCAGAATTTGAAGAGGCACGAATGGAGGGTGAAAGAGAGAAACGTGCCAAGAGGAAGGCGTGTCAAGCCAACCCTGACCGAGACTGCCTTCCACCTGGAAACCAATGCCCTCACTCCGGAAGAAGATGCAGATCAAGAATAGGGCTCCACAGTCATCCACGAACCCACCGCCAGGACACCGAACTTGGAGGATCATCATCCTCGGACTACGAGGGATCGCCTAAGTAAGTCAGTAAGAAGATGGCAAACTGTACTAGGACAAAAGATGGTATCACAAGAGCCAGGCGATTTATCTTGAGTCCAAGGAGAACACCAAAATCAGCTGTGTCATCAGCTCTGTGGGAGCCAATGAGATCTGGGTGCGGAAGACCAGCGACAGCACCAAGATGAGCATCTACCTTGGCCAGCTCCAGCGGGACGCCTTTGTGATACGCAGGTGATCAGCGGCGGGCCTCCTCCTTTTGTCAAAGACAATCAGCTCTCCTGAAGACTCCCCCGGCCGTTCTGCTGCCAGCATTGTTCCAACCTGCCAGGAAGCCCAAGCAATGTCCTGGGACTTGGCTTGAGGCTTCTTTAGCTGAGCCTTTATTGCTTCCAAAGACTATTTAAAGAGAGTGTATGCCTGAGTTCTCCTCCTTCTACACGGTGAAAAAGGTACCCTTTTGTATCCTCAAGCTCAGTTGCCTTGAGGAGATAAGACCCAGTAGGCTGTTGAATGAGTGGTCAATGATTTAATGCATCACCTGTTGAAGTGCCAGTGTTTTGCCTTTGGGGACATTGTTGGGAGTGTTTTTAAGCTCCTGCCGCATCCTGGACTCCCTCTTGATTCTGTACATAGTGAACTCAAAGAATGCCATTTATTTATTTATTTCGGGTACTTCTACCCCGCCCTTCTCAACCCCCTAAGGGGGACTCAGGGTGGTTTCCAACCGGCATACGTTGATGCCTACAATTCAAACAATAAAATACATAGTAACAATAATTATAACAATTAAAACATTACATTAATACTATAAAAAGCCAGCCTGGTGGCCATCGTTTTGCCAAGTCTGTAATTAATAAATTCATTCCGCTTATAGTCATAGTCCGTTTCCAAAGCTTTAGTCGTCATTGTCCATTGTCAATCTGCTAGATTACCCAAAAGCCTGGTCCCATATCATGTTTTTAATTTCCTTCTGAAAGAGAGGAGGGATGACGATAATCTAATTTCCCTGGGGAGTAAATTCCACAGGAGAGGGGCCACCACTGAGAAGGCCCTGTCCCTCGTCCCCGCCAATCTCGTTTGTGACAAGGGCGGGGCCTAGAGCAGGGCCCCTCTAGAAGATCTTAAATTCCTAGGCGGGACGTAGAAGGAGATACGTTCGGACAGGTACGCTGGGCCCGTGCCGTATAGGGTTTTATAGGTCAAGACCAGCACTTTGAATTGTGCTTGGAACTGAATTGGCAGCCAGTGGAGCTGACATAACATCGCTCTCTGACTTTTTTATGTGAATTGTTGGGTTTTAACTGTTTCTTTGTCGGCATCTAATGACTGCCAATTGTAAGCCATCCTGAGTCCTCCTTTAGGGGCTGAGAAGGACAGGATAAAAATCCAGTCCAAGGTCTCTTAATTGACAATTCTCACAAGTCATTACAGTTGCTGCTCTGCCAGCTGCCCGAATAGTATTTTATATATATACACGCGTTGCTGTGGTCAAACATCCCTCCCTCTTTCTCTCCTTCCTTCTCTCCCTCTTTCCTTCCCTTTCTTTCTTTTCCTTCTCTCTTTCCTTTCTTCCTTCTCTACCTGTCTCTTTCCTTCCTTTGCTCTTTGGTTCCATCCTTCCTTCTCTCCTTCCTTCCTTCCTTCCTTCCTTCCTTCTTTCCTTCCTTCCCTCCCTCTTTCTCTCTTTCGTTTCTTCTCTCCTTCCTTCCCTCTTTCACTTTTTTTAATTTCCTCTCTCCTTTCTTCCTTCTCTACCTTTCTTTCTTTCCTTCCTTCCTTCTCTGCTTCCTTTCCTCGCTTTTTCCTTCCTTCCCTCTTTTTCTTTCCCTTTTTTCTTTCCCTTCTTCTTTCTTCCTTCTCTAGCTGTTTCTTTCCTCGCTTCCTTCTCTTTGGTTCCATCTCTCTGTCTCTTCCTCCCTCCCTCCCTCCCTCTTTTGTTCCTTCTCTCTTCTTCCCTTCTCTCCTTCCTTCCCTCCTCTTTTTTCCCTCTTTCTCTCCTCCTTTTCTCTCTTCCTCCTTCCTTCTCTACCTTCCTTCCTTCTCCTCCTCTCTTCCTCTTTCCTTTCTTCTTTCCTTTCCTTTCCTCCCTTTTTCCTTCCTTCCCTCTTTCTTTCTCTTTTTCTTTCTTCTTCTTCTTCTTACCTGGCACCTTCGCTTCCTTTGCTATTTGGTTCCATCCTTCCTTGTCTCTTTCCTTCCTTCCCTCCTTCTCTCTTCTTTCCTTCTTTCCTCCCTCCTTTTCTTCTTTCTTTTCCCTTCCTTCCTTCCCATTCTGTGTATATGTGTTTTGTGTGTGTATATATGCATGTATATGTGTGTATTTATATATTTGTGTATATGTTTATATGTGTTTGTGTATATGTGGTTTTGCACATGCATGTTGTAATGTAATTTTTGTTTTTTGGCTTTTTAAATCCCTTCCGCTGTGTTTTTCAGTGTTTTTTATGAGTGATGGTCACTTGTTGGTCTGATAGGTGTATTGTGTCCAAATTTGGTGTCAATTCGTCCAGTGGTTTTTGAATTATGTTAACCCCACAAACAAATATTACACACACACACACACACACACACATACAGTATTTATATTCCGCCCTTCTCACCCCGCAGGGCACTCAGGGCGGATTACAGTGTACACATATATGGCAAACATTCAATGCCAATTTGACATACAACGTATACAGACATACACAGAGGCTATTTAACTTTTTTCTGGCCGCCAGGGGAGCTGTCGCTTTCATCGTCCACCTGTGACGCTGATGAAGTACTTCTGCATTCCCAACATGCTTTTGCTGGAATGCTTTGCTGGAGTCTTTTTTATGGCCTCATAAATTAGTTAATTTAGCCTCCCCACACAAGGTGGTACCTAATTTTCCTACTTGACAGATGCAACTGTCTTTCGGATTGCAAAGGTCGACAACAGGCTACACAATTGGTTGGAAACCCACTCCAACCCGGGCTGGCTTCGAACCCATGACACTCAGTCACCTGCGCCACAATCCTGGTGTGTGTGTGTGTATGTCTGTATGTGTGTATATATGTATGTGTATATATATATATATATATATATATATATATATATAACCATAATACATATAATACACTACAAATAATACTATTAGTATTATATATTGTACTATATCATGTAGTATATATAATATGCTCAGGACCCAGGCCTTGTCTTTATCACTGGAGACTGGTAAAGGAGAATTGTAGACTTAGTGTGGCTCCCTCCAGAGGCTCTTCTCTCCCCACCAAAATCCCCCAAAAAGACAGACTCCTATTGTCCAAAGTGGGATGGTCCTCCAGGGTTTCCTCCCTCTCCTCCTCCTCCCACCCCCACGCCTCTCTCTGGCATGCTCCGCTTTCTAGCCGGAAGAGGCGGGACCAAATTCAAGAGTGACGGGCAGGGCGAGAGTTGGCTCCTTTTTTCCTCCCAGGTGGAGAGTTTGGACCAAGAGGGGAAGCCAAGCAGGCAAGTCGGGGAAGAGGAAGGGAGTAGAAGAAGAGAAATGGGGGAGTCTCCTTCTCGGGAGGTGTTTAAGCAGAGGCTGGGGTGGCCATCCGCCTGGAGTGCTTTGATTGTGTGTTATTGCATCAAGCTGGATGGCCATCTGCCTGGAGTGCTTTGATTGTGTATTCTTGCATCAAGCTGGGTGGCCATTTGCCTGGAGTGCTTTGATTGTGTGTTATTGCATCAAGCTGGGTGGCCATCTGCCTGGAGTGCTTTGATTGTGTATTCTTGCATCAAGCTGGTTGGCCATCTGTCCGGAGTGCTTTGATTGTGTATTCTTGCATCAAGCTGGGTGGCCATTTGCCCAGAGTGCTTTGATTGTGTGTTATTGCATCAAGCTGGATGGCCATCTGCCTGGAGTGCTTTGATTGTGTATTCTTGCATCAAGCTGGGTGGCCATTTGCCCAGAGTGCTTTGATTGTGTGTTATTGCATCAAGCTGGGTGGCCATCTGCCTGGAGTGCTTTGATTGTGTATTCTTGCATCAAGCTGGTTGGCCATCTGTCCGGAGTGCTTTGATTGTGTATTCTTGCATCAAGCTGGGTGGCCATTTGCCCAGAGTGCTTTGATTGTGTGTTATTGCATCAAGCTGGGTGGCCATCTGCCCGGAGTGCTTTGATTGTGTGTTCTTGCATCAAGCTGGTTGGCCATCTGCCTGGAGTGCTTTGATTGTGTATTCTTGCATCAAGCTGGGTGGTCATCTGCCTGGAGTGCTTTGATTGTATGTTCTTGCATCAAGCTGGGTGGCCATCTGCCTGGAGTGCTTTGATTGTGTGTTATTGCATCAAGCTGGGTGGCCATTTGCCCAGAGTGCTTTGATTGTGTGTTCTTGCATCAAGCTGGTTGGCCATCTGCCTGGAGTGCTTTGATTGTGTATTCTTGCATCAAGCTGGGTGGTCATCTGCCTGGAGTGCTTTGATTGTATGTTCTTGCATCAAGCTGGGTGGCCATCTGCCTGGAGTGCTTTGATTGTGTGTTATTGCATCAAGCTGGGTGGCCATCTGCTCGGATTGCTTTGATTGTGTATTCTTGCACCGAGCTGGGTGGCCATCTGCCTGGAGTGCTTTGATTGTGTGTTCTTGCACCGAGCTGGGTGGCCATTTGCCCGGAGTGCTTTGATTGTGTATTCTTGCATCAAGCTGGTTGGCCATCTGTCTGGAGAGCTTTGATTGTGTGTGTGCTGGATGGGGTGTTCATCAATAGCAGAGTGGAGTCGCCCTGGAATTGGAGCTGTTTTATCTAGATGCAGGCGAAACGTCAGGAGAAATGCCTCTAGAACATGGCCATATAGCCCGAAAAAACCCACAAGAACCTAGTGATTCCAGCCATGAAAGCCTTCGACAATACACATTTGAATTCTTTATGAGTATTACTGTTGTTATTGTTTTTACTGATGTACTGTGGGCTCGGCCTCATGTAAGCCGCACCGAGTCCCTTGGGAGATGGTAGCGGGGTATAAATAAAGTATTATTATTATTATTATTATTATTATTATTATTATTATTTAATTGACAATGCCAGTTCTTGACTCCATCATACGATGGGGAATCATCACCATGAACCTCTTCCATCTCATTGAACGTCTCCTTTTGTGTGCAGGCTTTCAAGGAAAGGAACTTGGTGACTGGTCTATATATATTATCAAACCTCACACCACTTCCTGACCTGTAAAATCAAGACCATGATCAATTCTGAGTTGTAAATTGGCACGTAACCTATAGAGACTTCTATCATTACACATGTGCAGTTTCAGCATCCTGTGATAAACAGAAGTGGGTCAGGGGAAATCTTTAATGAACGCCTCACGTATGTCCCATTGAGGAGAGCCAAGCTTGTTACCTGCTGCTCTAGAAGACTATACACCAGGCCTGGGAAAACTTGGGCCCTTCCTCCAGGTGTTTTGGATTTCAACTCCCACAATTCCTAACAGCCGGTAGGCTGTTAGGAATTGTGGGAGTTGAAGTCCAAAACACCTGGAGGGAGGGCCCAAGTTTGCCCTTACCTGCTATACACAGAGCAACTCGGACTGGGATGTAAAAGCATCTCCTTCTCTCAGAGCAATTAATTCACAGGCTCTTTTGTTTTCTTCGTATGTATTTGTGTCCTCATGGAATTCATCTGAGACAGGCAGTGTTGTAAAAGAGGACAGTGTTTTTCCGACATGTTGGAAACTGCCTAGTTGCATCAATGGAAGACCAAGACCAAGTTTGCCATCCGTTAGGAGAAGGACTTTATGCCAGCCAAGCTCAGGACAGAAGGAATTTCCTGGGAAGAGCCACGCAGAGGAGCTTGGAGGAAAATATGCTCCATTTGGATGCTCAACGTCAGGACTGCAAGCCATTTGGCTCCCAGGCTTTGAGGCCTCGAGAGCTTTGCAGCCAGCTCCACCGTCTCTGCTGCCAGTGGCTGAAGCCAGAAAGACACACCAAGGCAGAGATGCTGGACCTGGTGGTGCTGGAGCAGTTCCTGGCCATCCTTCCTGCAGAGATGGAGGTCTGGGTCCAGGAATGTGGGGCAGAGACAACCTCTCAAGCAGTGGCTCTGGCAGAAGGCTTCCTCCTTAGTCAGAAAGAGAACAGGGAGCAGGAAGTGGAGCAGGTGAGTTCATTTCATCCTGGTCATTTTGAGGGCCGTCAATATTTCTTTGCAAGGATTTTGAAATATCTGTAACAAACCAAGGCTTAACACAAGCAAAAAATCATTTTGCAGGTCAAGGAACAGGGATACAGCCTGTGTTTGATGACATCCTGCTACTCAGGAAGAAACTGTTTGCAGCTAACTGGGGTTGATTACACGTGGTGTGTTGGCTGTTCATTCAGAACCTATTCATTATGCTAGTTATGCCCTGTAAAGCGCTATGTGGCTTGGGTCTTACTTTAGAAAAATTATCATTCTGTAGGAATAATAGTGGTGCAGTGAGTTAAACTGCTGAGCTGCTGAACTTGCTGACGGAAAGGTTGGCGGTTTGAATCGGGGGAACAAAGTGAGCTCCCACTGTTAGCCCCAGCTTCTGCCAACCTAGCAATTTGAAAACATGCAAATGTGAGTAGATCAATAGGTACCGCCCTGGTGGGAAGTTAATGGCACTCCATGCAGTCATGCTGGCTGTCAGAGTTTTATGTTATTTAGATCATTTCTTAAGTGAAAAATGGATAAGTGATTGCAAGAATCATGTCCAGTCATTGTATGAACAGCAACAGTCAAGCCACCTGTGAGACCTTAGCTACTACAAATTAAGAGTAGAGTAGAGAAGAGCATGAGCAGAGAATGCTGTTGGTGAGACTGTGAAGAAAGCAAGAGCTAGAGGAAGAGGAGTAGATTCCTGTAAAAGCTCAAGGAAGGTTTGCTGGAATATTGGGATTGATGGACTGAATCTGTTATTTGTGACTATTGCATAAACATTTACTTTATTTAAAGAAAGTTTGTCTTCTGTGGATTGCATTATTCTTCTCAACGGGGCACAGCTTCCGAGAAGGGGGTTTGAATGCTTGAATACAACTCCACTATAAAGCAGCAACACCATAGCTGCGACACTGGCCACATGACCTGGGATGCGTTTACGGACAATGCTGGTTCTTCAGCTTAGAAATGGAGATGAGCACTACCCCCAGTCGGACACAACTAGACTTTATGTCAAGGGGAAACCATTATTATTATTATTATTATTATTATTATTATCTTTATTTGTACCCCGCTAGCATCTCCCGAAGGACTCGATGTGGCTTACAAAGGCCAAGGCCTCAAAACACAACATAACAATACACAACCTAAAGCAAATTAAAAACAGTTAAAGCAATATTGAACAACAAGCAATAAATAATACAATCAGGACACAATAAAACTGGGCCGGGCCAGAGTAATGGGTACAGATTAAAAGTGCTGGTGTGACAGGTGATATGTAAGGATTATAGGGTAAGTGCAGTGTGCCAGCAGTCTTAATTTCTAATAAAGTGTTTCTGGGACTTCTTGTTGGAGTTTTCCTATTCTGGGAAGGCACATCGGAACAGCCAAGTCTTCAAGTTCTTTCTAAAGACTGCCAACGTAGGGGCCTGTCTAAGATCTTTGGGGAGGGTATTCCAGAGTCGGGGGCCACCACAGAAAAGGCCCTGTCTCGCGTCCCCACCAAACGCGCCTGCGATGCAGGCGGAATCACGAGCAGGGCCTCTCCAGATGAACGTAGTGAGCGCGTAGGTTCATAAACGCGCTCTTTTAGGAATACAAAATTAAACACATGGTCATTTTAGATATCTCAACATCAAGCCTACGCTGTACACTATAACTAAACTATTTCAATTTATTATTTTTTTAGTCTTGTCAGGAGCGACTTGAGAAACTGCAAGTCGCTTCTGGTGTGAGAGAATTGGCCATCTGCAAGGACGTTGCCCAGGGGACGCCCGGATGTTTTGATGTTTTATCATCCTTGTGGGAGGCTTCTCTCATGCCCCTGCATGAGGGGCTGGAGCTGATAGAGGGAGCTCATCCGCGCTTTCCCCGGATTTGAACCTGCGACCTGTCGGTCTTCAGTCCTGCCAGCAGAGGGGTTTAACCCATTGCGCCACCAATAAATTTTATTTTTTCCCAAAACTGTGCATATTATAATGTAACTATAGATGTATAAAGCTAACAATTAACAGTAATCATTTCACACTTTCTAAATAGTAAAACATTTGTGTCTTATTTGAAAGGAAAGTTCCAAACCCTAAACCGAGATAAAGTCTTACAATAATCAAGCAATGTATATTTTTACATGTAAATTTTACATGAAGTATTCAAAAGTGACAGAGAAGATGACTGAACTATTTCTAAAGGGAGACAAAAAATCTAAAAAATTCCCACTTTAATAGATATTATCCTTTATCCTGTACTCCCTTTAAACAATTAATCTACGTTATCACGTTTCTACTTAAGGCCATGCTCAATAGATGTATATTGATTCATGTACGTGTGAAAAAGATCTTGGAGTCCTTGTGGACAACAAGTTAAACATGAGCCAACAATGTGATGTGGAGGCAAAAAAAGCCAATGGGATTTTGGCCTGCATCAATAGGAGCATAGTGTCTAGATCAAGGGAAGTAATGCTACCCCTCTATTCTGCTTTGGTTAGACCACACCTGGAATATTGTGTCCAATTCTGGGCACCACAATTCAAGAGAGATATTGACAAGCTGGAATGTGTCCAGAGGAGGGCGACTAAAATGATCAAGGGTCTGGAGAACAAGCCCTATGAGGAGCGGCTTAGGGAACTGAGCATGTTTAGCCTGAAGAAGAGAAGGCTGAGAGGAGATATGATAGCCATGTATAAATATGTGAGAGGAAGCCACAGGGAGGAGGGAGCAAGCTTGTTTTCTGCTTCCTTGGAGGCTAGGACGCAGAACAATGGCTTCAAACTACAAGAGAGGAGATTCCATCTGAACATGAGGAAGAACTTCCTGACTGTGAGAGCCGTTCAGCAGTGGAACTCTCTGCCCCGGAGTGTGGTGGAGGCTCCTTCTTTGGAAGCTTTTAAACAGAGGCTGGATGGCCATCTGTCAGGGGTGATTTGAATGCAATATTCCTGCTTCTTGGCAAGGGGTTGGACTGGATGGCCCATGAGGTCTCTTCCAACTCTTTGATTCTATGATTCTATGATTTCTGCAGCTGATACCATTGCTGTGGTAAGGTAATGAATGGGGCCCCATATTTCTGCAAGTTAGCAAAAGATTTTTTTTCGGTGTAGACAAACCTTTCTGCTATTTCACAGCTCATTGGCCATGATAACTGGTTCCTTCCATCTCTGAACATATACAGTTCTTTCAGCAGTTATAATATACTGTCATTTTGTTCTAGATGATCACCCTGTCTCATCTTCTGTTCACTATTAACATGATCTCTCTCAATATCAGATATCCAATATTTCTGGGCCTTTCTGCAAGACCACCACATTGAGTGAAATGTCCCAACATTGTGTTCAATTTTCCAACATTTGTTAGAGCTGCCCTTATACATCTTAGAAAGCCTCTCTGGTTTATAATACCATTTGGATGTTGAGGCCTGCTTTCTCCAAGGAGTGTGTTCTCCTCCATGGTTCTGCTTAGCCTGAGGTGCCATCCTCCTCAAGGTCATATCTTCTGGAAAGGTGGGATAAACCTACTTCTCCATGGCTGCCCTTGGGCTCTGGGACTCCCTTCTTAGGCTGGCTCCCTCCTTCCTGTCATAGAGAAATGGAATCATAGAGCTGGAAGATACCACGTGGGCCATCCAGTCCAACCCCATTCTTCCAAGAAGCGGGAAAATTGCATTCAAAGCACTCCCGACAGATGGCCAACCAGCCTCTGTTTCAAAGCCTCCAAAGAAGAGCCTCCACCATGATCTGGGACAGAGAGTTCTTCTGCTGAACAGCTCTCACAGTCAGGAAGTTCTTCCTAATATTCAGGTGGAATTTCCTGTAGTTTGAAGCCATTGTTCTGCGTCCTAGTCTCCAGGGTAGCAGAAAACAAGCTTGCTCCCTCCTCCCTATGACTTCCCCTCACATCTTGATCCATGGCCCCCATCATGTCTCCTGTCAGTCTTCTCTTCTGCAGCCTAAAGATGCCCAGCTCTTTAAGCCACTCCTCATAGGGCTTGTTCTTCAGACCCTTTATCATTCTAGCAACCCTCCTCCGGACACATTCCAGCCTGTCAACATCTTGTTATCTGTCCTCAAATGAAAACAGACTTCTCAGAACAGTACTCAGTTAAACCACCTATAGTGATGTTCTTTTCTGATGTTTTATTCTGGCCTGTTACCTCTGTGTTTTAATTGCTTCCAATCTGCTGATAGCTTTTTTAAAGTAATTTTTATTCGTTTTTACAAAAGAAAATACAACAAGCTTAACAAACATAACAACTACAAATCCACATTCATCTATTTCCTAACATTCCCCCTATCCAATCTCGCCAACAAACTTGAAAATGGAAAAAAAGGAAAGAAAAAAAAGAGGAAAAAAGAAAAAGAAATACAATAAACGTTGTGACTTCAGCTCTTCATCCTTCGCTTTCCTTATTTTTGTCATATTTCCCCGTTTCCTCTTGAAAACATTTGGGGGGGGGGATTTATGTTCGTTTCACTCTCATCTTCTATTTTCATTATCCACCAAAAGCGACTTGCTCCTGACACAACAACAACAAAAAATTATCTACTTTGTCCGTTTAATATTCTTTTTTCATATATTCTTCCAATACTTTCCAATCAGTCCGTTTCATCCCTTTCCCGTTACTTTGCCTAAGCCAATAGGTCAATTCATCCATGTCTTTTATATCTATTATATTCTCCAACCAATGTGTCCTTGAGGGAATCAAGTCCTGTTTCCAAAATTTGGTGAAGACCATTCTGGCTGCTGTCACACACACACACACACACACACACATATATAGTTTGTTTTTTTAACTATTCAGAACATGGAATACAAACAAAAGAAGTTATCATTTATATGACATAAACTATCCAGGTTTTTTTCTTATTTCGGAAATCATCTAAAAAGGGGGTGATGCCCCAAGGCTTTGTCCTCATCTTTCTTTTCCCAATTCTCTTTCAGGTGTACTTTGTGTTTTTCCTGAATGGCGATGTTGGACTATATGGTCCATGTATTCTCTTCCAGCTCTATTATTATTTGATTCTATGATTTCTTCCCTTGCTTCTGATGCAGGACTTGTTTCTGGAAAAGATGGCTGAAATGGAGAAGGAGAAATGTCCCTCTGAATCCAGTCAAAGGCAACAGGCCAAGTGGATCACACGAGATCAAGAAGGAAAGTCCTCCTCTATGAGTAAGAGCTAAAAGGGCAGTTTTCTCCTTCATTGCGGCACTTTAAACGTTTAATAGAAGCTATCACTTTGAAATTAATGGCACACCTCAGTTAACAAGGTAACTGTAACAATGAGGTTTCGTTTTTCAATAACTTTTTAATGGCTACTCAGCACTCCTTTTGTGCCTCATCTTTGGCAATGGCGAAGGACAATTGTAGGTACCTGCCTACAATAGAGCAGGGTAAATGGCAGCTGCCACCAGAGTCCCCCCAGCAAAATTATTGTTGTTGTTGTTGTTGTTGTTATTTACCCATGGGGATTCAAGGTGGCTAACACTCTACAGAGATGAACAGGGCAAGCAGATCAGCTAGCTTCACCAGCTCCCCATGTATATATTAAAAATGCAGAGATTTAAAAATTCAATCAAAATCATAAGAAAAGTAGAAACTGGTGGGAAAAAGCCACTGTAGGAACATTTTTGAAGAAGGTTTCAAATTGTCTGAAGAAGTTTCAAAACGCTGCTGTGCAAAGCTTATCTTGATCCAGTTGTTTCAGATGTTCACTTTATTGGTTTAGAATAAAAATGTAGAAATAGGTTGGATTGCTCTTATTTTATTTTTTTGGTTCAGGAACAACTGTTTATTCCCAGAAATCCTAGCCAGTTTACCAGCTGTTAGCATTTCTGGGAGTTGAAGGCCAAAAACATCTGGGAACCCCAAGTTGAGAACCACTGGTTTATTCTTTCCATATTACTTCTGCCTTTGGTGCCAAGTTATTTGTTAGAGAAGCCATACCGAGGAACAGGTTTGCTTAGTTAATTGAGGCATGCTTATCACTGTTTTTTGGAGCCTCCGGTGACACAGTGGGTTAAACTGCTGAACTTGCTGACTGAAAGGTTGGCAGTTCGAATCCAGGGAGTGGGGCGGGTTCCCACTGTTAGCCCCAGCTTTTATCAACCTAGCAGTTCAAAAACATGCAAATGTGAGTAGATCAATAGGTACCACTTCAGCGGGCATGTAACAGTGCTCCATGCAGTCAGGCTGGCCACATGATCTTGGAGGTGTCTACTGACAATGCCGGCTCTTCTTTGGTTTAGAAATGGAGATGAGCACCACTCTCCAGAGTCAGACACGAATCACGAATAGAAGGGGAAACCATATATATTTGCAGTTACTTTCATTCTGCTGTGCCCTCCCAGTTCTTTTTGTTCTTTTTGTATGCAGACTGCAGTATTTGCTGCATATCCACAAGTAATATATAACAACAAAAACAATAATAATAATACTTTATTTATATCCCGCCACATTTCCCTAAGGCTTACAACAATATAAATAATACAACATAAACAATAATAAAACAAATAACCAATGTAGGTTAAATCAACAAAAGTAATGGACAAATAGATAAAAGTGAATCCGTATATATTAAATTAACACACAAGTTGGAAGGACTTGAAGGAGAAAGAATTAAGAGTGGATTGTCATATTTTCTTTCTTGTTCTGTCCCTCACAGGAATGGAAATAAGGACTGGGCCAGAATGTGAAAGTACATTTCTTTTTCATGGTGAACCTGGAATGATACCTGCAAGACCATGTCAGGTAGGGGAAAGGACAGTAAGCAAGCCAAGAAGGATGTGGTTGGGAGTCTGTGCCCCTCTGACCTCCCTCGTCCCCACAGAATCTTGTTCTTTTGATGATGATTATTATTTTTCCTTTGCTTGCACTAAAATTGCCACTATTAGGAACCCTAGGATTTTGTGTAAGGATTTCAAGTTTTTGAACCAATTCTCTTTCTACAGGTGACCTTTGAGGAGGTAGCTGTGTATTTCACGGAGGAGGAGTGGGCTCTGCTAAACCCTGCCCAAAAGACCCTTCATTGGGAAGTGATGCAGGAAAATTTAGGAATCCTCTTCTCTTTGGGTAAGACTTCCTTTTTCTTCTGATCAGTCAGCTTAGTTTAGTAGGTTTGAAAGATAACATCAGAGCTCTTCTTCACTCTTGATATATTAAAGCAGGCTGAGTTATTTTTCTCCACCTTTACTGGCCTTTGGGCTGCTGAGCACAAATCAAAGTGCTGGCTTTAGCCTATAAAGCCCTAAACAGTTCCAGCCCAGTTTACCTGTCTGAACATATCTTCCCTATGAACCACCTTGGAGATTAAGATAGTCTGGGGAGGCCCTGCTCTTGGTCCAGCCTTCCCCGCATGTGTGACTGGTGGGGATGAGAGACAGGACCTTCTCAGTGGTGGTCCTCGGCTGTGGAGCTCCCTCCCAGTGACATTAGATTGGCTCCCTCCCTCCTAGCCATTAGAAGAAAAAAACTTGGCTTTGGGATCAGGCTTTCGGAAAATAGTGCAATGCAATAACAGATTTGGAGTATGTGCAATGACCATGGAACGGGTTTGGACTACAATTTCTGGATGGTGTGATTTTAATATTGAATGTAATGCTTTTAAAAGCTTAATATGTATTAATTTTAATTTAATTTATTTTAAACTTAATATTTTGTATGTGTTTTAAGGTATTGAATAATTCTCTTTGTCTAAGCCGCCTTGAGTCCCCTTTGGGGTAGAGAAAGGCAGGGTATAAATAGCGCAAATAAATTAAATAAACAAAGAAATAAATGGATTGTTGTAGTTTTTTCTGGCTATATGGCCATGTTCTAGAGGCATTCTCTCCTGACGTTTTGCCTGCATCTATGGCAGGCATCCTCAGAGGTAGTGAGACTTCACTACCTCTGAGAATGCTTGCCATAGATGCAGGCAAAATGTCAGGAGAGAATGCCTCTAGAACATGGCCATATAGCCCGAAAAAAAAACCTACAACCACCCAGTGATTCCAGCCATGAAAGCCTTCAGCAATACAAAGAAATAAATTCTCAGGCAGCCCTTCACTAGCAGATTTTTTCCTTCGTGTGCACTTAAATAATCCAAATGCCTTAATCCTCTGAGAACCTCTGATGGGACTCTCAACATTTCACCAAGTCATCTATGCTTTAAGGTTCACCTGCATCTCACAGTGACCTTGGGGCCTCTCCTCTTCCAGGCCTGTTCTGTGACCCCATCTGATCATCATCAACAATGAAAGATGGGACTCAGGACAAGTGAGAAAGCAAAAGGAGAAATCAGCCACATCTTGCATCTTTGCTCCCACCAGAGAAACAAGTCCCGTTTCTCCCATTGAATCCTCCAAAGATAGGCAGAGAAGCAAAGGCTCCAATGATAGGAGGAGAGGACTTGGAGGAAGCAGTTGCCATCACTTGCCAAGGTCTTCCTGCAAAGCAAAGGATGAAACAGAGCCCTAGTGCAAAGGTAGCTGCTAATTGGTGTAAATGGAGAACCAGATACACATGCTGTATTGAGTGTAGAGAGATGTACATCTTAGCTCATTTCTAAGAAGTTTTCTCTAATGGGATGATGTCTCATTGAACATCAGTATCACCAGATACAAATAAAATTACATTAATTGAGGTACCAGTAGAGTAAATATAAAAAAATATTTACATAAAACTGTAATTTAAGATAAAGCTGTCCAATAATCCCTGACCTGACCAAACCCTGCATAAATGCCCTTGGAAGCACTTTATTTTACCTGTTAGTGCAATTAAACCCTATTTCGTCCCTCGGATCCCTTGTCCAGATACATTACATTGCTCTCTCACCCAGTGTTTTTAAACTTTTAATCTCTGCAACCAGCCCTGCCCACTGTGATCAACTTTCTGTGTTCAAATATTGTGATTTTATATTGTTCTGATGTGTTGATTTATATTGTTCCTTGTATTTTATCTTATTTTCTTATATTTTATTGTTGCATTTTTATGTTGTGTATTTGCATTGTTGTATTGCTGGGCTTGGCCTCATGTAAGCTGCCCCGAGTCCCCTTGGGGAGATTGTGGCGGGGTATAAATAAAGCATTATTATTATTATTATTATTATTATTATTATTATTATTATTATTATCTCTCATTAAACCATTATTCCAACCTTCTTCAATGTAAATGTGCTTACATATCCTTCCAATAATAATAAAGGGAGTAAAATAATAAATGTAATAAAAATAATAATAGAGTAAAATAATGGAAATGTAATAACAGTAATAATACAGTAAAATAATAAATGCAGTAAAAATAATACTAATAACAGAGTAAAATAGTAAATAACTTTGACTCTCGTATAAGCCGAGGGGAGATTTTTCAGCCTAAAAAAGGGGCTGAAAAACTAGGCTTATATTCGAGTATATACAATATATGAATCTTCATTCCCAATGTGATGTATCTACTCTTAACTTTTTTATCAAGGTTTTTAGAATAAGAATTTCCATTTTAAAAAGGTCACTAGTATTGTATGGAGATGTTTGGCATAAACTACAGGAGCATAGCTTTTTAAACTTTTCTCATTCATGTTAGGGAGGGGCGGTGGGCTGCCGAATGATTTTGGAGGAAATCTTGGCCCTTTACAAGGGCCAAGTGATGCAGTGCTGCCTTAAGCAAACTAATGCAGAAGTGATCCCATCTCCCTCTCTGAGGCTTTCTTGAGATTGATAGGAATTAACTGGCAAAGGGTGTCAACATTTTGCCTTCCATTTTTTTCTTGAGTTCTCAGCAGTATTTTCTTTCCTTTCCAGCCAGTGATGGGGAACTGGATCAATATAAAGGAGAATCATGCCAAACGCTGTTGCAAAGAGACCACTGTAAACAGTTAAAAGAGAAGGAAAGAGACATTGACACTGAAGCAACGTGGAGGACCAAACCTAGTCAGAAAGACATTTGTGGATCTTCAGTCCAGGAAATAATGCAGAAAGGAATGGAAGGAAACAAATATATCTCTCTTGCATTTGAGAAAAGCTTCATCCCTAAAGCCAGCCTTAATCTTCCCAGGAAGACTCACCCAAGGGAGAAATCTTTCAAAGGTGGTGAGTGTGGAAACAGCTCTGGCCTGACTTCATTTGACAACATTCACATCAGAGGGAGACCATTTCAGTCCTTCAACTGTGGAAACAACTTCAGGTTGAGTTCTCAACTTCTGACAGATCTAAGACCCCGTACAGATGGAATAACTCTGAAATGCTCGATGAATGAAAAGATGTCCTGTCAACAGGCATTCCTTTCTTGTTACCAGGCAGTTCATACAGATGAGAAACAATCAACATGCCTGGACTGCGGGAAAAGTTTTATTAAGGAGTTGCAACCTACTTGTCTTGAAGCAATTCACAATGGGGAGAAACCATTTACTTGCCTGGACTGTGGACAACAATGTATTTGGAAGGATCACGTCTCCCATCATCAAGCAATTCATGAAGCGGAGAAGACATTTAAATGTCGGGAGTGTCCAAAAGGTTTTTTTCAGAAGACGGATCTCACTTATCATCAAGCAACTCCCAACGGCACAAAACGATTTCAGTGCTTAGAGTGCGGAAAAGGATTTCTTTGGAAGGCACACTTCTCTCGCCATCAAGCAATTCACAATGGCAAGAGGCCATTTAAATGCCTGGAATGTGGGAAAGGTTTTATCCGGAAGACGGACCTCACCTTCCACGAAGCAACTCACACAGGAGAGAAACCATTTAAGTGCCTAGAGTGTGGGAAAGCGTTTATTCGTAAGACCGATGTCACTCGTCATCAAATGGCTCACTTAGCAGAGAAACCTTTTAAGTGCTTGGAGTGCGGAAAAGGGTTTATTTGGAGGAGACACCTCATACGTCACCAAGCCATCCACACAGGAGAAAAACCATTTACCTGCCAGGAGTGTGGAAAAGGTTTTATTCAGAAGATAGCCCTCACTCGTCATCAAGCAGCTCACACTGGAGAGAAACTCTTTACATGCCAGGAGTGTGGAAAGGGGTTTGTTTGGAAGACGCACCTCACACGTCACCAAGCAACTCACACAGGAGAGAAACCATTTACATGCCTGGAATGTGGGAAAAACTTTATTCGGAAGGCACACCTTACTCGGCATCAAGCTGTTCATACAGGAGAGAAACCATTTAAGTGCCTGGAGTGTGGGAAAAGTTTCAGCCAGAAGCTAAATCTCAGCCATCATCAAATAACTCACACAAGCGAGAAACCTTTTAAATGCATGGAGTGCGGTAAAGGCTTCAGTCGGAAGGCACATCTTGGTCGTCATCAAGCAACTCACTCGGAGCGGAAGTATGAAGAAGCATATGAATATTGAGAAAATTTATTCAGAGCAGATCTGATTGTTGAGTACTGAGAATGTTCATTCAGAACAGACCTCTCACATGAGATTACAAGTTCATGCCCTGGAGAAGCCAGAAATATTAAAAACTAACTAGGTATTTTTAATTACAAACATGTGAGTCAAGCACTAAAAGGGTTAAATGGATGCAGTGACTCAGCAAAAACTGCGGTTTAGTATAAGCAGGCATGCCTGTTGCTTAGTAATGCCTCAGTCTGAGAGAGCTCTCAGTGTGAGAGAAGCCTCTCTGTGTGAGAAATCGCCTCAGTGGGAGAATAGGCCTCATTGTTAGTAGGCCTGATTGTGAGGGAGGCCTCGGTATGAGAAGACTTTGTGTGTGAAGCTCCAGTGTGAATTTTGAACTTTATTTGTGTTATGGAAACCTTGTTTGTGTAAATAGTGCAACCATATTATTTTGCTATAAAGAAAAGTCTCCTATGGAAGAGATAACATTGGTTTGTGTGTTTTTGTTATTTTTATCACTTTGGGCTACTGGTGTTGGGACACGTTGCTGCTGATAAGTTACTCTGCTGTACATTTATGAAGATGATCTTTTGTTAATAAGCCCACTCACCCAGCAGAAGGATCAAGAAGTATATGAATATTGAGAATGTTCATTAAGAGCAGATCTGATTGTTGAATATTGAGAATGTTCATGCAGAGCAGACCTCTTACATGAGATTACAAATTCATGCCCAGATGCCAGAAATATTACAAATTAAATAGGTATTTTTAATTACAAAAAATGTGAGGCAAGAACTGAAAGGGTTAAGTGGATGCAATGCCTCAGCAAAAGGTAAAGCCTCAGTCTGAGAGAGCTCTCAGTGTGAGAGAAGCCTCTCTGTGTCAAAGATCGCCAAAGATCGCCATAGCGGGAGAATAGGTTTCATTGTTAGTAGGCCTGATTTTGAGGGAGGCCTCAGTATAACTAGAGTGTGAAAATGTTTCATCTTTATGACATTCTGCCACAGCAGAGAAACCAAGAAGAGCACACAGAGAGGAAGCCTTTCAGATTCTTGACATGTGGGAATGCGTATCGTAAGAAATATATTAAGGATTCTAGAGAAGGGGGACAAATGTTTGTGATAAGAGAGGAATTCCTGGGACACAAGAAATTGAGGTACTGAGAATGAAATGAAAAGCCAGTTGAATGCTTTCACATACAAAATATATCTTGGTTAAAGCCTTTGATACAAAGCTCCAGTCTAGAAAGCATTGCTTTTCATCCTCATTCTCTGTCTTGTTATATTAATTTTGGCAGTATTACCATTGGGAGGATAGAGTTTTGAAAAGAAGTGGAAAATGCCCCATTAAAAACTGGAGAGCAAAAACTATTAGAGGAGGGAAGTAGGCTGAAGCTTGTTAGAGTCAGTGGGCCAAAGCTAGTGTCGTCCTGAGGAGAGTGAGTAGGCCGAAGCCTGTTAGAGTCAGTGGGCCGAAGCTAGTGTTGTCCTGAGGAGAGTGAGTAGGCCGAAGCCTGTGAGAGTCAGTGGGCCAAAAGTAGTAGGCCGAAGCTAGAGTCAGTGGGCCAAAACTAGTAGGCCGAAGTTAGAGTCAGTGGGCCAAAGCTAGTGTCGTCCTGAGGAGAGTGAGTAGGTCGAAGCCTGTTAGAGCCAGTGGGCCAAAGCTAGTGTCGTCCTGAGGAGAGCGAGTGGGCCGAAGTCTGTTAAAGTCAGTGGGCCAAAGTTAGTATCGTCCTGAGGAGAGTAGGCCGAAGCTAGAGTCAGTGGGCCAAAGCTAGTGTCGTCCTGAGGAGAGTGAGTAGGCCGAAGCCTGTTAGAGTCAGTGGGCCAAAACTAGTGTCATCCTGAGGAGAGTATGGTGAAGCCTGTTAGAGTCAGAGGGCCAAAGCTAGTGTCATCCTGAGGAGAGTATGGTGAAGCCTGTTAGAGTCAGTGGGCCAAAGCTAGTGTCATCCTGAGGATGAGTAGGCCGAAGCCTGTTGGTCAGTGGGCCAAAGCTAGTGTCGTCCTGAGGATGAGTAGGCCGAAGCCTGTTGGTCAGTGGGCCAAAGCTAGTGTCGTCCTGAGGAGAGCGAGTAAAAAGTTAATACACTACGATGCAATGTAATTAAAATGAATTATTTCCAGCAATAGGTGTGTAGAGCGTACAAAGAGTAGTGTTTTAATAACGTTGATGGAAAGTTCCTGACATGGAGATGCTGACATGAATAAGCTAGCTGAAAGTGAAATGAACTGTGCCTGAACAAAAACTATGAAACCAGTGATAAATGTACATCAGAATTGAATACTTTTATGTTAGCAAATATAGATGTGCCACTTTACAACCCCATTTAATTAACATCTGAAAATCTGTTTTCGACTTGAGACAAGGAAATGAGCAATAGAGAACCCTAATCTATTTTCTGATATAGTCATATGAACAAGGGAACACAGGGCCACTTAATTGCCTGGCTACTTCCAAGCTTGCTAATTGCACCCTTCACATGAGTTTCACAGACAATGGCTCTTTCCTCCCACCCTGGACATTCCACAGCTATATATACTTCATGTACTTGACCACCATCAGATCTTCTGAAGATGCTAGCCACAGATGCAGGTGAAACATCAGGAGAGAATGCTGCTGGAACATGACCATACAGCCTGGAAAACTCACAGCAACCCAATGTATTTTTATTTATGTTATGTTATTTATTTATTTACGGCATTTATATGCCGCCCTTCTCACCCGAACTGATGACATATTATCCAGAGCGGCTTACAAGATATATATACATACATTATATTATCAGCATAGCACAATATCAGTATATATTATGATATTGCACTATACCATTATATTGTAATACTAGCTTGGGGACCCGGCGTTGCCCGGGTTATTAGAGAAAGTGGGTAATGGTGGTTCTGTATGCCAAGTTTGGTCTTTATTGGTCTTTGGATAATGGCTGCATTATTTTCAGGAAGTGAGTGAAGGTACTTGAAGTCCCATCATCCATGGCCCATCCTCCTACAAACAGCAGCAGGATATAGAGTGGGTCATGGGGGCTCTGTGTGCCAAGTTTGGTCTTGATTAGTCATTGGCGAGGGTCTCAGTGGTCTCAGAAAGTGAGTGAGGTTACTCAAGTCCCATCATCCATCTCCATTTTTTTCCAAATGACACCAGGACGTAAAGTGGGTCATGAGAGGTCTATGAGCCAAGTTTGGTCTTGATCAGTCATTGCATGAGGTTTGCAGAGGTCTCAGAATGTGAGTTAAGGTACTGGAAGTCACATCATCCATTGTCCGTCCTCCTCCAAAACTGCAGCAGGATGTAGAGTGGGTCATGGGGGCTCTGTGTGCCAAGTTTGGTCTTGATCGGACATTAGGTGAGGGTTGCAGCAGTCTTGGGGAGTGGAGGTACTTGAAGTCCCATCATCCATGGTCTGTCCTCCTCGAAAGTGCACCAGGATGTAGAGTGGGTCATGGGGACTCTGTGTGCCAAATTTGGTCTTGATCAGTCAGTGGTCTCAGGAAGTGAGTGAAGTGACTGCAAGTCCCATCATCCATTGTCAAATTCTTCCAAACCGCACCAGGATGTAGAGTGGGTCATGCTGGGTCTCTGTGTAAATTGTGGTCCTGATCCATCATTGTTGGCAGTTGTAATGGTCTTAGGAAGGGAGTGCAGGTATTGCAAGTCCCATCGTCCATGGTGCATCCTCCTCCAAACTGCACCAGGATGTAGAGTGCATCATGGAGACTCAGTGTGCCAAGTTTGGTCTTTATCGGTAATTGGATGAGGGTTGCAGTGGTCTCAGGAATTGAGCAAAGGTACTGCAAGTCCCATAATCCATGGTCCATCCCCGGCCAAACCACACCAGGACGTAAAGTGGGTCATGAGAGGTCTATGTGCCAAGTTTGGTCCTGATCAGTCATTGGATGAGGTTAACAGCGGTCTCAGAATGGGAGTGATGGTACTGCAAGTCCCATCATCCATGGTTGCAGTAGGATGTCGAGTCGGTCTTGCAGGCTCTGTGTGCCAAGTCTGGTCTGTATTGGTAATTGTCTGACTCAGCCCCTGGCCTTTTCCTTTCCTCTCTTTGTCATCTCGGAATCTTGGAATTGAGGCTGGCCAATCAGAGACCATATGCAAATTTCCTTCTCATGTCCCCGTTTCTGTCATGAACTCTTTTCTCCACCAGGGGCTCCTCTTGAAGCTGGCCAATCAGAGACCATATGCAAATAGCACCGCTGCCCAGCCAATCGGAATCTTGGAACTTTCAGGCTGGCCAATCAGAGACCACAGTGGCAGCCAATCAGAAAGCTAGCACATACACCGCCACACTTTTGTCCTCCGCATACAAACTTTCACCTTTATTATATATATAGATTTATTTATTCCCTTCATTTCTACCATGCCCTTCTCCCACAAGGGGACTCAGTGCGGCTTGACATGAGCATCAGTGATGCTGTCAACATATACATACAATTAAAACTGGAAAACTAATCAATAAATTCATTCAAACATTCAATTAACATACAATCCACATGCCACTAAAACCATGACCGTAATAAAGATTTTTGGGTTGAGTTTAAAAATAGTCTCTTTAACAAGGATCAATATGTTTGCTAAGATCTTGGACAGGTAAATCAACATTAATGCAAGGTTTTCTGTTCTGGATGTAGCCAGAGGCTCCAGTTTATAGAGACCAGGGGCTTGGTCACACTACACAATTACACAGTAACCATTTCACTTTAACTGAATGCTATGGAATGTTGTGTTTTTTTGTTTACACTGGAGAGACACAATAGTTTTCTGGCTGAGGATTCTAAATGTCCCTTTCTAAACTTACAAATTCTAGCATTCCACGTAATGTTACTATGACAATTATAGGGGAATCATAGTGCTATAATTGTGCAGAGTATAGAAGGCGGAACATGACAGAGAAATGCTGGAGGAACAATCACACAAGCATAGCATTTCTCTTTGTTTTTAAAAACAAAAATGGCCAATATCTCCATCTTTTCTGCCTTAAATTAGAAACCACACAAATTTCCTTTTAAAAGCAACAGTGGGGTGCAAATTCAAACAGATTCTACAATAATCTTTTAAAAACATGATTCTTGTGGAATGAGAAAATAAAAATGAAAATTAGTAAATATTTCATAGTGCTTGATTCAAAAACAATGTTAATTGAGAATTTAAAATGGAATTGCATTGTCTCTTGTTGGCTATTCAGCCAACGTAATGGCATGTAGTCAGTGAATAAGTTCTGCTTTGTAAAAACATATCTCTTAGCTATGGGTAGGGAAAATTGAGAGCTAGTTTTCTGCCCTGGGACTCTTTGAAAATCTGTAGAACATGTTCATTGAGGACCACATCTGCTTTATGGTTGCATTTGAAGGGTTGTTGAATCCATGGTCACAGAGGGCCATCTCTCTCTCTCTCTCTCTCTCTCTCTCTCTCTCTCTCTCTCTCTATATATATATATATATATATATATATATATATAT